ACACCCCTCCCCTCCTCCACATGTGCCTGCTCTCTGCGCGCTTGGGCCTCCATTTCCGCTGGCTTCCCTGCATCTTTCCGTGCCTTTCGGGCTTACAGAACTCGAGCAGGGTGTAGGGTTTAGGGTTGGAGGGTTTGGGCTATAGGGCTTGGAGGGTTTGGCGCTCAGGGTTTCCTTGGGCGACTCTCGGCATGTGCTTGGCAACGCAAACAATACTACAGGTTGTCGAAGGCACAGAACTTACCATTTGGCTTATGGGCTAATGGGATCCCGGCAATTCAGGCCTTATATTGAGTAGGGGCGAGTCTGAACTCTCAACTCGAAGCCTGGGTCTTTCAGCCGCGGCATGCCACGAGCATTCGACCACCCTAGTCTTGGGATGTTCCCCCTCTTAATGTTGTACCTCCAATAGTCTTGGGGGCCTCCCCCCCCCCCCCCCAAAAAAAAAAAAAAAACAGTCGAGGCTGGATTTGCTCCTCTTTAAGCGGGCCCGGGGGTTTATATGATTTTTAACAGGGCGGAGTTTATATGAATTTAAGTGGGATCCATGTGAAGTTAAAAGGGATCCATGTGAACTTGAAAGGGATGGGCTTTCATGAATTTGAAAGGGATCCGTATCAATTTAAAAGGGATGAGTTTATATGAACTTAAAAGGGGTCCATATGAGTTTAAGCGGGATGAGCTTACATGAATGGGATACATATGAATTTAAACGGGATGAGCTTGTATGAATATAAAAGGGATCCGGCGTGAGCTTAAGCTTAGAGGTCGGCTTTTGATTTCAAAAGGCCCGCCTTTTAAATCATAAGGCCCGGCTTTAAGCCAAGAGACCAAGGCATCTAAAATTCGGAGCCTCCGGGCCGAAACAAGCCCTAAGGCCCTAAATCCTTGAAGAAAAGCGGCTTTCTGGAACGATTCCACTTTAAAGCGGGAGCTGGTCTGCACTCCCAAACAATCAGGGTGTCCAGAATAGCCCAGCCAAATCCACTTTATAGAGGGGGCCAATATTAAACCAGGTCCAACATTAGTACTAACAGTCCTGAATAGGATTATGATAAGGGGCAACATCCCAACCCTAATCCACCTAACGCCCCAAAAAAACCTCAGCCCTGAACCTCAAACTGACCACTGGTAGGGTCTAGGGTTTAGGGTTTAGGGTTTAGGGTTTAGGCTTAAGGCTTTAGGGTTTAGGGTTTAGGGTAGCCTTAGCCGCCATTCAACGCAGGACGTCTGCAGCTCCCAACGTGTGGGGATTTGTGATTGAATCCCGCCGTTCTCAAGCTCACCCGGCACCCAAAAACCCTTAACACTTCAAACCCAATCTAAGGGTAGCTCTATGGGCCCTGAATATGGTCCCTTACCTTCTTTAAAGGGTTCTGAAGTATGGGCCCTTGGGCTGTATGGGGGTGCTACGAATTATACCAGAAATCCCCATTTAAGGGCCCCCCACTAAGGGACCATGAAACGATCCTAAGACCCAAACCGTAGACTCTAATCCGAGCACAAAGCAAGTTCTAAACCCCCCTGCCTAAACCCTAAACCCCAAGCCCGAAACCCTAAACCCTAAACCCTAAACTCCGCAACTTGAGGTCTAACGGCCTCTGCTGGCCGCTGGCCGTCTGTCCATGGCCTCTGTGGCAAAGCGTCGAGCTCGCGGAGTTGTAGGTGTAGACGCTACTTGATTCCATCATAAATTTTGGTCAGCATGTTTAGGGTTTAGGGTTTGGGGTTTAGGAAAATTGCCCATTTACAGGTGAATGGACCAATTGAATGAAAAATATTCACTGATCTGCATATGATTGTAAACATATTCATGCGAGTACCTACGAGCAAAGCTATTTCTATTCAGAAAATGATGAAAGCACCCTGTATCCACCGGTATATACCTGTTCAGGGATTATGTAGGGTACCAAATTCACCCATTTCCTACCAAGAACCAGGTAAACCCTAAACCCTAAACCCAAAACCCTGACCCCCAGAGCCTAAAAAACCCCAACCCTAACAGGACCGTGGGCTGATTGGGCTTATAGCTTTTGCCGGGCTTATTATGCTGATGAGAGTTTATACCCAAAAAGAGCCCAATACCTCTTAGTCATTTTTTTATAGGGATCCTTGAAAGCATTGGGGTCCTTTCGGGAGGCTTTGTCGGGTTTGTGAAGTTTAGACGTCCTCACAGGGCTTATTAGGCTCAGGGAGTCAGACACTAAGCCACCAAAAACCCCATCTTCCCAGTCCCCTGAGACCTGGCCAGTTTAGGGTTGAGGGTTTAGGGTTTAGAGCGTTTAGGGTTTAGGGTTTAGGGTTTAGGGTTTAGGGTTTAGGGTTTGGGGCAGCTCTTGGAGGTTCAGGGCCGCCTGACTTCTTCTACCTTGAGTGTTCGGAGCTGTACTACGTAGCGCCATGTGAAGTAGGGGCTTTTTATGAACAGTATCCACGAAAAGGCCCCTCACCAATATTGATAATATTGTATTTTAGACCCTACATGACTTGCTTCTCCCACCAAAGTAACAAAGATGTCAATCTATCTACATTCTTGCACTGGACTAGGGAAACCTGGACTGTTTAACTTCAGTTGGCGCAAGATGAGGGTCTGGAGAAACCTTGCAAGGGGCTTAACCTTGTAGGAGCCCTAAACCCTAAACCCTAAACCCTAAACCCTAAACCCTAAACCGCTTCAGTTGGCCCTCGGAGAATGGAGTGCCAGAGGCCTGAAGGGGGTCTGGGCTGTGTGGGCCAAGGCCCCCCACGATAGTACATGTAGCCAGTCATGCGGGGCACGAGCACCTGATTCGAGGGCTTTAAAGACAGGGACCTAAACCCTAAACCCTAAACCCTAAACCCTAAACCCTAAACCTGATAAGGGAAAGGATCACAACCCTAGAGCCCCTAAAACCCCAAATGACCGAAACCAGTTGGTACCAGGCAAACATTCAGGACGCCGGACATGCTCTCATGCGTGGGATGTGACCTGAAATTGAGGGATTCAAAACTTGGGTATTTCCCCAAATCGGAGTGTCCAGTGCCCAGGCAACCCGCAGTTCTCGGGAACAAAACCTACAGTGGTACGAGGGCATGTCTTCCGAAATGCTGCAAGGATCGAGCTCTCTAAGCACCGGGCGAGCAAGTCGATGTTGGCAGTATGGCAAGAAGTCTCGTCTGCGGTGAGCCAAGAAACCAGTCGAGGGCAGCCAGGAGACTGATTCGTCATTCCACTGACAACCGACATTTCAGTGCCCGTAACCAGCACGCCCACGATTGCGAACATCCACCACCACGACTTTCGAGTGCAATGCTCAACGACCCCTGAACCTGAATCCCGAATCTGTGATCAAGCGTCCAAGCGCGCTCGCAAGCTGATGACCGTCGCTCGTGGTTGACATCTGGGATTCTGATGCTCGGGGGCTGGTGGCCCCTAAACCCTAAACCCTAAACCCTAAACCCTAAACCCTAAACCCTCTAGAAGCAGCGGGCTTACTGCTTTGTGTTTCGGGTGGGTTTGGGGCCAAACTTTGGGAAGAAGCATCATCGCCGTGGCCATGCACTTTCTCCGTCCGCCCAGGGTCTGCAATCACCTATGCTACAGTCGCCATGTCGTCGTTGCTGCGGCCCCACCCTAGAAACCACCGAAGGAGGGTCTTGGGCTCGTTTGGGTACATGTGTGAACACTCTGTCAGACCTCCTACACCTATAACTTGCTTTTTCAGCGGCCTATAGGCTTTAAACCTACCCTTGTTCAGGCAGATGGCGCTGTCAAGTGCTTTCTACATCCATCCCAGCAGGCCCTGGCTCAAAAGCCTGAAGCCCTGCCGAACCGTAAGATTGACGCGAAAACGGGAAGCCTTCTTGTTGCGAGGCTCCGCTGACGTTCCGAGAAGCCCTTTGCTCATAGGATCCTAATCCCCCACCCACCCCCCCTGCCCAAACCTTAACCCCAACCCCCCCACGCCCCCACCCACCCGGACCAAACAAGCCCGAACCAAGCCTTGTTCGGGCGGTATTTTGGGGTTGGAGCCCCATAACTCGAGCTTGTAAGGGCATATCATGATGGGCAGGTAAGGGTTCAGGGCTTAGGGATTCGCTTTGCTCTGGGTTTGTTGCCCTCCGGGGTTTAGGTTGGGATGTCCCCCTTATACTAAGAGCCCTTAATAGGGATTCTAATCGGGGGTACTACAATCCCGACTAAGGACTGTTAGTATGAGGGGGAACATCCCAAGGTTTAAGCTTCGAGTCGAGGGTTCTTCTTGTTAGGGCAGCGGCGCAGCAACGGCTCAACGCTTGGCCTCCGTTTTGGAAGCCTACTGGCAAGGTTCGCCGATTTTCAGCTACCTCTGAATTCGTCTGTCATGGAGCTCTGTTCATCTAACCCTAAGCCCTAAGCCCTAAGCCCTAAGCCCCAAGCCCTAAGCCCTAAGCCCTAAACCCTAAACCCTAAACCCTAAACCCTAAACCCTAAACCCTAACCCTAAACCCTGAACCCAGCTACTGGTAACAGATAGGCAGGCGTGCGCGTCAAGCTTCGAGAGTCGCCGGGACCCTCAGCCACTGAACCTCCCTGAATCTAAGAATGACTCACCATACCCCAAACCCATACCCCTTAACCTATGAAAGTACAATATAAAGGGACCCCTTACATTATTTTAAGGGGTATGCCCTATATAGGGGTATGTTGAATAACTCGCACACTGAAAACCCTGAGCCCATAAACTGCCAGAAGCCCTAGAAAACTAGACGCCTGAATCTTCCGCTCTAGACCCTGGAGTCACAAAAGCCGTAGGACAGGAGCCGAGCTAGTTGGAACGGAATTTTGCTGGGGAAGGGCAGCCTGTATCAGAAATACAATGAATATCTAACCCCTATGGACCCTACACCCGGAAACCCTAAAGTCCTCTACCGACGCCGGGGCCCTAAACCCTAAACCCTAAACCCTAAACCCTAAATCCTAAACCCTAAACCCTAAACCCTGAACCCTAAACCCTAAACCCTAAACCGCGCGCCACGTCTCACTGGAGCCCGCCTTTGGACCTCGTCTGGGGGCTTTTCAGCGCCCAGGATTGGCTTGATTGAGGGCTGGACGGCTGGAGGGTACAATAGGTAGCTGGAAGGGTTTTGTGGCGTAGGGATGGCGGGTGCGAAAAAAACTCCGCCAAGCATCACCCTGCCTTAAAAAGACTGGGTTCAGGGTTGAGGGTTTAGGGGTTTGGGGGGTTTAGGGTTTCCTTGAGGGTTTCAGCTTTCAGAAACCTGGACAGGAGACTCCTCCCCTACCTCGCAACGCCGAAAAACTTTCATCGAGGTTGAGCGAACAGTCCGGCTGCTAGCTTTGGAGGGCAGGCGTTGGCTTCTGGGGATTTCTACTTCGAGGCAGAGGTATCTAGGGTTGATGTACGCGCTTGCAGCATACTGAAGAGCTCAAGACCCCAAACCGGAAGCCCTTACATCTGGTTCTGGCACTGTACGAGGTTTGGGGTTTGGGGTTGGAAGCTAGCCGAACGCGGAAAAGGTTTGGGGCCCATGTACCTCAATAGGGTTCAGGGCTTAGGGCAGCACGGAAGGAGGCAACTAGGTACCGTCTCCCTATATATTTATCATGGGGTGGGGGGGGGGGGGGGGGGGAGCATGTATGTATATATATATATATATATACATATGTACCCTTGAAGGGATTTTGTTAAGGTACCGAATTCCCTGAGTCCCTACTACGAACCAATAATCTATAGTAGTGTTAGGCCTAGGGTTTAGGGTTTAGGGTTGAGGGTTTGGGGTTTAGGGTTTAGTACTGGTTCAGGGTCTAGGGTTCCAAAGCCGCCCCTCGATGCTCAGGTCCCCCACAGCTGCTGGTCTTCCACGAAATAGTTCTCAAAGGGATACTGGCAAGGCTGAGGGGCTTCGGGTTTCGGGGTGTAGGGTCGAGTGGAGGGCTTAGAGTTTAGGGCAAGCACACCCCAAACAGGGGTTCAACTTGCACCCTCCACCACCACCCCCCCCCCCCCCCCCCCCAGTTGCAGAATCCCGTGGCCTCACCCGATCCCAACATAAACCCCCCTCCCTCAACTTGAGACCCTCAAAACCATAAGCCCCAAAATGCTGGGGACGGGGACTCCAGCCATCTCCTGCAACCCTCCGAAAACGATTCCTACACTCAGTTGGGTCCTCCCAAGCCCCCCAAAAACCCTAAGCCTTGTCACTCATCCCACTCATCCCTACCTAGCCCCCAGAGGGCTAAATCCATCATTGAATGCCCCCAAGCTACTCAGGGAGACCGAAACAGGGAACATGTTTAGGGTTTCAGGGTTCAGGGTCTTTACTCCTGGGGGCTGCTGCTGATGACATATGGCGTGTACTCTCTAAACCTTAAGGGTCGGCTTATACATATACATATAAATATACATACATACATACATACATACATACATACATACATACATACATACATACATACATACATACATACATACATACATACATATACATCTATATATATATATAGACATATAGACATACATACATATACATCGCCTTCAAGAAGTCCGGGAACCACGCAGGCAGCTCCCGATTGGCTCGCCTTCAACCGGGGCTGAGGTGCGAAGGTTTAGGGGTTTGGGGCCTAGGGCTTGCCATACATAGGCTTTAGGGTTTACGTTTTAGGGCTCTGGGCCCTCAAGCATTTCTTTTGCGAGCAGGCGTCAACTATTCAGCAGCGGGCGGGCAACAAACTTTTTGCAGGGGGCGAGCACAAAAAGATGCCATGCTACTGCTGCGGGGTCAAACTGGACATGGCTCAGCTAAAGAACGTCGCTCGGTGGCACAAAGACTCTTCAATCCCTAATTAGAGCCTAAATTCTAAATCTTAACAAGGCCCCCAGAATCTGCGTATGTCTATGGGGCAGCTTCCAGTGCGTTTTGCGGGGATATTCCTGAAAGGAAAAGGCGTCAGGGCTTCAGGGCTGCATGGGTTGAAGGTTGGGGTTTGGGGTGGGGCTTCAGTCACCTTCGCACGCCCAAACCTGAACAGTAGTGTATCTTAAGTCACCCTAGACCTAAACTCTAAAACCTAAACCGCTTGCGCTGAACGGAACTTGAAGCTCGGCTTTGCAAGTTTAGCCCAAAACAGCTAACCTTTCAATTATGGTAGGATTGTACATACTCCAAAAGGTTTAAGGTGATCCACTCAGCTACGAAGAAAAAACCCTAAACCCTAAACCCTAAACCCTAAACCCTAAACCCTCAACCCTAAACCCTAGGTAAAAAAACCTACACCCTAAACCCTAAACCCTAAACCCTAAACCCTCAACCCTAAACCCTAGGTAAAAAAAAACCTACACCCTAAACCCTAAACCCTAAACCCTAAACCCTAGGTAAACGATGCGCCTTGTCAGGTACCAGCTTGTGCAAGTGACCATCGCCAGGGTGGAGACCATGCCTTGCTGCGGTTCAGTGCTTCGGGAGTAGGAGCCCCGAAGGCCTGGACTTTAGGGTTTAGGGTTTAGGGTTTAGGGTTTAGGGTTTAGGGTTTAGGGTTTATGGTTTAGGGTTTAGGGTTTAGGGTTTAGGGCTTAGGGCTTAGGGCTGCAAACTGTGAATCCTACCCCCTTGCTCAGCGAAGTCTTAACCTGGAACACTGAAACCACACAAGAGCCTCCATGATCACCAAGATCGTCCCCTGGTGATTAAACCCCTGTGAAACTTTGAATTTCCCAACATACGCATTTCCAGGAATTCTTAACCAACTGCGATAAACTAAGTCGTGTAGTGGGGTCAGGAAGTAGGGCTTCTGAGGCTTAAGGGTTTTTTGGGCTTAGGTTGGGGCCCTAACCTGGAGCTTCGGGTTAGGACCCTAAATGGTCGGGCCTAGACCCTAATCGAACACTACTTGCAGAAGAGCGCAGTGGTTTAGGGCGTAGTGCTTAGGGAGTAGAACCCTGAACAGGAACTACGTTGGATTCTTCAGGTAGAACTACACATTTCTACATCCCTGTTGCTGGGCGGTGTGTCTTCATCTTTCAGCCAGCTCGGAGGCTCCGCTGGCACGTTTGGCCTACGAAGGTCTGGCTTCGGCTTGAGCTCCACACGGCCCCTTGCAGGTGGCTTGGGCACTTTGCCAACCAAAGCCTCCAGTTCTTTCCACTGCTTCTCTGCAAGCAAGCTCGATTCTTTTGGGGATAGCATGTGCTTCGTGCACAAGTGCTGCTTGTAGGCCCAGACGCTCTGGACCCACTTCTTGCAGCCCCCTTCACCATACAAGCAGCACCAAATCCCATTGTCGCATGGGTGTTGGCCTTCCATCAAAACCATCGCCTCCACATTCAACACATTTGCCGAGGGAGCTCCTTCTTGGTCATTCGGTGAACATCTCTGACAGAGGTGAACCTGCGTGCCCTAAATCCTTACTCAGGAAGGCAACCTCCACCCTGAAGCCTAAACCCTAAACCCTAAACCCTAAACCCTAAACCCTAAACCCTAAACCCTAAACCCTAAACCTAAACCTAAACCCTGCACTCAGGCCAGGAACCGCAGAGAAGGCCAGTCATCACAGCGCCTACCAAGGTCTCCTGGCACCAGGGGCAGGCGTTAGCGGGAATAGGAACGGTGCATTTAGGTACCCTAACCCTAAATCCTAATCCCCCTAAACCCTAAAGCCTAAACCCTAGACCCCAAACCCTGATCCCTAAACCCGGTGTAAGGTTCAGGGTCTAGGGAGCCCCTGTATTCCCCACGAGTCCAGACTATAGGAAATACATGCTAATTATTCTGTTAATTTTGGGGAAATCCCATATGACTGCATGTGCAAAAACAATCTGAACTACATTGACCTGCTCTTGAACCTTGCGCGCGATGGAGCAGGTACCTCCCCTCCCCGCCCGGGACGCCGTTACTTGGCACTTTTGTGCCTGGAATGGGTACCCCCCCACCTCCGTTTCTTGGTGCATCAGGATCAGGGCATTCACGCCCCAGCCCCCCCGCCCCCAAAGCCTCTTAAGACCTTGTCTTACAGCACCTTCACACCCGCGGTCTCCTAAACCCTGAACTTCAAGTAGCCAATCCTCGGGCTATGAGGGAATTTAGGGTTTTCGGGCAGGGTCTTGGGTGGCATCAGGTTGAGGGCCTTACACCCTCCAAAGCTCAGAACCCCGAGCCCGAAACAACAAATTCCAGAAACCACCCACAGCCCCATAGGATTTAGGGGCCAAAATCTGCATCAACCCGAGTCTCCCTTGGGCAGCCGATGACGACGTTGGCGGGAAGAGCTCTCGGTGCAACCTGAGCAGCAGAATGCGGCTCAGGGACTAGGTTGCCGGAAGGTGTAAGGGTGCAGTGTGGGGTTTCAGGTTCAATTCGGGCCTGCGGCTTATGGCTTGAAAGCTTTTGGGTGTCGAGTTCGCGGTAGTCGTCTGGCTTTAGTGGAAGAATTCGGATGCTTGCCTTGCTATTCTGGGTGAAGAACGGCCCCAGATCCCAAACCCTAAACCCTAAACCCTAAACCCTAAACCCTACACCCTAAACCCTAAACTCAAGGCTGAGGCCGCTGCTGAAGCCCCTCGGCCTCGATGGCGCAAGCTGAGGTCGTTCGCCAATTTCCCGAAGCTCGGCGGTCGGTAGCAGCCACGATGGGCCCCATACCGAACCAGCGCTCCCTCAATGAAGTGAATGCCCTAATCCCCAGCAACATGACCCTGGATGGCGCTGGCATTTGTTTTTCTGGAGCCCCTCCCCAGACTCTAAATCAGGGCTTTGTGAAGGCAGCTCCTCAAGCACTGGACGGAAGAAGTGTTTTTGGTAGGTAATTGAACTGAGTTTAGGATTGAACGGCGTGGGGTGGGAGAAAGTATTGGATGGCCCTCCACGATCGGGCCATAGCTGCTCTTCGCACCGAAGAAGCTGTCGAGCCTTTGCTGCATCCCAGACCCTGAATCCTACTTACTTAGCTCCCCCCCCCCAACGGGTTTGGGGTCTGACTTTAAACCTACACCACCAGCCTACTGTATCACTCTTCTACTAAGCCCTGAAAATGACTTGGGCTGGGTCTTACTTAGTCCTTACGACACCCAGGATGCACTGCAAAAAACTCAGCCCCACACCCTAAACCCCAAACCTAGACTCAAAACCGAAGCGCCTGAAAGAAATCCCTACATCTGCCCCAAACCTGCGGTGCCATTTTTGTTTCCTGGGATGTATGTGGGGACCTGACCCTTAAAGAACGGAATAGAGTTTAGGGTTGAGGGTTTAGGGTTTAGGGTTCGGGTCCAGGGCTTGGGTTGAGGGTTGAGGGTTGAGGGTTGAGGGTTGAGGGTTGAGGGTTGAGGGTTGAGGGTTGAGGGTTGAGGGTTGAGGGTTGAGGGTTGAGGGTTTAGGGTTGAGGGTTTAGGGTTTAGGGTGCCTGAAATTTCCCCTCCCAGGCGGCCATCGACAGCTGCGGCTGGCGATCGGCGACTTCGGAAGCGGCTACGCTGCCGGGGGCGCCGCGCTGGGGCGTGGAAGGAGCTCCCAGAGGGTCCATTTGTAGTGCTATTATGGGCTTAGGTACCCCAAAACCATTTAGTATGGTTTTTTGGCACCTAGTTCCACAATGGTAATACAAGTGGACCCTCGGGGGCTCCAAGGTTTGGGTTTGTGGCTTAGGGTTTAAAGTTTAGGGTTTAGGGTTTAGGGTTCCGGTTCAGGGTTTGGGGCTTCACGCTTCTGTGCTGTTTTTGTCGGGATGTGAAATTAGGGTTCACGCCTTTCGGCGGTTTTTAGCCTTAGGGGGGGGTTCCAGGGGCTTTGCATTGTTTGCTGACATGGTTGTTGTTGCGCATGCAAATCCTACGAATGCGCTCAGTGAAGTGTCCTCTCCACAACCGCCTTGAAAGTAAAGTCCTTGCTGGCTCCGACTTTGAAACTTCGAGGTTTAGATCTTCCTCCCTTTCTCCTCCCCCCTCCAATTGCCGGGGATTCACTCCTCCAGTGCGCAGCGAGGATTCGTGAAAACCCCCCTATCCCGGAAAATATCCCTGAATTACGATATCGTTCTTGTTTACTCCTATCGTTTTCTCGAGTTTTAGCAGAACGTTATCGCTTTATCGAGCAAAACGCACATCTGATCATCTCGGGGCGCTTCTCTTTACTTTTCAATACCGGGGGTTTTTATCATCCCTCCCTTGAGCATCAGCTCAACCCCAAGCCCTTTGAACCTCAAACCCTTTGAACCCAAACCCTATATAAACCCTAGATACCCTAAACCCTATTTCTCAACCCGAAACCCTAGAAACCCCAACCCCGAAACCCCAAGCCGCCAACCTTTAGGCCCAGCAAGCCCTCCCCCTTCCCCCCCGGCCGCGCTCACCCCCCCGGAAACCTCCGGTTGTGAAGAGCTCCGGGCCATGAACCTAAGCACTTTGTTAGGGGTTTAGGGGTTCAATGGTCACTTCTCTATATTGCGATCCCTTTGTGCGCTTTTGGGGATTTCAAGCTTGCGGTTGAAAGCCCTGCCTATTGGCATCCAAGATCCAAGGAAGCTTGGGGTTTGGGGTTTACAATTTGGGGTTTGGGGGTTTTGGGGGGTTAGGGTTTAGGGCTTAGGGTTTAGGGGTTTAGGGGTTTAGGGGTTTAGGGGTTTAGGGGTTTAGGGGTTTAGGGGTTTAGGGGTTTAGGGGTTTAGGGGTTTAGGGGCTTCGGGGCTTCGGGGCTTAAAGGGCGAAACGGCTGCAACCGACTCCGGAGCCTCAGCCGCTTTACAGTGGAGCCGTTGAATTCTGGCCCCTTTAGTGGGGCTCCCGCGACCCTAAAACCTTAAACCCGAAACCCTCCCCAACCCTAAACCCTAAACCCTCCAAGTGGTAAACCCTGAACCCTCCTGAACCCTAAACTCTAAACCCTCCAGGTGCTAAACCCTAAAACCTAAACCCTACTGAACCCGAAACATCCAAGCCGGCGGCTGTGGCTGGGGCATCATCGCCTGAGAGCGCCACGACATGGGGGAAGTTTGCTTTGGAGGTTTGGGTTGAGGGTTCAAGGTTTAGGGGTTTGGGTTTAGGGCTTAGGGCTTAGTGTCTAGGGTTTAGGGTTGTAGCCGTTAACGTACGACCTTGTGTTAGGAAATTGGGCAAATGGCTACCTAACATCCCCATCTGTAACCCTCTCAGGGACGACATAGGAACGGGTATGCCCGGGTGGGGGGGAATTTGGGTGAAGTAACAAGAAATACCCCAAACCCCAAATTCAGGTGCTTGGGTGTTCTCGACGAGTCATTTCTAAAACACATCGGAGCAGCCTGGCTCGGTGATGTGAGGCCCACGTCCAGCTCACCGACCTCACTGGGTTTTAGGATTCTCGGGGGCTTTTGGGTCTGGATAAGCTTAAGCAGGAGCTGAGGGTTTGGGGGTAAGTTTGAAGGTTTTTGGGGTAGGGGTTCCGGGCGTTGGTTCCTGCAAGGGTTCGGGGTTTAGGTGTGGCCTCAAGCTCAGCCTGCCTGCCGTGTTTTCGAGCCTCATGCTGCCATAGAAGGACTCATCCTGGGCCCTTATGCAAATGCCGTCTAGCCTGAGTGCTTCGGAATCCGCGCGCACATGGGTGAGTTCGCTGCTTAAACGCGCGTACAGGCCGACCTGTCTATCCATCCTGAGGTCGCACTCAGTCATCTGGAAGCTTTACGATATTAGGGGGTACCTTCTTGGGGTCCTTATCATAAGGGGATCCTACTACTTGGGGGTCTATACTATACTAGGGGTCCCCGATTATCGTAAACCCCCATCTCTATTGGGCGCCTTTGTCTATGGATCTATGACAGGCATTCGGCCACTGGCAGTCTGTGCCGACGGAGGACCCAGATCGTCTCAAGGGCGAGGTTGGGAATTCCTGAATGCCCAAAGCCTGTAAACCTAGAAGCTGCCACTGCCTGTTTAAACCCAAGCCCTAATCTCCTCCAACTTCCGCCCATACAGCTTCAACGCCCACGTTACATTATCGGTGTGCTCTCAAGAACGACCAAAGATAGGGGCAGCCTCGGCCCGGCATTACAGGCCTTGGGGTACCCAGGCCCTAAACGCTACTAGGCCCACAGCAAGAGCCCACAAAGCCGGGGCCGAGTTCCCGCGCGAAGACCCAAGGCTTCTTGCCCTCTGGATGCGGGTAGTAGATGTTGGTCCTTGAAGGTTTTGGGGGGGGGGCGAGCTTGCGTGGCACAGGGTTGAGGAGGTGCGCAGCGCAGATTGTGTAGGTCTTCAGAACCAGGCGAACGAGGCGCATCTGGGAATTAGGGAGATTAACAGATGAAGGGAATGTTAAAATTGAGTTACAATTGAGGGCTTATGCTTGAAAGACAGGCCCGAGGCAACCGCTTGGGAACTGAGTGTAGGGTGTCTAGCGTAGGTGTAAGAATATAAACAGGGCTTACACTGCGCAATGGACTTGCAAGAAGTGCTATGCTAAACGTGAACAAAGCCAGAGTCATGACCTGGTTGTCAGAAGCATGGAGGTGGACTGTGAAGGACGCAAACATGTTTAGGGTTTGGCTATTCGGGATCCTGGGAAAGCAGACACAAGCTTGGCACAAGTGCGTTCACTCATGGCCACAGATGGTGGACAGAACCCTGACCACACGAACCAACCCAGAACAACCCCTGAACCGCCCTGTATATACCCTGAACTTGAGTCTTACGTATTTCGTGTTCTTCAGGAATCAGGCACCTTGTACCGTCAGTCATATGTATCTTCAAGGGATGTGCTATTTAGGGAACCTAATTCCCTCAAGCCCAAACCCCAAGCCTTAAACCGTCCTAAGCCCCAACCCCCTTAACCCCAAACCCCAAACCCCTAAACCCCAAACCCCAAACCCCAAACCTCAAACCCCAAACCCTAAACCCCTGAACCCCTGAACCCTGAACCCGAAGCCCTAAACCCCTCAACCCTCAGCCCAAGCTCCCTAAACACTAAACCCTACCCCCTCAACCCTAAACCCTAAACCCTAAACCCTAAACACAAGCCGTTGGCACCTCGGGGAGCGCTCCCCGCTGCGGGGGAGGGGGCTTCCCTGACCTCGGAGGATGTTTGGGGTTTAGGGTTTGGGGTTTAGGGTTTAGGGTTTGGGGTTTAGGGTTTGGGGTTTAGGGTTTGGGGTTTAGGGTTTCGGGGGTTGGGTGATTTCGGGCCTTGAGCGTCTACGGAGTCTAGGCCCTGGAGTTTTGGAGCCTGGGCTTTAGGATTGATTGGAGGGCAGGTGGGAGGGAGAGAGGGAGAGAGAGGGAGAAGAGCGGGAAGAGAGAGAAGAGAGAAGAGGGAGAGAGAGAAGAGAGACGAGAGTGAAGAGAGAAGAAGGAGAGAGAGAAAAGAGAGAAGAGAGTGAGTACCTTCGGAGCTATAAGGGACTTTGGGGAACCTCTTCTGGGATTCCTGTAGGAGGAATATGGCATCTTGGAAGGGACCACTAGACCATACACGCTGGAAATGCCCGAACATATGGGCACTACCCAAAATGGGACAAAATGGCCCCCAAACAGGGTTCCCCAAGTTGGGGGAATTGCCCATTAATATGGTCAAAAACCATGAAATTGGCTCCTGAGGGAACAGCAACGAACTTCAGGCAGAACACAAACAATCCCGCACAGAGGGTTAAGGGCCTATAGTTTAGATTGTTGGGGTTTACGTCTTAGGGATTCAGCAATGCATTTTTTCATGCTCTCAGAGATTCGACCGTTCCGGCCGCAAAAGTAGCACGCACGTGGGAGGATTGCACTGGACTGCAGTTGTTGCGTGTCCAACACCCGGCGGGCTTCTGTAAGGCCTGGCCCCTCTGCCTCCGAAGCCCGCAAACTAGGTTCCCCAGTATCCAAAGGGCTTCTGAAAGCCTGAAGCCTGAAGCCTATAAAGCCTAAAGCCTAAAGCCTAAAGCCTACAGCCTAAGGCCTAAGGCCTAAGGCCTAAAGGCCTAAAGGCCTAAAGGCCTACAGGCCTAAAGGCCTAAAAGCCTAAAGGCCTGAAAGCCTAAAAGCCTAAACCCTCAAGGCTAAACCCTTGGAGGTCCCTAGCACCCTCAGGGATCCTTAAAAACCCTGAAGCCCTAAAACCCTGAACCCCAAACCAAAGATGGGAATATGGGTAGCACCCTCGCCTTTGTCCTAGGCTTTAGGGTTCAGGGTTTGGGGTTTAGGGTTTAGGGACTGCGGAATCACAAAGTTGGCTGAGGGGTTAAAGTTTAGGGTCTAGGGTTTAGGCTGACTACCATGTCTAGGCACGGCCTGGCAGCTTGTGGGCCTAAGGGTTTGGGGCTTCTCTTAGACCGCTTCGGACAAAGCTAAGTGTTTCGGTCCCTCATCATTGCAGCCAGCTGGCTGAAGGCAACCAAACTACATATTCCCAACAAGCCTTAGTTGGCTTTTGAGGCTACCTCTTTTTTTTTGGGGGGGGGGGGGTTAAAAAAATGGCGTTTCAAGGCCTCAAGCAAAAGGGACACACAGATTACTACGAGGCATCCTCACCGAGATTTCATGATTCGACTCGCAAGATCACAGCTGGAAGCCGGACGCTTCAGGCGGGTTTTCGGAGGCGGGGGGGGCTCTTTACCTTCCCCTGGAGAGGTTGGTGCTCCAGGGTGAACAAAACTCACGGTGCACAGCAGGAAAGGCTTTCTCTCTCCTGTTTGAGTGTCGTCGGAGCGGCTCTGGCTTGAGGAAGGGAACCAAAAGAACCCTAAACCCCAAGCTCGAAAGCCTAAGCCTCGAACCCGAAACCCCGAACCCAACGAGACCGCAAACCCTAAACCACGAAATCGAGCATGCCAAAAAGAAGCTTTACAAACACCAAACCCAAGCTCGACGTTAAGCCAGCATCCACAAAGGTTGTGGGGTGATCTGCACACTGGGTGATCTAGGTTTTAGGGGGGTTTGGGGTTTAGGGTTTTATCAAAGAGGTTCTCAGGAGTTTAGAGTTTAGGGTGAAATCCTAAACCCTTTCCTGCCCCAGCACCCATGCATCCAGCGAATTTGGCTGCTGCAACTCTTCTCCTGCACGTCTTCCGAAGGCCTGGTCTGATGTGTGAAAGGCTTCGGGTTCAGGGGCATCAAGGTTTAGGGGTTGCGCTTCAGGGCTTTCTGGCTTTAGGGCTTTGGGGCTTTAGGGGGAGTTTGGGGGGGGGGGGGGGGGGGGGGGGGCGGCGAGGACGAGGAGGAACAATCGGCCCTGGACGGCTGTGATCCTGGCCCAGCATCCATATAGCAGCTTTAAGCTTACCGTGGCACTTTCGACATATGTCTACTTACATATATATACATATATATATACATGTATACATGTATATATGTATATATGTATGTATACATATATATATATATATGTATGTACAATTACATAAAACAGTGTGTCTCTATTGTTGAACGGATATCTTTACTTAAGGCACAATGTCCTCGCCTCCACGGCTCAAGAGATCAGCTTGATCGGCGCCGCTGCCCTGGAGCGCGCTGCGACGCCGATCTTGGCATTGGCGGCCGCTCGCGCCAGGTCCCCGTTGAGGGTCATGGTGCCTTTGGGCATATATACATATATACATATATACATATATACATATATACATATATACATATATACATGTATATATATATATATATATATATATAGCGGCTATGTGCTGTGTGTAAGTGTACCTCATTTTGCGGGGGTTCTCTAAGTTAGGCCACCTCGGCCTCTCTGTCGCAGTTGAGCGCAAAAACCACGACGTCTTCTGAGCCCGAAGTAAACTCCATAGAAGCTTGAACACTAAACCCCAATGCCCTGAAACCGATGAGCCTTTCCTGGTAAAGCCCTTGGGACTCTAAGCCCCGAAACTGCTTTCCCCACGAACTCCTAAACCCTAAACCCTAAACCCTAAACCCTAAACCCTAAACCCTAAACCCTAAACCCTAAACCTGGCCCCGATGCTGATGGCCACCCAACTTCCAGAGTAGTAGTCCTGCGCCAGCGGGGGGAAGGAGTGCGGATTCAGGGATTTAGGTTCAGGGGGTTTAGGGGCTTAGGTTTTAAGTTCTTAGGGGCTTGGGTTTAGGGGCTTAGGGGCTTAGGCAGCTAGGGGGTTTAGGGTTTAGGGTTTAGGGTCTTAGGTTTAGGGGCTTTAGGGGCTTAGGGGGGCTCGGCGGCTTAGCGAATTATGGCCTACGGGCTTACGGGTTTAGGCATGTAGGGTTTGGGGCTTCGTCACACTCTGGGTTCTGCTTGCAAGTTGTACCATCTCGACTCCAGCACTTTTGACAAGAAGAGGCCCCTTAAGCCAGACAAGCTTACACCCTAAGCGCCTCAGGGCAAACTCGCCAGGTGAGCCTTCTTTCTGGATCTAAGATTTCGGGATTTTAGGGTTTGGGCTCTTCGGTGGCCCTTTGTTTACGAGCTCAGAGAGCCCTGCCCCATCCCCCCCCCCACATACCCCTGAAATTCGGCAATCTCCGAAATCTGTTTAAAACCCCAAGAAGCCCTATGGCCTTATGGGCCACTTGGCGTCAGACTCGTTGAGGGCGCTGAGCCCTAAACCCTAACCCCAAACCCCAAACCCCAAACCCTAAACCCTAAACCCTAAACCCCTCCAACCCTGAAGCCCTTGCGAACTCTTGGGGGGAGGCGGGGGTCCCGGATTCGCTGCGTAGCCAACAGCCGACCTGCCGAGTCGATCAGCTCCTCCGCAGGACAGAAGAGGAGGGTTAAGGGGTTTTGGGTTTTTTAGGGATCTTGGCGGCTTCGTCAGCTGAATTTCGGGGTCCTTATTGAACAGCATGAAGGTATAGAGCAAGGGTTTGCAGATCTAGACCAGGGTTTATGTTCAGAGCGTACAAAGGTTTGGGTTTGGGCTTTCAACATCTAAATACGAGCACTTGGACCTCCAAAGCCGCACTGGGGCTTCTCTGGGTGTCTCCTGTTGCCGAGCCCCGCCCAGCGCCGTGGCAGGGCAGACAAGGCTGGAGAAGGTGGGCGCCGCCATGAACATGTTCACCTGGATAGCTGTCAAAATTATGATCCCTTTTGGGGTACCCCTAAATATTAGGTGCCGTAATTATAATAGGGACCCAAAAAAGGACCTGAAGACAAAGGGCTTCTAGGGTTCAGGGGTTTATTTGGGTTTGGGGGGGGGTTTGAGGGTTCATGGGTTTATTTGGTTTTGAAGGTTTGAGGCTTTTAATTCGGGGCTTTCGGCTTCAGCGCTTGGGGTGTGGGCCTAAACCCTACTGTAACCCTAGACCCTAAACCCTAAAACCTAAGCCTTAAGCCTTCTAGCAAGAGCAACGACGTTGTTGAGTGTCGAACCCTTTCACAGCCCCGAGTCGCATCCAACCGGCAAGCCAAGGCTCTCAAGAAACGCTATCATACGGCTCAGGGAACCTAAGCCCTAAACCCTGAACCCTAAACCCCAAACCCCAAACCCTAAACCCTAAACCCTAAACCCTAAACCCTAACACGAACCTGCCACCCCGGATGGATGGTCTCCACCAAGCAGGCGCCGTCCACGTCCAGGGAGGAGGCCCAGCTTCCGGAGCTCTCCTCCACTCGAAGGGCTGAAGTTTCCGAGTAGGGTTTAGGGTTTAGGGTTTAGGGTTTAGGGTTTAGGGTTTAGGGTTTAGGGTTTAGGGTTTAGAGGGTTCTTGAGACTTAGGGCTTGTACCTGAGGGCTTCGGGCTTATTGGGCTGACCACAGGGATCCCTGGGACCACATTGTTTAGAACCCCGGAGTTTAGGTACCTGATGTTCTTACTAATTGCCTGTATCCGTAAACGATAAGCAGCCCAAAAAAGGAACCACATACAAGCCACCAGATAGGCCATGTCTTACACCCTGAACCCCTGGAACACTAAAGACAACGCTGGCGCCAGGCTCCTTCTTGCCCAAGTGCTGAGAGACAGGGTTCAAGAAGTCCGCAGCTGAGCTTGCCTTGTGCGGACAGGTCTAGGGCTCACTGTACGTACTGAAAGAGGACCCCCTATACCCGCAACCGACCACAAGCAGCACGCGCAAGAACCGCAATGGCTTAAAGCGGCCTGCCCTGTAGCTTAATTTTGTGGCATCTCGCCTAAACCCTGAAACCCCCGCATACCTCCTAACTAGCCAAGCAAGCACTAGGAGCCTAAAAGCTCAAACCGGTGGAGCTTCCAGGCCTCTGCCGGAAAAAGCACGAAGTCCACCACGACGCGCCAGATCGTCCTGGATGCCTGCATTGCTGCAATCCAGGAGTGGGGTTTCTGAACCCTAAACCCTTCAACCGTCAAACTTTAGGCTTTCAGTAAACCCGTCAGCTTTTCTTTAAGGAAGGAACTGTGGAAATTGAAAGCCATTCTTGGAAGGAAATCCGGGTCATCAAGCCCAGCACATGCGTTGAGATCACGCCGAGAGAGACAATCCCAGTGGCTGGCAAACCTAGCACCCTGGGCCCCCAGAAACACTCTGACACCCTTTGCCCTCAACTCTCAACCCTAAACCCTAACCCCTCAACCCTAGACCAACCCTAAACCCTCAACCCTCAACCCTAAACCCTCAACCCTAATCCCTAAACCCTAAACCCTAAACCTTCAACCCTCAACCCTAAACCCTCAACCCTAATCCCTAAACCCTAAACCCTAAACCTTCAACCCTCAACCCTAAACCCTCAACCCTAATCCCTAAACCCTAAACCCTGAGCCCTAATCTCGCACGGCGCCTCGGCGCCGTACTCCGCGCCAGGAGTGCCACTACCGCTGAAGCCCGTCCTGACTTCTAGCGAAGTGGGATGTAGGGCTTACAGGGTGTAGGGTTTAGGGTTTAGGGTTTGGGGCCATTTTGGGGGTTTAGGGTTTAGGGTTTAGGGTTTAGGGTTTAGGGTTTAGGGTTTAGGGTTTAGGGTTTAGGGTTTAGGGCCATTTTGGGGGTTTGGGGTTTAGGGCCATTTAGGGGCTACTAGGGTGTGGGGTTTGGGGTTTAGGGCCGGTTAGGGCCATTTAGGGTGTTGGGCAGATGCAAGGTTTCAAGGGTGCAAAGGGCTTATAGGTTTCAGGGCTCAACACTTAAATTTCAACCTTTGTAGGCTAAGGGCTTAGAGTACTAAGGCCTTGAAGGCAGTTGAGGCGTTTATAGGGCCTCCGGGTTGATATGATTGGAGTGACACCTTTTCAATGCACCTGAGCTGTGGTTTTTGGAAGGGTTGCGGACGCCTGCTCTGGTGTAGGGTTTAGGGTTTAGGGTTTAGGGTTTAGGGTTTAGGGTTTAGGGTTTAGGGTTTAGGGTTTAGGGTTTAGGGTTTAGGGTTTAGGGTTTTAGGGTGCCCTCTGCAAACAACTTTTGCAGACCCTGAAGATGGCACGTGGAATTTAGATCAGCCTTTTGCGCCCACGAACCATGAGCCCTAAATTCCCTTAATGCCCTACATGCCCTACATGATCTAAATACCCTCAATACCCTAACCACCCTTAATGCACTACATGCCCAAATAACCTGACTGCATAACAGGTGCTGAGCACGGAGACCGCGGCCCTCTTCGAAGACCTGCAGAGGCAGAGGGGCGTTGCTTTTCTGAGCCTCTAAGCTCACGGCTTCAAAGCTCGACCCCCTAAACCCTAAACACGAAATAAACCCTAAACCCTAAACCCTGAACCCTAAACCTAAACCCTAAACCCTAAACCCTAAACCCTAAACCCTAAACCCTCAACCCTAAACCCGAAACCCCAAGCCCGTTCTTGCTTCATGGGCTTCCAGGAGTTATGGGTCACACGAAAATGGGGAAGAGAGTTTTGGGCTTAGGGTTTGACTTTTTTTGGAGTGTCGTGATCCAGAAACATCCAACAAACACTGGCCCTCGGAACCTAAATCCACCCGCACACCCCAACCCCGAAAGATCCCGAAAAGCGCAACAGGCTTTAGGAGCTTAGGGGGTCAGCACTGCTTGCTTCGAACTCAGGGCACAGGTCCTTCAGGCTTCAGGGGTTTCCCGGGTTTAAGGTCTAAGGTCTAAGGTTAGCAGGCAAGTCTAAGGGGAAGTCCGAGGTATGAAAGCCGAGCCCATGCGAACCTGACGAGCGCCCAGCAGCCAAGTCGGAAGCTTGGCTGGAGCAAGTTCGCACCCCGGGTTTACCCTAAACCCTAAACCCTAAACCCTAAACCCCTGACGAACAGCAAGATAGGAGGCCTGAGCCCAGTTCGGAACCAGCCCAGTCGAGGGGCACCTCACTTTCTTGCAACAAAAAGCCAAGCGCCACAACAACGGCCAATTGTTTTGGGTTTCGGGTTTAGCGTTTAGGGTTTAGGGACTAGCTGCTTTTTTTCCGCCAATTCTTTGTTTATGCAACAAGCTAAGGGGTTTGGGGGCGTCCCGGGCTTTTTTGGGGGCTTAGGCTTGGGGCTTTGGGGTTCGGATTGCCATCTTTTGCAGCAGGCTCGCCTGAGGACTGCGACGCGCTACCCAAAGCCAAGCCCTAAACCCTTAAGCCCCATGACCCCCCATAACCCTATAAAGCCCTATAAAGGAAGCCGTGTAAACCCGACCCCCCTAAACGCAAAGCCCTCCAGCAGCCATGAAATTCAAGACCAACATTGGCCCTGCGCTGCGTGGCCGCCAGCATCTTGTAGCTGGTAGCGATGAGGGTCTCCCACTTCCTGGGTCTCGGGGTTCTAGAGGTTCTAGGAGGGTTTAGGGTTTAGGGTTTAGGGTTTAGGGTTCAGGTTCCAGAAGTTCCAGGGGTTCCAGGCGTTCCAGGGGTTGGGTTGTAGGGGTTACAGGGGTCCATAAACTCCAACACAGCACCCCCCCCCCCCCCCCCCCCCCCCCCCCTCAAATCCCCACGCGCATCTGGCCTTTGGGTTACAGTGGAGCCTCAAAAAAATAAAAAGATCAATCACACTACACTCTACAATCCCGAAAAACAACCGTATAAACTCTGAACCCCTAACCCCGGAATTTGAGTCTAGACTCTAGACTCGAAACTCTCAACCCCCAAAACCCGGAGTCTACAGAACCGGCCATTGAGCTCAGGGTCCCTTCGAAGCCGTCACCCTCGGAAGAGGATCCGCCATAGCGGGCATCGTGGGAGGCCCTGGGCAACGAGGACTTAGGGTTTAGGGTTTAGGGTTTAGGGTTTAGGGCTTAGGGTTTAGGGTTTAGGGTTTAGGGTTTCTTGGTACCCCAGTAACCATATTGTAGTAAGGGCACCCTTTTTTTGGTTGGCTAATTTATAAGGGAACCTTGAACCAAAAAAAGAAAAGGGTACCACTGGGCTACCAAGGTTTAGGGTTTAGGGTTTAGGGTTTAGGGTTTAGGGTTTAGGGTTTAGGGTATCTTCTGTTGGGTTCGTCAAACTCTAGAAACGAAGTCTCCCCGCGCAGCCCCATCCTCCCGAGGCTTGAATCAGACATCCCCCTGCACTTGCAAGGCTTGATCACAAAGAGAACGTGGGTGTGGAGGGCAGGAAAGAGCAGGAAGCGACGACTCAAAGGCAAGAGCCTACCAGCGAGGGGGGGGTTTAGGGTTTAGGGTTTAGGGTTTAGGGTTTAGGGTTTAGGGTTTAGGATTTAGGGTTTAGGGTTTGGGGTTTGGGGTTTGGGGCGGGGAGGGGGGGGGATGGCAGTCATGAGCTATTGCCTGCAGAACCAAATGGGGAACACCCGCCCGCCCCAATGCTATGTGGACGAGCGAGTGCCGTAGCCTCCGAAGGCACTGCCACAACGTCTCTGTCTCTGTGTGTGGATGGTTCCTCAGACGGCCTGTGATACGAAGCCCTCCCTTTTTAAGGATGAATTCTTTGAAATTCTCTACAAGCAAGCAAAACACGAACTAGAAAAGTTAGAAATCATCAAAGACAGCGGGGGAAGCAACCTTGTGGAACAACCCCAAAGAGACCGAGGCCAGACTCTCGACACGTTTGGAGTTGCTCCCCGCTGAAGTGCTTCTTCGTCAGAGACTCGACTGTCTCTGACTGTTTAGGGTTTAGGGTTTAGGGTTTAGGGCGGCTTAGCAACATCACGACTCAAGGAAACTCTGGCGAGTACACTGGCGAGTGCGGGCAGGACGCATGTAGTCCCGGCACAGGCGGTAGACGCCCGGTGCATGGTAGCTGGGATTCTGACCTGCCATTAGAGCATCGGGGCTCATAGCAAGGTGGTTTGAACCCCAAAAACATCTACCTGCCCAACTACTTTTATGCATTGCCTTGCAATTACGTGGTAACGTGTTGCGCCAGGGCTGTGATTTAGGCTTCGTGTTGGTGACTTGGGTTAGACAAACTCGGCAGTTGTTGCAATGGTTGTGTTACTTACTAAGTCACACTCGGGAGCGAGGGAAGCAACCGGGACTTTGAACTCAAAGATCCACGTGTGTACCATTCGTGCTGGGTGGAAAGCCCTGAGCAGGTTTAGGGTTTAGGGTTTAGGGTTTAGGGTTTAGGGTTTAGGGTTTAGGGTTCAGGGTTTAGAGTTTAGGGTTTAGGGTCCCCCCCAAACCCAAAAACATGTGGTAAACCTAAACCTCCCCAATTGTACTTGTTTGAACGAACATTCCTTCAACAATTGCATTACAAGAGTATGGCTTTTTTATGTACTACATTGAGTACTATTCTCGTTTAAGATTTCAATCAAAGGTTCATGCAGAACACCTATTTTCTGCGTATTGTTCTTGGAAACGATGAACGCCTCCACGCTAGTGCCCCGAACCTTTCGACCCCCAAGCCCAAGAACTCGAAAGACCTAACGTTCCGGGTTTGGGGTTCCAGGTTTCGGGATTTATGAGTCATTCCCAAACTTCACCCCTCCCCCGGCCCCAAACCCAAAAACAACTAGAACACGCCAGAGCCCACAATCCCAAAACTCGAAACCCTGCACCCGCGTACACTCCATGCAAACCCCCCCTCTTGTTGGCCTTGGGAGCCCCAGCCGCCCCAGCAGGAGCCCAGCTTCACCTGGGATGGATTTTGGGGGCCCGGGAAAATGCGGTTTCGGGTTGAGGGTGTTCGGGGTTATATAATAAGTGGGTAACCCTAAACCCTAAACCCTAAACCCCAAACCCTAAACTCCCCCATCGGCACTTAAAACTGCTTCCCAAGCCCAGTGGCGATCTGGTGGCTGCCGCTTGGGGAAGGTGTCGTGGAGCTGACGTAGAACTGCCTTGGGGGGAGGCTCGGAGACTGGGAGGCTCCTAGCCCTAAACCCTGAACCCTAAACCCTAAACCCCAAACCCTAAACCCCAAACCCTAAACCCTAAACGCCACACTCTAAACCCTAAACTCGGAGGGCTCAGGGGGAGGGTTTAGGGTTAAAGCATCTTCGGGTTCACTGCCGAGGGCCCCAGCCCCTAAAGCCTCTGCTGCTGATTGTTGTTTGGGTTTAGGGTTTAGGGTTTAGGGTTTAGGGTTTAGGGTTTAGGGTTTAGGGTTTAGGGTTTAGGGTTTAGGGTTTAGGGTTTTTAGGGACTTTCCCGCAACCCTCATTGGCTGTGGCGGCCTGAAACTGTAGCCCCTTGCCCCCGCAAAAAAACCCGACATATCAAGCTCCCAGGGTTTAGGGTCTGGGGGTTCCGCAAGGATTTGGCGGTTAACGCCTCATGCTTGCGAGAAACTTGCAGGTGTCGTAGGCCCACTGGCCGACTTCATCCAGCCAGTCCTCACAAGTTTGTTGTGCACTTTCTGCCTTAGCCAAACTCCTAACCCCTAAACTCTAAACCCGCTCATCCATAGACACACGTGGTTCCGAAGGCCTTCGTAGACCTGACATCCTCCAGCCTTGCAGCCGTATACACTCTTCCTCCAACGTCCCACTCAGAAAGCTACGGTGCACTCTACAGACATGAACAAGGGAAAGCTGCGCCAACCAGGCGTCTGCTACAGTAAAGGGGCTCGGTGTTGATGACCCCCTCCAGCGCCAAGACTTTACATGTTTAAGCCTCCTAAACCCTAAACCCTAAACCCTAAACCCTAAACCCTAAACCCTAAACCCTGAACAGACTGAGCGAGGTTGTTATTGGGCATCCTTGCCCTGAAACGAGGCTTGGGGCTTAGGGGTTTGTGCAAACAAAGACGATCCAGGTATTGGCGATTAAACCGATGTAGGGCCTCCCGAAACCACGGTTTAGGGTTTAGGGTTTAGGGTTTAGGGTTTAGGGTTTAGGGTTTAGGGTTTAGGGTTTAGGGTTTAGGGTTGAAGGTTCAGGGCTTACGGGGTTTAGCATGGGTGTTAGGCACCGGGCTTATGGTGGCCCAGCCCCCCAGGCTTGCTTAACCCGGGACACCCTGCACCCTGAGCCATCGCCTTATCTGAGCCCAAACAGCTACCCTAAACCCTAAACCCTAAACCCTAAACCCTAAACCCCAAACCCCAAACCCTAAACCCTAAAACCCCCTAGACCCTAAACCCTAAAACCCCCTAAACCCTAAGCCCTAAGCCCTAAACCCTAAACCCTAAAGCCTAAACCCTAAACCCTAAACCCTAAACCCTTCCCCCACCCCCCCCCCCCCCCCCCCCCCCCCCCCCCCCCCCCCTTGTTGTGGGTATGCCATCCATCCCGGTCCGGCTGACGGCTGGTGCCCTCCAAGGCCAAGACGGCCAGCAACCTCAGTTCTGATCCGAAACCCTCGTGTACGATGATGTTTTATAGCATGGCATTGTTACATTACTATATTGCTATATTGCTGTATTTCTATATTTCCATATCTCAATATTACTATGTTACGATGTTGCTATTACTAGATTGCTATATCACTATATTTCTCCACCACGGGAATTGGAGAAGAGAGGCTTTGGGATGGAATTTAAGGGCTGAGGGTTGAGGCTTGCAGGGTTCAAGTTTTTATGGGTTTTGGGTTTAGGGTTTAGGGTTTAGGGTTCAGGGTTCAGGGTTCAGGGCTCAGGGTTGGGTGCCCCTCAACGCCACTTGCTGCCCCATGGCATGCCCAGCAGGGCATCCACGTCCCCGTCTGGCGCTGCCCCGCGGCCCACCACACGAGTCAAGTCCTGCTGAGGAACTCTACCAGGGCTCCGGGTGGCCCCTAATCAACCCTAAACCCTAAACCCTAAAACCCTAAAACCCTAAAACCTAAGCCCTAAATACCCTAAACCCCAAACAATATACCTAAACAATGAACCCCACACCCTCGCCCATGAATCCAGAAGAGGTGGGTTGGGGCTTCGAACTTGAAAGACAAAAACGCTCAGCTTAGGATCAGGATTGCGGACTTTAGGGGATATGGACCCCGCGTGGTAGCTTCGGATTATGCAGACCCTTGTAAGATTCTTCGGCGCCCTTTGGGTTTTGGGTTTGGGGTTTTAGGGTTTACGGCTTCCATCGTGAAGGGGCTCAGGGCTAAGGGGTCCTCGCCGAACTTCCAGTGGGGCAGGCAAGGGTAGCGGCCGCCCCCGCACCTCGCGAGGTCTTGCGGCAGGGGAGAGCAAGAGTCTTCCTGCAATAAGGGGCTGCAGCGACATGTCAGTATGATCATGGCTCACTACTTTGAAGAGACAAACCTGAGTTGAGTCGGTTTAAACCCAGAGTCTTTAGAGGAATCTGGAGGGCGAGGGCCTAAGCTCAGCCCTAAACCCTGTAAACCCTACAAACCCGGCAATCCCTGTAAACCCTGTAAACCCTATATGCCCTAAATACTAAGGCTGCCGGGTTTGCTCGGCTTTGGGACGCCACGCCCTACGCCCTACGCCCTAAATTGTAAAAACCTCGATAGGGCTTAGGGTCTAAACCCTAAACCCTAAACCCTAAACCCTAAACCCTAAACCCTAAACCCTAAACCCTAAACCCTACACCCTACACCCTACACCCTAAACCTATACCCGTTGAGCCATGGATGCTGGAACCCCTCGTCGTCTTGGCAGCTGCCCCCCGCGGCGCTGAGCTCGCACATGCGGCGCCAGCCCAGGAAAAGCCTGCGGCCCGAAGCCTATGGGTCTAGGGTTTAGGGTTTGGGGTTTAGGGTTTAGGGTTTAGGGTTTAGGGTTTAGGGTTTGGGGTTTAGGGTTTGGGGTCTAGGGTTTAGGGTTTGGGGTTAGAGGGTTGAGGGTTGAGGGCTATAGACCCTAAGCCTGAGTCCCATCATCGTGGCCTTGATGATTAGAATCAATTTAAAACCCAAACCCTCCATGTGAAGTACTTAGGGGTTGCGGATGATCGTGCTTGTGTTTATCTGGCCAGATCTCTGAACGATAGCTCTTCTTGGGCTACCCTAAACATACTGCTTGGCGCCAACACTAACCCTAACCCCAAACCCTAAACCCTAAACCCTGTTCACCCTAAACCTACACCCCATGGGCCCAGCAGCTCGTGGGTGAGCTCCGAGACGCGGCCGAAGTCTGAGTCAGAGCCTCAGATAGCAGACAAGTTGTCCCCCAGCACGGGGTTTAGGGTTTAGGGTTTAGGGTTTAGGGTTTAGGGTTTAGGGTTCGCAAAATCTGTGAAACCCATCCTGAGGGGGCTGGGGTGGGGGTTGGGGGGGAGAAAGGACAAAGTGAATCCCTAAACCCTAAACCCTAAACCCTAAAACCTAAACCCTAAACCCGAATCACCAAAAAACTCATAGGGCTGAGTGTGTAACCCCCCAAGCCACTGAGCCCAGCTTGTGCAATGCAGGGAGCCCATGGACGCCAGCAGGCCTCCGGCAAGAAGGAGTCCGTATCCCTGGCTCTCCGAGACCTTTGCTTCAGCTCATGTGCTCTCCGAAGATGGGTGGGGCTTAGGGTTTAGGGGTTTAGGGTTTAGGGTTTGGGGTTTAGGGTTTTAGGTACGTTGCCATCAAGGGTCGACGCCCCCAGCAGCTCCGCCAGATGACTGCACCGCTCGAGCCTGGCGGTTGTCATGGGTCCCCAAACCCTAACCCCAAAAACCCGTGAGAACACCCCTAACAAACCGAAACCCTACCCCCAACACCCCGATGCCCTAAAACTCAGCTTAAGGAAACGCTGAGGGAACTCTGCGTCAGAGGACCCCATGTCAGCATTGGTGGAAGCCTTAACGGCCCCCCTCGTGGGATGGGGGGGGGGCCTTTAGGCCTCAAAGGCATCGAGTTTAGGGGGTTCAGAAAGCCGAGAAGCCCTAAGGAACGGAATTGGAATCGCAGTGCTACTGAGCATATCCCTGAAAGACTTATAAACGCTGTAAACCCTATCAAACTCCATAAAACCTCCAAAGCCCTGTAAACCCTGTAGACCCGAAGAACCCTATAAACCCTACTATAAGCCCTATGAAAACACTAAAGACCTGTAAACCCTATAAGCAGCCCGGCAAACCCCATCCCATGAAAACGCGATGGACCCTCTAAACCCCACAACAAACCTCAGACCGGGTGAACCCTCTAAACCCCACAAAAAACAAACCTAAACCCTAAAACCCTCCCTAAACCCTAAACCCTAAACCCTAAACCCTAAACCCTAAACCCTAAACCCTGAACCCTGAACCCTGAACCCTGAACCCTGAACCCTGAAAACCCTGAACCCTGAAAACCCTGAAAACCCTAAACCCTGAACCCTTAAGATAAAGCCAACTTCCAGCTCGCGCCTTGGAGCCCGGCACGGGCTGATTCGTCAGCGCGTCGGCGAATTCAAAGAGCCGGTCCTGGCAGAAGCTTCGAGGCTGGAGCTTGGCCTTGCATCGTTTGGGGTTTAGGGCTAGGGTTTAGGGTTTAGGGTTTGGGGTTTGGGGTTTGGGGTTTGGGGTTTGGGGTTTGGGGTTTGGGGTTTGGGGTTTAGGGTTTCGGGTTTAGGGTTTGGGGTTTGGGGTTTGGGGTTTGGGGTTTAGGTTTAGGGTTTAGGGTTTGGGGTTTGGGGTTTGGGGTTTGGGGTTTGGGGTTTGGGGTTTGGGGTTTGGGGTTTGGGGTTTGGGGTGGTTTGGGGTTTGGGGGCTACATGGATGTTAAGGGATGTAGGGCTTGAGGGTCTAAATTAAGGGGTTTGAGGGGCTTGAGTCTTGAGGGGCTTAGGGGATTCATGGTTTCGGGGTTTCAGGGTTCAAGCGTGTTGGGACGCAAGGGTTGCGGGCTTTTGAGTCTGCAGGCTCTTTTTGTTTTAGTTGTTTTTTGTGTTTTTGTTATCTCTTTTTTTTTTTTTTGGGGGGGGGGGGGGAAATAACCTAGACCCTAAATCTCGAAACTATTCCCAGCCCCCTAAACCCTAAACCCGGAACCCTAGACCCTAAGCCTAAACCCGCGAAACCCCAAAACCCGAAACCCTAAAACCTACGTGAGGATGCGTGAAAACCCCCTATCCCAGAAAATATCCCTGAATTACGACATCGTTCTTGTTTACTCGTATCGTTTTCTCGAGTTTCAGCATTATTCTGAACGCTATCGTTCTTTTTTACTCTGATCGTTTTTCTCGAGCAAAACGCACATCTGATCATCTCGGGGCGCTTCTCTTTACTTTTCAATACCGGGGGATTTTTATCATCCCTCACATGGCGAAGAGCTGGCCGCCGGGTCCTTGCTCGATCCGACCGTGGAAGTGCGGAAGGCGCCCGAAGGTCCTGGTGGCACATTTAGGGCCTACAGGGCTTTTACGGGGTCTACAGGGTTTTACAGGGTGTTTATAGGGTTTTTACGGGGCTTACAGGGTTTTGTTTAGAGGGTTTTAGTTTTTACGGCGTTTACAGGGCTGTTTTTTAGGGCTTTAAAGGGCTTATAAGGTGGGCGTAATTACAGGGGTTTATGATCTCATCCCAGGTAAGGTGTTCCATGATCTAACTAGGTACAGTTGGCTGTAACTCAAGGCATCGAAGTTCATTGAGAAGGCTTTGGGCTTGGGTCGTCCTGGGCCAGGCGACGGAACCGGCCGTGGCTGCGGCTGCGGCTGCGGCGCAGGTGACGGCGACGGGGCAGGACGGCCCTTGTCCAGGACCTTGCGTGTAGGCTTCAGGGTGTATGGTTTAGGGAGCAAGGCCTCTGAACCACAAAAAACTGCTGATCGACTTGCTGAAGGTTGTGGGCTTTTTGGGGGCTGTGCTTTTTTTGGGGGCGGCTTAGGGCTTATCAGGGGAAGTTCTGCCAAGATTTTCGGGCTCAGGGCCCTTCCGGGCAGCCCAGAACCAGACCCTATTAGTGCCCATCATGCCCCACCAAATACGAATGTCCCTAACCCCCAACATTCCAAAAAGGCTAAATCCCCAAACCCCGACCCCTCATCGAGACCACATATCGCAGCCTCGCACGTCCAGGGCGTGCGGAATTCCTGCGAAATTGGAGATTCTGCGGCTCTCTTCCCTAAAAGGTCGACCCTAACTTACCCTAACCCTGTAAACCCAAAACCCAAAAACCCAAAAACCCAAAAACACTAAAAACACTGAAAACACTGAATTGAAAGGTGTGGGGGGGAGGGGGGGTGTCAACAGGCGCGAGGCTGCAGGAAGGATGGGCTGGTGTGCAAGGGATGTTTCAGGTTTAGTGCTCTGGGTTCTCTTTGGCCAAAGGCCAACTCGCCAAGCATGTCACCTTGAGCCCTAAACTCTAAGCACACAAAGAAGGCCTTCGGTCCACGCAAAACCCCAAAGACCAGTCGAGGCCATGCCTACCTCCGCTTTAAGACCCCAGAAGTTGATGGGTCAGAATCGGTTTCAGGTGTAAAGGCTTTGCTTAGGTTGTAGGTCGCGAAACCAAAGACAGGGTTTCGCCCCCCCCCCCCCCCCCCCCCCCGCGAGGCTCCAGGCACGACGATTTAGGGAAGCAGAAGGCCGAACCCCTGAACGCAAAACCCTGTAAATTTAAGAACTCCTCGGGGTCGCTTGGGTTCACGCTGCCGGGCGTGCAGCTGCGACGGCAGGCCGCCCAGAAAGCATCCTGGAAAGCTACCACCAGGATTTAGGTCTGCTTTTTGTGGTCCGTGATGCATTATGGTGCGCACTATACACGTGCGCTCCTTCTCGTAGCATGTGTGCCCAGCTTGCTGGCAGCAGCCAGCATCCCGGCAGTCGTCGCCGGGGGCCGCGCAACCCGAAGGACCCGAAGCACGGGAGGTGGTGGGAGTGGGAGTGGTAGTGGGGGCTGCAGTGGTTTGCGGGGCTCCGGTTGTGGGTGGCCTCGGTGCTGGGGAAGGCCTAGGCCCGGGCCCGGAGCGCGCGGAGCAGGAAGTCCCTGTGGCCACCGGCCAGCTGCTGAAGCAGTCCGGGAACGTGGCCTGGAGCGTCTGCGACGAAGCACTACAAACTCAAAGGACAGGGGTGAGGAGAAAGGCAGAGGGGAGAGGGAGAGAGAGAGAGAGAGGGAGAGAGATAGATAAACAGAGCGAGTGAGAAGTGTGGCAGCAAGCGATTCTGGCGGGTCCTAGTCTGGTAACCCCACCTAAGAACCCGAGCCCTCTGGCCCCCAATGCCTCCCGTCCGCCCTCGAGGCGCAAAGTGAACTCGGCTGATGAGCCGCTGCCCCCGAGATTTGCCTGCCATGCGGGAGCGAGGGTTACTCAAATCCTGTCCTACCTTGGGACCAAATGGACCCGAAACGTGGGATCATCTGCCCTTTGCTACGTTATGGCCCACTAGAAGGCATCGTCATGGACCAGAAGCCCTTTCAACCCCCAAAGCCATACATGGTGCCCGGAGAGCTCCCAACTCTATCGGCCTTTAAAGCCCTACGCCCCAAACCCTCCCTTGAAGGAGGCACCCCTAAAACCTTGCTTTGAAAAAACGAAAAAAGCATCCAAACCCTCCTACAGCTCTCTGAACCCTGAAGCCCGAAATCCTGGCCTGCCAGCTGGCGCCGGAGACGCGCCTCATCTCATAGGCCTCTCAGGATCTTTGGAGGTTTAGGGTTGAGGGGTTTTGCGTTTTGGGTCTACAGGGTTTAGGGTCTGGGGTTTAGAGCTCAGGGTCTCATCTTAAACCCGGAACCCCATTTAGGGTTTGGGGGTTAATGGGGTTTGGGGTCGGGTTTGGGGTTTGGGGTTTAGGGTTTAGGGTTAGAACCCATGTGGGGCTTGGGGGTTGTAGGCTTCAAGGCTCTTGGGGGGGCATAGCTCTTTGCTTTGGGAGTTGCAACTTTACAAGGCATCGGGGCCACAAGCTCGAAATCACTATCATTGGGGGCCCTATAAGCCCTGAGCGCTAAGCCCCAAATCCTTCCTTTGAGGGAAGGGTCCCTCTGTCTCATACCTTAAAGGCTTTAGGGCTTCTAAGGCTTAGGCACCGAACTCCCGAGCATTCCCAACAACTATACTCCCCTTAGAAACTTAATAAAACAATATTCTTAATATCCTCTTGGGTTTTATATAAACAAAATGTATAATAATTCCCAAGGGGGATAGAGCTAGAGTTCCCAACAGAGAAGTCGCAAGCTTGGGGGCACGAGAGCCTTTTCGTCGACCGAGATCGAGGCGCCGACCACGGCGTACGGCAAGTTCGAGAAGATAGCTCTCGTATACCTGGCACCCCGAGGAGTCTTTAGGGGAAAGTACCCAAAACCCTAAACCCTAAACTGCTGGACATTGGGGTTTGGGGCGTAGGGTGTAGGGTATATATAGGGTTCAACGATGGGGCTCACGGGCAGAAGGAAGCACATCGCAACTTGCGAAAACCATGCCTTAACCTGCACGGCATGTGTCCCCTGAAAGGGGAACGGGTCGATTCTCAGAGGTTCGGGGGAGCCAGGGTCGATCGATTGCAAAGGTACCAGTTCTGTGGGGGCAATTTGTGGCGCGCTCCCGAGGCCCGATAGTCCCCAAAGTCCCTAGCTGGTACGAGCCAAGTCCGTAACCCCAGGCGTGCAGAGTTTAATTAGACCGGAGGAGTTCTGTCCTACATGACCTCACCCCTCACACTTAAACCGGCATGGGCTTGCCAGGCGTTGTCGCCATCGAGGATGGTGGCCACAGGCCCCGTGCCAATCACCTTCGGGAAGCAGGGCTTTCGGGTCATTTTGCGTGTGTGAGTCTGGGTTCACGGGTCTGGGTTCAAGGGGCACGGCGATTTCTTTGTGCGCCCTTCACGCAAAGGCCAGGCTATGATGGCCAATGTCTACAGCAAGCACCCGAAAGTCAGAGGATAAGACTGCTGGCATTCCGACTGCCCTAAACCCTATAAACCCTGAACCCTAGTGACCTCAACATCCCGATTTTTCTCGCAAGCCCTCCACCCTCAACTTTACTGACGCGCGACCGAAACCTTGCAGTTGTCAAGCAATTCTTCGGCCCCGAATCGCACTTAGGGTTTAGGGTTTAGGGTTTAGGGTTGAGGTCCTCCAGATGGAAAAACCTCCAAAACCCCCAAAGCAACAAAAAAAACCACATCTCCCCTCCAAAAAAACTTGAAAACCCTATCACCTAAACCCAATAACCCGAAAGCCTCAGCCCTGCCGGGGGTTTTGTGGGGGTTTGGGGTTTGGGGTTTAGGCTGAGGGTTGAGGGTTCTAAGGTTTTGGGGTTTTGGGCTTTGGGGTTTTTTGGGTGTCTGCCGATGGATGGCCCGAGGGCTTGCGAACCCTCAGTTCCTTGCTGCCTCGCATTCCACGGGCTCGAGGCTCACCTGCCCCCCAGGGGCCCCAGAGGGAGAGGTCGGGTTAAGGGTCTGGGGCCTGTAGGGCTTGAAATAAGTAGATATTATGGCTTCCATTCCCAATTCTGAACTGAAGTCTAAGCAAGATCTAGATTAGGGGGGCCTTGGGCCCTCTAGGGGGGGGGCATCCAAGACGTAGGGTTTTGGGCCGCGAAACCCTGTGCCCTAAGTTTCGAGATATGAGGCTTTGGGTCTAGGGTGCAGTCTAAGGTTGACCATGGGCCCTAGTATGGTCCCTTACCCTTGCCTGAAGGGAGTTAAAGGGATCCAGAGTAGGGGGCCCTTATTATGCATAGTGTGTCTAAGGGTTATATAACAGGGACCCAAATCAAGGGCCCATACTTCGGATCCGCTCTGTCGGGTTTTGGGGTTTAGGGGTTTACGTTTAGGGTTGCGGGGTTATCGGGTTTCGTGTTCAGGATCCTCTGAAACACAATAAGCGGAAATAAGAATGTCCCGAAGGCTTACCTAGAATCTGAGGGATTTAGGGTTTGGGGTTGGTGGCTCAAGGGGTTTATAGGGCTTAGGGCTTAGGGCTTAGGGTTTAGGGTTTAGGGTGTTAAGGTTTAGAGAGTTCAGTCCGGGTGGGCTTGGGACGCGTGCTTGGGCTGCGAAGGAAGCAGGCCATCTGCAACTGCTATAGCCCTCGATGGCCGCGAATACAGATACAATGAGATTCTTAGGGTTTAGGGTTTAGGGTTTGGGGTAGACCCTGATAAGGTTGCATCGAAAGGTACCTAGGGGTTACTAAGCATGGGTCTGGGGTCTGGGGGTTTCAAGGTTTAGGGGCTTATAGGGTTTATATAGGGTTTAGAAGGCTTGATTTGTATGGCTTGCCGGGGACAGGACTTGCAGGGTCGTAAGGCCTTAGATTTCATCGTCCCGGCTGTGTCGCGACAAGAGTCCTGGCGAAACTCGAACCGTAACCCCTGAACCCTAAACCCCAAACCTTCAACCTAACACCCTCAACCCTATTAAATACCCTCAAAATACCCTCAACCCCTTTGTCATACTCTCCACCCTAATGCCCGCAACCCTCAATCCTGACACACCCTCACCCCTAAACTCTAACCCTGAACCCTAAACCCTCCCTTCCCCCCCTTTGGGAGAACCTCAAAAGCGCCGCGGTCCGCACCGGCCACGGCGCGGAAGGCGTCCAAGTGACACTCCAGGCTGTTGGAGCCTCGGGTTTGTGGATGAGGGTTCAGGGTTCAGGGTTCAGGGTTTAGGGATTCGGGCGTGGGGGCTTAGAGTTTAGAGTTTAGGGTTTTTTGGAGGCTCAGGGTTAGGGTTTAGGGTGTAGGGGCTTAGGGCTTAGGGGTTGGGGGTTCAGGCTTCAAAGAGGGTTTAAGGGTTAAGTGTTTAGAGATTTTGAAGGGTTGAAGGGCTTACCTGGGACTATTTACCTACAGTTTAGTAGTAATTACCCTGAATTAGTACGTATGACCCATCAACCTGTAGGTAAAGAGGGTCTCAGGTAAGGACTGAGAGTGGGGTCCAGGCCGATTGGGGAGTTAGGGGAATAGGTCTTCTACAATCATAAAGCAGTACTGAGAACCTCTAAGTTGTTGGGGCAAGGCTTCAGGTTTGGGACTTTCTGGGTTTGGTGAATTGGGGGGGGGGGGGGGGGGGGTTGTTATAGCAAAACTCACGCACATGCAACAAAAAAAACTAAACCCTACACCCTGAACCCTGAACCCTAAAAGCCAGAAAAACAAAACACTAAACCCTAAACCCTGAACCCTAAAAGCTAGAAAAAACACTAAACCCTAAACCCTAACCCTAAAAGCCAGAAAACAAAACAAAAAAAAAACAAGAAGCCTCCGTGGGAGCCGATGACCTGCACGACCAGGTTCCCCTGTCCCTCGCGATGTGCCTCATGGATGCGGGCAGCCCCCCTCCTAAACTAGGGTTTAGGGTTTGGGGTAGACACTGATAAGGTTTCTTCTTTGATCTGCCAGGGCTTTGGGGTTGAAAGGTCTCGAATCCGGGGGGCTGGGCTGTGCTCTCAAGCCGCGAGCCGGGGGCGTGGCGTGACATCTTCTCAGGTGCTTTACTGTAGGGTTTAGGGTTTAGGGTTTAAGGTTTAGGGTTTAGGGTTTAGGGTTTGGGAAATTTGGGTACCCTTCTTGGGGCTCCTTTTACAGGGTTTTCGCACCCCGGGGTATAAAAGGGGGATCCCCATTGCCCTTTGCCACGTTTTGGGTTCATGGCTTATGGTCCCCCACACAACTTACCTAAGGAGAAAAACAAGCTTGATGTGAGCTGCTGAGCTGCAACGAACAGCTGCTTAAGCCCTGAACCCTGTAAACCCTAAACCCTAAACCCTATAAACCCTAAACCCTATAAACCCTAAACCCTAAACCCTATAAACCCTAAACCCCAAACCCTAAACCCTAACCCTAAATCGGAGGCGCCTTCCAGCAGGAGCCGCAAGCAGATCCGCTTGCGTAGATCTCCTGTCAGAACAACACCGTCTCCATCAAAGCTGTTTCAGGGGCTTGCGGGTGTTTCATTGGGGTTGAGGTTATGCCCTACGGCTTAAACAAAGCCCTGAACACAGAATCGGCGGGAGCTATCTCCAGATGGCTTGAGTTCGGGTTGCGCAGAAGCATGGAACCGATACCCCAGACACAAATCCCCCTCGGGTTCTACGTAAACAAAACAAAATTCCGAGTGGACGATAGCTTCCCAGCTGTTTCCAACATCCGTCCGACTTGGCAAGGCAAACCGCACGCGTCTGCAGGTATTTGCTGGTCGCCGCAGGTGACCTTGGCTCCCGAAGTTTCGGATGCAAATCCCAACTAAAGCCTAAAACCCCAAACCCTAGCCGTTGGTGATTGAGAAGATCATATTGCTATGTTTTTGGTTTTTTTGTTTTTTAGTGGGGGGGGTGCAGCCTGGTCAGGGTATCGAGGCTCCGCCTCCAGACCCTGGGCTGAGTCATGCCAAAACCTTGTAGATTTTTTTTACAAGGGGCTCAGGCTTGAAGGTTTCGATTGCAAAGGGTTTCAGTTGCACTAGGACTGATCTCGTTTGGTATCTATTTCGGCTTCTGAGCTAGTTCCCTCCCTACCCCAAAGCACCCTAGCAATCGCTTCGCCTCTATGCCCCCGAAAGCCTAAACCCTTAACCCCGAGTGCCCGAAACCCTACACCCTAAATCCTACAGACCCTGTATACATCCTAAACCCTAAACCCTAAACCCTGAACCCTGAACCCTAAACCCTAAACCCTAAACCTTCGGAGCTGCTCGAGGCCCCCTGGCATCGCCCTGGCGTACTCGCAGGAGGCACCCGCCAGCGCCTTGGATACAGGTCTTATGTAGGGGGTTGAGGAGGGCTTAGGGTTTAGGTTTTAGGGTTTAGGGTTCAGGGTTTAGGGTTTGGGGTTGGGGGTTTAGGGTTTGGGCGAGATGGGTTTTCTAAGCTGCCTTTGAACCTTCTACGGCTACTTATGGGAGAAACCAACGAAAAGGTCCGACCAAATACCCCCAAGCCCTAAACCCTAAACACTCTAGACTCAAAACCTCACTGCAATTGGGCCGCCGAGGCATCGTCCGTCCAAACGCCCATGGTGGCCATCACCACCTGCAGGGGCTATAGGGTTCAGGGTTGAGGATTTTAGGGGTTTAGAAACTCGGTCTTTTTCACCATAACCTACAGCCAAAACCAGAACTACCCTCCACCCTCAGCCCCGAACCCACGGCCTCGTTCTGAAATTCCTTCTGCACGTGTGTGCGCCTCTGCTGAGGTGCAGGGTTTAGGGTTTAGGGTTTAGTTTAGGGTTTAGGGTTTTGGGGTTTAGGGTTTAGGGCAGGGGTCACAAGTTCACTCGGCCTTAACAACGGATCCTGGTTGAAGGGCTTCACAACCTCGGAGCCGCCAAGAACCCAGGCTTACACCTCAAGCCTCTTAAAGTCTGAAGATCCCAAAAGCCCCCTACAAAGCCCCGGAAACCCTACTCACCCCCCCTCCCCGCACCCCCACCGCCTAAACCCTAAACCCTAAACCCTAAACCCCAAACCCCAAAACCTAAACCCTAAACCCACACCCTCATGGAGGCCTTGCTTGGAGCATCAGCGGCCCCGCCGTGGCGGTGCAGTTCTCCGACGCGGAGGCCAGGCGGCCCAAGAGGAGCGCCCTGTGTGTCTAAAAGGGGGCTCGGAGGGTTTAGGGTTCAGGGTTTGGGGTTTAGGGTTTAGGGTTTGGGGTTTAGGGATGAACTGTGGCTTAGGAGGGTTTAGGGTTCAGAGGGTTTCTGTTCCGAGGGCTTAGGGTTTAGGATTTAGCTCAGATTGTAGGTCTCAGACGGCCCAGAGGGCATGGGGATGACAGTTTAGGGTTCGGAGGCTTGGAGGGTTTAGGGCTCAAAGGGTTTCCAGGCTTGATATAGGTCAGAGGGTTTAGGGTTTCGGGCGTTCGGGGTGCGCATGGTGGAAACAGCACCGAGGGTTCCAGTGTGCATGGCATCGTGCAGCCCTATAACGGTGTAGCTTCCGAACCCCAAGATCAACGTGAAGTCCAAGAAGGCGATTGCCATGAAATATTCGTTCGTCTATACTAAAAGTCACAATGCTCGTCATGTTGCACGGCCTCGGGATCCTGGATTTACGCAGGTTGAAAAACCGCTAGGGTTTAGGGCTTTCGTGCTTAGGCAGGGTTCAGGGTACGTACAGGGCTTAGCTTTTTTCCAAATCAGCAGAATCAACATGAGCATCACAAGCATGGATCCTACAGGGGGCCATATTGAGGTTGTCGAGGGCCCGCTGTCTTTGCTGAAAGGGCTCTGGTCCAGGGTCTTCTAGCGGCTCGGGAACCGAAAGCCGAAAGCCCTATAGAGGTGCTGGGAGGCCCCCCCCTCCCCCAAGAAAGCCGAAACCCCAACCCCCCAGCTGATAGAGTAGGCCCAGAAGTGCGAAGCTGATGGGGCTTAGGCTTCATGTTATCATGCTATCGGGATTGAGGTATCTCGCTTTAGGGGGTTAGAGTGCCGAACTCTTTCAGTGGAAGGTGCCATCCAGCGATGATGCACCGAAAGGCCATGGCTGCGCAAGTGAGAGGCAGGAGAAGCAGCTTGGAGCAAATTGCTGTCGGCATTTTAGGGGTTTAGGGTTTCGAGGGTTTCGAGCAGGAGCCTCAACACGAAACCCGAGCCGCGGGCTTTAGCTTTCCCGGCTGAGGCCACTCAACTCGGAACCCCCCAACCCCCAAAGTCCACGCACACGCGTTACAGGCGCAACCATCCAGGGTTGAGCGGTTTAGGGGCCGGTTCTTAGCAGGGAATGAGGGAATTAGGGCCCTATAGAATACCTTAAAGGGTATATCATTCCCTATTAAGAACCAGGGGTTCGGGGTTTGGAGTGGGGGGAAGTAGCTAGAGGTTTCATGATTCTAGGGTTTAGGGGCTTCAGGGTTTGGGGTTCAGGGCTCTAGGATTAGACAGGACGTACCCTAGACCCCACCTTAAACCCCTATCCGGGAACTTCAACGCCTGACAGCGCCGGCTGAAGTCAACCTTTTTCAAAAGGGTCGCCGCAGTCGGCAGTCTATTCCAGCTCGCCGCATGGATGTGTCGTCCGATGAACAGCGAGGTGCGCTTGAGGTCTGAACAGCATCCCCCACACATGGGTATCTCCCAAAACAGGGGTACCCCTTTTGCACGCCAAATAGAATAGAATCCCTTAAAAGGGACCCCCGAAAAGGGTGCCCCTATTTTGGGAAACCCCCCCACACATGCTCGGAAGCCTCCACGCCCTGAACCCTCAATTTGTCAAGCCACAGGGCTCGGATGCTTCTACCCTACAGCTCCCTGGCCCTCTGTTTGCAGGCCCCCTTTTAGGGTCCCGTCCCTAAAGCCCTTTAACCCCCATGACAGGTACCTAGTCCCCTACATTGATTAAAAGTGGAGAGCTGCCATGTGCAGCACTAGAAGAGGCCGTGCTTCTTCTTGGCATTCTCCTGGCGCTCAGAGGGTTCAAGGGCTTAGAGTTTGGGGTTTAGGGTCTCGGGAAACCATGCATACCCCCTGACCCCGAATATTAAACCCCCCCCCCGTACCCCCGAATAGTAAATACCCCCACATATACTATAAAACATAAATGGGGGGCGGGGGGGGGGGGTCTCTAATATTGGGGGGGGTAGGGGGTTTGAGATTCGGGGGGAGGGGATTAGTATTTAATTCACAAAGGAACTAAGTAGGCTAGACCCAGGAGCAACCTAGGAATTAAAGGGTGCCTTTTTTGGTTCTGAGGGAACTATAAGGGAACCCCAACCCAAAAAAGAAATGAGGGCCTACTCCGGGTCCTAGGTAGCATTGGATGAGGACTGCACCAGCTCTAATATAGGGGCCTGACTGATTGGTATAGGTTGCTTTTTTTTTTTTTGGGGGGGGGGGGGGGGGGGGTCCTTATAGTATATTTAAAGGGACCATAAGGGACTGCTATTCGTACCTATTCCGACCCATATTACCTTCTGCGGCTGTGGCCTTGCCTTTGTTTGCTTCTTAAGGGACTGGGCTTGGGAGGTTTCGTGTTGCGGTTTGTGGTTTTCAGGGGCTTAGGGTCTGGGATGTGGGGGAGTGAAAGGCCGAAAGGTTGGGGATTGGGTCTGGCGTTCGAGGCTTTGCCAGTGCGCGGCCTATGCACCTACATCGAAGACTTGAACCCCATGAGCCCCTGGGCCCTAGAGGCCCAAAAAGCCCGATAACGGCCTTCAAATCCCAAACCCCAAACCCTGAACCCTAAACCCTCAACCCCAAACCCCAAACCCTAAACCCTAAACCCTAAACCCAACCCCAGGATCCGCCTTCTTCCACTTGGGAAGCTTCGCAAAGTCCGCCTGGTCAAGCTCCGGCGCGGAGCTGTGGTTGGGAGTTCTTTGGATGGCGGCGGAATCTGCTTGAGTTTCGGGTTTAGGGTTTAGGTTTTTTTTTCGGTTTGGGTTTAGGGTTTAGGGTTTAGGGTTTAGGGTTTAGGGTTTAGGGTTTAGGGTTTAGGGTTTAGGGTTTAGGGTTTAGGGTTTAGGGTTTAGGGTTTAGGGCTCAGGGTTTCTTCCCCTGCTGTAAGGCCCGAAGACCCTAGACGGTTGCGATTTTGGGTCCAGCGTGGAAAAGCGGATCTCCTTTTTTTCAGAACATTATCGAAAGCCTTGTCAGCCGCCCAGAACCTCGACCCTTGTAAATCCCCAAGAGCCCTTCCGAGGCTTTAGGGTTTAGGGTCTAAGCCCTAAACGCCAAACCCTAAACCCCTTAACCCTAACCCGAAACTCTACTCTAAACCGAAGCCCCTAAACCACAAACACCTCAAGCCCTTTGGACTACCAACCTGCAGTCGACAGGTTTGCGGGTTCAGGGTTTGGCGGTTTAGATTTCAGCTCTGGAGGGGCCCAGGTGTTTAGTGGTTGGGGGGGGGGGGGGTGGCGGGGGTTCCCACATGGTACACTTTCAGCAACAAGCTAACGACTCCATCATTTCTCTGTTGCAAAGGCATGTAAGACATGTTCTTCTCTCGCCTTCGGCATGCCAAAAAGCTTTTGGAAGGTTGCCTCTGGCAGGTACGTCTCACCTGCAAGCCAAGAACCGCATGCTGTGTGGAGCTTCTGCTATATTGTTCAGGTTTGTGGGGGTTGGGTTCTATTTCTATCGATGTCATCAGCAAGTTGAGCACCCGACCTTTCTGCTTGGGCATGCCCTGGTGCTTGCACACCAGACAACACACCCGCACAAAACACAAAACACCCGCGAACACTAGATGGCCTTTGGGGGGGGTGGCCGGCGGGCACCTAAACCCTAACAAAAACCTAAGCCCTAAACCCTTCATATACGTAATCCGCATGACGACAGGCACCCGAAAAGACGGACCCTTAAATGGAAACCCTGGCCGCTCCGTGTCGACTGCCGGGGTCAGGGCTGCTGATGACTAATACAACCTGGAAGACCATGCTGCTCAAATGTCCATCAATATTTGTACTTGTCTTTGACATATGCTACATGAATCATAACTGTCTTATAGTGCATCGCAAAAACATACAACTCACTGTTCAGGCGCTCTGTTGCGGAAACTACACCTGAAAGGATTCTGAAAAATGACCGCAGCCATACACAAACGCTAAGCCCTAAACGTCCTTCTCTGGGGGTGTATGCCCGAAACCCCTATTGTCTGTCGCTTCTTCTATGAATCTCACAAGGGGCATCTTGTAACACTAATCTACGACATTTGGGCTCTTGGGCATTAGGGCGCATAGGGCGAACCCTGAACTGCCCTGGGGTTCTCAGGGCCCTGGCGTTCGGTGGAGACGACGTCTAACTTCTCCCAAACGCGTTTGTCCGTCAGCTGCCTCAGGCTTGGTTTAGGGACATAGCCCTATAAGGGTCCATGTACCTGATTCTTATGTACTAGGCCTCTGGAGTCCCCAAATAGGAGGCACCTTAGGGCCCACGATTTCCCTGCTTAGGTACATGGACCATCAGGGTAGGGGCTCGGCTGCAGGGTTCGCGGCCCTTAGCAAGGGGCTTAGAGTGGCCTCTTGCGACCCAGTCGTGACAAGATGCAGGGCTTAGGGTTTAGGGTTTAGGGTTTAGGGTTTAGGGTTTAGGGTTTAGGGTTTAGGGTTTAGGGTTTAGGGTTTAGGGTTTAGGGTTTAGGGTTTAGGGTTTAGGGTTTAGGGTTTAGGGTTTAGGGTTTAGGGTGTAGGGGTGTGGTGTCTTCTGATGCAAGCTTCACCACAAGAACATGACACGTGGCGCGGGGCTGATACCGACCCAAGGAGACCGAACACCCTGAACCCTTTTAAGCCATGCGGGGTGCATTGCACAGGTTGCTGCAAAGCTCGGGCCCAAGCCCTAAGCCCACCACTCCAACTTATGACTTCGCCTGTCTTTGCTGGACACCACAACAGAAAGACTAGACCGAAGAGGAACCTAGGAATAATCTGGGTGCCCTTGTTGCCCTAAACCCTAAACCCCAAACCCCAAACCCTAAACCCCAAACCCCAAACCCTAAACCCCAAACCCTAAACCCCCCCCCCCCAAAAAAAAGGAACAAGGGCCGACTCTAGGTCCCAGAAGGGCTCTGCCAAAGTGCTCGAGAGAGTAGCAGCCTTCCGGAATCTCCTTCCCACATGTTACGAGGATGGCCCTTAACACCCTCTGAAACATATTCATACATATGATCCTCCTTAACCCAAGAAGGGTAAATATAAAAAATACCCCAAGGGGGCCTATACCTAGGTTACGTGCGACCTTGCAGCCTGCTGCCTTCTCGGCAGGGCTTTAGGGTCCAGGGTTTCCGGGGCCTTTGTGCGGGCATTTTTTTTTTTTGAGGGGGGGGGGGGGGGGTGTTTGCTGAGCCCGAAGTCCTAAACCCTTCAGGCCCTACCAGCCCTTCAAGCCCTAAGCCCGAAACCCTTATATTCGCAATCCTGTTGGAGCTCTAAACCCTAAACCCTAAACCCTCTTGGTGTGAAGGTTTTTCAGCAGAGCCGCCAAGTTGAGGCAGGAGGCTGGCCCCATGAGGCGGCACTTGATGGGAGGGTTCAGGGATTAGGGTCTCGAGGATCCTGTCTACATATGTTTATAGACATGTCATGTATAATGACATGTGTATATGTATATCACGTACATAGAACTGTTGTTCATATATGTGTGTATATATATATAATGCATCAGGCTTCCAAACGAACCCCGTGTTTAGGTATGTTTGGGGGGGTTGGGGTGGGGTTGGGAGGACCCTTTAACTTTAACCCCTCCGCAGAAATCTACCGAAGTTTAGGGCTGCGGAACCCGACGCCGAACCCATGGGCAACTTGGGGTTCTCAAGTCTTATGGGGCCTTTGCCTGTGGGGGAGTGGCTATGAAGCTGTGTTGCTTGTGGCTTGGGATACCAAGAAAGGCCCAAGGTGATCTTAAGAACCAAGAAGCCCCAAATCCTGAACCCTAAGCCCTGAATCCTTATGAGTCCTGGGTGTCCGCATCTGCGGCCGCTGCAGCCGGTGTCTCTGAGCCCGCGTAGCCTGACCAGAACCCGTTTAGGGTTTAGGGTTTAGGGTTTAGGGTTTAGGGTTTAGGGTTTAGGGTTTAGGGTCCATGTTCGACCTTTGAACTACTCCCAGTTCGACCTTTGAACTACTCCCAGCGCGGCTTGGGACGACTGGGATGGCCCTCAAGACCGCATGAAACATATTCCTGAGGATGGTCCTCTTAACTTGGCTGCACTCAGGAGGATAGCTATAAATTAAACTTTTAGCTGCCTTAATAAGAAGCCCAATAAACCCAAAAAAGGCAAAGATCTAAAGTTACGGTAAAGTACCACAAAGTTAAACCCCATGAGGGACAGTGTACGCTATCCCAAGGCCCATGGGCCGACCGAGGTTAGTGGTTGGGGTGGTGGGGTTTCCTAGTTCATGGTTGAGATAGTATTTAAAATGTAAATCTCCAATTCATTATTGAGTTTAAGCACCTTTAAAGCAACTAGTATAGTTAATTAACTAGAATGAGTGAGTGCATACTGCGCGGACCGAAGTCCGTGCGACGTGAAAGTTTGAGAATGAGCTCCTCTACGTAGGTTTGTCCTCGAATTCTCTCTGGGCGTCATGGGAAGCATGTAGGCTCCTGTATTTCCCAAGGGGCGTTGTTCGGGATCTAGGTACGATGAACCTTTACTGAACCTTAAACCCGAAAAACCTAAACCCAAGAAACCTAAACCTCTAAGCCCCACAGCCCTACATCCTCAAACTCTGGACCCCAAGCAGCCCCAAACCCTAAACCCTAAAACCCTAAAACCCTAAAGCCCTATAGAGCCCTAAACCCTCAACCCTAAACCCTAAACCCTAAACCCTAAACCCTAAACCCTAAACCCTAAACCCTAAACCCTAAACCCTATACCCACAGCCTGCGCTGGCCACAGGGCTGGCCCCGGGCGTGGGGCTGTGCGAGGCACTGGTGGCCTCACGGGTCCAGGAAGGACGTTAACTACTTCATTGTTGGGATAATAATAAAAATTTAAAATGTTTATTCCTTATTGGGGTTAAGTACCCTTAAAAATGTAAAATGGTACCCAACTATGACTAAGTTAAAGGGTTTAGAGCTTAGCGGCTCTGGGAGCTTCGGGGTTTAGGGGTTAGGGGTTTAGGGGCTTAGGGTTTAGGGGTTTAGGGTTTAGAGCTTAGCGGCTCAGGGAGCGGCTCTGGGAGCTTCGGGGTTTAGGGGTTTAGGGGTTTAGGGGCTTAGGGTTTTAGGGTTTAGGGGCTTAGGGTTTAGGGGTTTAGGGTTTAGGGTTTAGGGTTTAGGGGTTTAGGGTTTAGGGGTTTAGGGTTTAGGGGTTTAGGGTTTAGGGGTTTAGGGTTTAGGGGCTTAGGAATTTTGGGGCTAGGAATGTACGGGTTTAGGGGTTTAGGATTTCAGGCCCCCCATGTCTCGGGCTTCGGGTGGGTCGGCGGATCCGGTCAGGGGCATGTGGAGCCAAAACATGGCGCAGCTGAATCTTCCCTAAACACTAAACCCTAAACTCACAAAGCCCTCAAAACCCTCAAACCCTCAGAACCCTCAAATCCTGCAACCCTAGAACGACGAAACCCTAAAGCCTTAAAACCCAAAAACCCTAAAGCCCCAAAACCCTAAAACCCTGGCCTTCTCGGACTTGTCTGGCTCCGGCTTCGCGGAGGAAGGGCTGGACGAAGGCGAGGCATCTGGCACCGACGCCGCAGAGCTCGGGGCCACCTTCGCGTGGCTGGGGGGACTTGCTTCAGGGCGCTTGGCTTTGGGGTTTAGGGTTTAGGGTTTAGGGTCTAGGGTCTAGGGTCTAGGGTCTAGGGTCTAGGGTCTAGGGTCTAGGGTTTAGGGTTTAGGGTTTAGGGTCTAGGGTTTAGGGTTTAGGGCTGAGGGTTTAGGGTTTAGAGTTGAGGGTGTCGGCTTCAGGGTTCAGGGTTCACGGGTGCAGGTGGAGGGGGTTTAGGGCTTCGGGTTGAGTGTGTAGGGCCTGGCCTCCATGAGGGTACAGGGCATCAGAGGTCTGATTGAAGTGGTCCCAGGATGGAAATGGGAGAGGTCTTGCGGCTGTATTGGCCGCTAGCTATAGGCTTGCCTTGAATTTGCCCGTGTTTCAGGCTTTGGGGTTAGTATGTACGCGTATATATATATATATATATGTATATGTATATATATATATGTAATATGTTCAGCAACCCTCAAGCCCAAATGTCCTTCTGCATTGAATCTCTAGACTCCTGAACCTTCGGAATCCCCCCAGACAGAAAAGCCCCCTACGCCCTGAACGCCAAACCTAAGCCCGAAGCCCTAAAACAGAAACCGGGCCTCCTTCAGGGCACCGCTGGCCTTCCCTCGCAAGAGGAGGTTCAAGAACTCCTGCCAAGGGTTAGGGTTTAGGGTTTAGGGTTTAGGGTTTAGGGTTTAGGGTCTAGGGTCTAGGGTTTAGGGTTTAGGGTTTAGGGTTTAGGGTTTAGGGTTTAGGGTTTAGGGCTTAGGGTTTAGGGTTTAGGGTTTAGGTTTAGGGTTTGCCCCCCCCCCCCCCCCCCCCCAAAAAAAGCCCCAGACCACTTGGCAAACCACATACTCTGCCCTGTCGAGGCAAGGGTTCATACGGTTTATGGGGCTTACACGCTTCAAAGGGTTTGTAGGGTTTATAAGGTTTGTGCAGGTTTTTAAGGTTGGTAGGGTTTGCAGTCAGGCTCTTTGGCTCTAGGGTTTAGAAGCTCTAGAGGATTCATGACCATCCTTGGCAAGATGCTCCTAAACCCTAAACCCCAAACCCTACACCCCTAAACCCTAAAACCCTCGATAGACATCCTGTTGCCATGGAGTCTTTCCACGCCGACACATACAGGCCTGGAACCCTAAAACGAGTTTAAGCTCTAAGGGGAGTTACACCGTCCGGGCCCTAACAGGTACCGCTTCCATACCCCTTATATACCCTAGACAAAAAGTGAAGGGCCCGTACATCAGAACCCTTTAAAGGAGGTTGGGGACCATATTAAGGCCCGTGAAACTTCCCTCAGATAATTCCAGCACCTGAAGACCAAGAAGGAATGCTACAACCTCGAACCCTAACCTGCACAACAAAGGCAAAAGCCGCAAACCCCTAACTAGGGTTTAGGGTTTAGGAACCTTACCCCCGTACTAAACTGCCTGCCTAACCCCCCCCCCCCCCCCCCCTTAGGGTTTAGGGTTTAGGGTTTAGGGTTTAGGGTTTAGGGTTTAGGGTTGAGGGTTTAGGGTTTAGGTGCACACCTCCCTCTCGACGCAGCCGGTAGGATCCAGGCCGAAGGCCACCGCACGGGCCTTGAGGTCCTTGTCGGAGCAACAACCGTGTACGACAACTTGCCTATCAACTGTTCATCAAGCATGCATGCGCTCCTCTCACACACGCCAAATTCAGACACTGTCAGCCATCCAACCCCCTACCCTAAACCCTAAACCCTAAACTCTAAACCCTAAACCCTAAGCCCGAAACCCTCCGAACCCTGGACCCTGCACCCTGAACCCTAAACCCTAACCTTAAATTCACCCTAAGCCCTAAACTCTAAACCCTAAACCCTAAACCCACACCCCCCTCCCCCCGGCAGCTGGCATTGTGAGTCCTTCAAGGACAAGGCAGCCATCTCTTCCATGAAAGGGTCCGGCGGCGGGCTCGTCCACGAACAAGCGGCGCCCTGACCCCAATTTTCTTCTGTTTCACGGGGCTTAAAGTGGACAGAGCAAGGTTTAGGGTTTAGGGTTTAGGGTTTAGGGTTTAGGGTTTAGGGTTTAGGGTTTAGGGTTTAGGGTTTAGGGTTTAGGGTTTCGCGTTTAAGGCTTGAGGAGTTTAGGAGTTGAGGGGTTTAGGGGGGTAGAGTTTACCTCGAACCGAAAGCTGCAACACGGGAGGGGGGAACAAGGCGGCCTTTCGGCGGGACGGCGCAGCCCATTCTCCCACTTCTCCCGGTTTACCCTAAACCCTAAACCTAAACCCTAAACCCTGAACCCTAAACCCTAAACCCAGGGGCGTAAGGTCTGTGCGACAATCCGTTTCCGGGTTCTCCTCTCATCACGCAAAAATCACTAGACGTTTGAAACCTGATATGGGGGGGGTTTACGATAAGGGAACCCTCATATACAGAGCCCCAAATAGCAGGATCCCCTTATAATACGGACCCCAACGTCCCCCCCCCCCCCCCCGCATCGTAGACCCTCATGATCTCTTCCTCAAAGCAACTCAGACCACCCCAGCCTGTGATAACATAACCTGTTCTCAAAACATCTGATGTGATATGATTGGGGGTTTAAGAAAGTAATAGGGTACCCCCCCCCTCAAAAAAATAGAAACCACAATACAATACAATGCAAGATTACATGATATAACATGATGCGATAGAACAGTACACAGACCCTAAACCCTAAACCCTAAACCCTAAACCCCAAACCCTAAACCCTAAACCCTCAAAAAAGGAAGCCTCCAGCAGTCACCAGCAGCAAGGCACCTTGAAAGTCACAGTGGTCTGGTCTTCAGAGACTGACAACTCCTTCGCTGCAGGCGTTCTATACTGCTGCAGGGTTTAGGGTTTAGGGTTTAGGGTTTAGGGTTTAGGGTTTAGGGTTTAGGGTTTAGGGTTTAGGGTTTAGGGTTTAGGGTTTAGGGTTTAGGGTTTCTTCTTGGCTGCACTCAGGAGGGTAGCTATAACTTAAACTTTTGGCTGCCTTAATAAGAAACCCAATAAACCCAACAAAAGGTAAAGATCTAAAGTTACAGTAATGTACCACAAAGTTAGGGCATTCCAACAGGGCCTACCCTGGGTCTAAGCAACCCCAAATCGTAAACCTTGAGCGCCCCAGCAGTACTGGGATTAAACCCCGAAATTACCTCAGCTGGAGACCCCAGCAAAAAACAGAGGTTGCTTCTTCGCCTTCTTGGTGGGTGCTAGACCTGAAGAAATCTCTTGATGAAGTTGCAGAGGTTGAAGGCGCCGAGTCGAAGTATTGTTGAGAAACCCAGGCTCCGAAAATCGGAACTGGGGACCGCAACCAGGAGAGCCGGGGAGAAATCCCTGAAGACTGAAATGCCTAAGGCACTAGAACCCTAAACCCTAAACCCTTAACCCTTAACCCTTAAACCCTAATAAATCCTGCCTAAACCCTAAACCCTCTACCCTTACGAGAACTGGAGAGCACCTTTAAAGTCCTGTGAGACACCTGAGAACCCGAAACCCTAAACCCTAAACCCTAAACCCTAAACCCTAAACCCTAAACCCTAAACCCCCTGGGTCTATGTCGGTCCGAGGCTCCAAGTCACGGTCGCGCCGCGGGCCGCCAAGAGGGTCCTGAGGCTGGAGCTCTGGGTCTTAGGGTTTAGGGTTTAGGGTTTAGGGTTTAGGGTTTAGGGTTTAGGGTTTAGGGTTTAGGGTTGGGGCCTCGGGTTTAGGGGGTGTCCGGGGGGCTTTAGGGGGTCTAGGGCTTCACGGTTTTGAGGCTCTTTTAGGGCCAAGAGGGTCGGGATCCCGGTTTCGGCGCAGGAGTCAAGAGTGTCGAGTTTCGGTTTGGGGCCCCTGGTTTGAGTCCAAGCTGCCCTAAACCCTAAACCCTAAACCCTAAACCCTAAACCCTAAACCCTAAACCCTAAACCCTAAACCCTAAACCATAAAGCTAACCCTAAACCCTAAACCCTACATGCAAGGCAACAAAGTCTCTCCTGGAAGGGAGAAACAATTCTTCGATGCCGACAACTCGGGGGTTGAGTCGGGCGAGTGAACAACAAAACTCAATAAGGATCATACTTTGGGATGTTCCCCCTTATACTGACAGTCCCGAAAAGGGATTATAGTACCCCCTATTATCATCCCTACTAAGAACTGTTAGTACAAGGGGAACATCCCGAATCATACTTAAAAGAAGGCCGGGATCAAAAAAATGGATAAGGATGAACACCAGCTTCTCACAAGTTCCAAAAGATCTAAATTGCAGCTTTTCCGTCTGTTCAAAGACTCCAGGTGGTGTGTAAAGTTCTGTCTCTCTGACTTTTTCTAAAGCTCCACATTGTGCAAACTACGGCATTTCTGTTGCTGTGTGGAAACTCACCTGGGCTCTTTCATGTTATGTTATTACGTCTGGTGTCGAAGTCTGCATCGCCTTTTACACAGAAACATGATTTCAAGCTGCAACATTTGTGTGTTCTTTGTCGTCGTTTGGCTATTGCTTTCTCGTTCCTTCCGTTTGGTCCTTGGGGCCGTCTCTTGCACTGGCCTAAGGGCGCAAGAGCGCACCTGTCTTCGGCCTACCTGAGCTGAGGCGCGCATCTCACCGCGCTCGCGAGTGCGATTCCCAAAGACTTCGGGCTTCCCGGGCCACATGAACCCCAACATTGGGGTGTGTGTGTGTGTACCCTCTGAAAGACTTCTTGTGAGGCCTCTGGACTTGCAGGCACATGTAGAGACCCAGGGCTACACGGCAGCGCGGCAGTCCTCCTTGGTGACCGTCACGACGATCTCATCATCATCCTTGCAAGGTCACAGCAACTTCACGCACACAAGCGGCTAAGTTAGTTGGGGTTTGGGGTTTGGGGTTTGGGGTTTAGGGTTTAGGGTTTAGGGTTGAGGGCTGAGGGTTTAGGGTTCAGGGTTCAGGGTCGGTGGGCCAACTGTGACCAGTGTTGCAGGGGGTGGCTGCCCAGGAAGAATCGCGAAGCTATCGCCACAGCACCATCCCCATACACTATGGGGGGCCAGAGCTCAAACCTAAAACACACTAAAAGCCCTAAACAAGCCACAAGCCCAATTGCTTGGCTTAACTGGGCCTAAGCGCGGCTCAACCACCAAAAACCCTAAAATCCTTGAAGGGCGAAACCACTTTAAACACAAAGCCCGAAACCCTAGACATCCCTAAGGCCACACATATAGAACCCCTCAACACCCCCGATGTTGTCCCCAAAACACTTGATATCTCCATGAAACCCCAAACCCCCCAAATCCCCAAGCCCCCAAAGCCCAAACTCCCAAATCTCCAAACCCTAAACCCTAAACCCCAAACCCCCAAACCCGTCCTCCGACCACTCCCAAGTACCCTCCACGTGCCAAGCCTGCCCCAAGCAAAGCCGACGTGTCGTTCAGGCCCGGTTTAGGGTTTAGGGTTTAGGGTTTAGGGTTTGGGGTTTAGGGTTTAGGGTTTAGGGTTCAGGGTTCAGAGACCCAAGGTCCAGTACTTGAGGAATTGGGGCTTGTAAGGTCTGAAGGGTTCAACAGGCCGAGTGCAGTTCTATGCCGTACCCTATACCCTATACCCTAAACCCTAAAGCCCTAAACCCCTAAACCCCTAACCCTAAACCCCCAAACCCGTGCTTTGTTGGGGATCTTAAGCAGGAAAGATAGGTTCTGGGCCCTAACACTACATCCTACAAGTACACGTTTCCCCAGGCGTCCATGTACCTACGTAGTATATACTTTGGCCTTCAAAGGGGTGCCTCTGTAGTAGCTTTAGGGCCCAAGTATATACTACATGGGTACGGGACCCTTGGGGCCTTGGGTTTCATCGGATTTTGGGGCCCCTTCCCTTCTCGGCCCGTTTAAGGTTCTGGTGGGGCTTTTGGATGTCGGACTTCAGGTGCCGCTGACAGGCGGAGCAGCCCAAGTGTGTGGGATTTTTGCTTGGGATTTAGCGCTTAGGGCCGACTATGTAGGGTTGGAGATTTCTAGACGTAAGCAGTCCCTGAAAGACTCAAAGAACTCTCCACCTTGCACCCTCATTTCTAGACCACCAGACCTGAAGGGGTTTGGCGGGTTTGGCCCATTTCCGCGGACCCACGTCTGCCCAGGGCCTGCGTACCACCCTTGGAGGGAGAGAGCTCAGACCTGACACAAGGCAACTGCTCTGGAGACCCCCTTAGTTTGGATACTGTCATGATGGGTGGCGGTAAGGAAACAACTTCAAAAACGACGCCAAAACAGAACACGCGGACAGACAGACAGGCAGGCAGGCAGGCAGGTAGGCAGGCAAGCCGGCAGAGAGATAGGTTTAAATTATATGTATAAATATTGGTTATATGTGTGTATATATATATATATACGTATGTATATATATATATATAATTTAAAATATGCATAAATACGCGAGGCATGGTCCTCCCTCCTCTGCACCTCGGCTCCGTCCTGTTCAAACCAGCTTGTCTAGAGGCGGCTGTTGAGTTGACTTTGTCATCTGGTCCTTGCCTCAGAAACCGAAAAGAATTCTGGAGGCCTGTGGAGGACATTTCCTAAACCCTAAACCCTAAACCCTAAACCCTACTTCCTAAACCCTGATTCCTACACCCTAAACCCTAAGCCCTTTAAGTACAGCACATCGCTTTCAAGGCCTCTGGGGCCGAAGCGCCGAGCCCCCCCCCCAAAAAAAAAAAAAACACCCCTTCTTTGAGAACTTCTCGGTGAAGATCTCCGATGTCAGTAGAGTCTGGCACATGACTTGACCCCAGTTCAATGTCCTGTCAGAGCTCTTTTGGTTTTGGCTAAATTGCGGATGCTATTGAGAGCATCTGAACTGAAATGGAAACGCTGAAAACGCTGTAGAAACTCTTACTCGCTGGATGGGATTTGTGAGATCTTGTGACTCCCTGGCACTTCATGCTGTCCGATTACCTTTTTCCTACACAGCCCTCGCAAATTGGCCGGTTCATACCAGATACGAATCATATTCTACATCATGATTTAGCTAGTGTGAATGTTCGGTGTTGTTCAGGACTTCTATCAAAGTCTGTGGTTCTCCAGCGGGTGCTGATTGACAGTTGCTGTTTTCAGAACAAAGCTGTATGTAAAGTAACTAAAACTTTTAGTTTCAAACTGTCTAGCCTCCTAGCCCAAACTGGGAGCTTCTGTTGACGTCAGACACAAAAAAAGATCCGCACTGGCTCCGCCCTTCGTTCGACTTAGCCCGGCTGGGCGCCTGGGAAGTTTTGCGGTAACAGCAAGTACTTCTGAGCACCTTTGCTCCAAGCTTTTGTTTTCAGGTTTCAGGACCCCACACACACACACACAAAAGACACATAAATAAATAACGTACATACTAACACAAAGATAATGAATAGTAATAACAATATTCAAAATAGAAAGCAGTCGGGCCTTTCATCAATCTCGTGCCCCGAAGCCTTCAGCCAAAAACCTTCGACTCTACGTCGGCCCAGCCTGCATTCGATGCTGCAGGCCCCGTCCACCATCAGGACGATTTCCCAGGTCACCTAAGGGATCTCAACGTGAATGGTTGTGCTTCATAAAAGGGGGTCCTTTTGCGGGGGTCCTATTTTTCTACTCAGCCCTATATGCAATAATGTAGTTCGGGTACCCAAAGAGAAGACAATGATTTAGGATAGCCCCCGTATGTTGGGTGTTCCCCACCCCCTAGTTTTCAACTCAGTTGGCATGCCCCAACCAGATCTACAAAGCCTGTCAAACTCTAGGGTCTATGGCCAAGGTTGAATTAACAACTTTGATCATTCCGTTCAAACAGGCCAGGCCGCATGATCCCCTGGGCAGGAGTAGTCCAGCTTCCTCTGAAATGGGGGCGTTGAGACGAGTTCAGGTTGAGCGCTCTCGCTTTGAAACGGGTTTAGGCCCTAAACCCTAAAGCCTAACCCCTGAAGTTAGGGTTTAGGCTTCTGTTTGCCTGGTGTATTTACAGCATTCGTGGTTCAAGAGGATGCAGGGCGCGTTTAGGGTTGACCTGTGACTTGGGAAGTTTACCGAAGTCGCGCAGGCATCCCGGAGCCTCCAATTGAGCATTCCAAGTCAACCCGCTGATGAATGTCCCTTAAGGCGACCCTCGAAAACACAAGACAGTATCTACTTCGATCATCCCCACCCTACAGCGAGCTGATGTGGGAGCATCCTGCCATGTCTAGAAAAATATTTTCGCATGCCTCGCTGCAGGCTTCTGTCGTGGGACCCTCCATGGATACTCGGCGGCTTTCTTGCAGGCTGCTCTAGGGGCACCGCGGAGGCGAGGAGCTTGGCTGACGGTGGGGAATAAAGGAGATTCTACGACATCTCTCGGTCTCAGGGTTTCATACGTGTAGTTTGGATCCACCCGGCCACCAGGCCCCAAGCCTCGAGTCCCGAAATAAAACACAAAGGGCCCAACCGTACACGGCCCTACCACCCTAAACGGCCAGGCTACATCCCTAAAACCCGAAGCCTAAAGCCTGACCTGCTGCCCCCTAGCAGATGTGACAAAAAACGCAAACTCGGGCGGGGGGGGGGTTCGGTTTGAGCGACTAATTACTTGGGGTAGTTCATAGAAAGATTAATTACGGAAGATTGAGCATCAACAGCAAAAGTTAGCAGGCCATAACACCCCGAAATACATGGGAAACATCCCATCAAGAAAGGGTGCCTGGTGGGGCTTTGGGTTGCAACTAGTAGAACGAAACGCGGAGCCCGTCCGCTACTTCATGGGTTTACACAGGAACCAACCCTAAGCCCTGAACCCTGAAGCCCAAAAAACAAGAGGAAACAAGCGGCATCAGTATCGGTGAGGAGTCCCAAATCGGGGGTGCAGGGAGCCGGGGACGTCCAACCAGCAATTTGACACCGGGCGTTGATCCAGTTCAGGGTTCTGGGTTTAGGGGTTGAGGGGTTTGGGGGTTCAGGGTTTAGGGTTCGGGGCACCCCTTTTCCGGTACCTTTAAGTTACCTTTTCGGTACCTTTACGACTTCGAGGGTTCTGATTCTGGGCTCCTATGGCAGGCCGCGCAGAGTTTAGGCCGCCTGGATTTAGGTTTTCTATGGGGGCTCAGGGCTGTTCCAGAGTGTATGTGGGCTTGGCTCGGGGTTTATGGTTTAGGGTTTAGGGTTTAGGGTGTCCGGCTTCGCCGCGTGTCCTCCCGACATAGATCCCTGGCCGGGGTCGATTCCCCTGGCACATGGCCAGCTTCATCTACTCTGAACCTCCACCAGAATACCTTCCCCTAGCCCTAAACCCTAAACCCTAAACCCTAAACCCTAAACCCTAAACCCTAAACCCTAAACCCTGAACCCTGAACCCTGAACCCTAAACTGAGCGAACCCTAAACCCTAAACTGCCTCAACCCTAAACCCTAAACCCTGAACTGCTGGCATGGGAGTTGAGGTCTGCGCGCTCGGGTTGAGCAGCTTCGGTCTAACGCTACCATGCTGGTTCGTGCGATTTCTCGTCAGATGTTGGGTGCCGCAGTTGCCTCAGTGTTTGGGTGTGGCCTATGTTTCGTGGCCTCCCAGAGCTTGGGTAAACCCTGAACCCGAACCCCGAACTCAAAAGATAGTCGCAAGCGTCCCTAGTATGGGTCCAACCCGGCAATATGGAGAGCCCTTATATATACCCCCCCGGCACCATATACGTACAACGCCCAAGGGCCCATACTTCAGAAACCTTTAACAAAAGGTAAGGGGCCGTATTGCAGGGACCATGTATCTACCCTTAGACGAGCTCTAAGCCTTAAACCTAAACTCTAAAGCCCTAAAGCCCTAAAGCCCTAAAGCCCTAAAGCCCTAAAGCCCTAAAGCCCCAAAGCCCCAAAGCCCTAAAGCCCTAACCCCCTGAACCCTGGCCTCTTGGGTTTCAGTTCACTGGTGGGAGGCTAAGGACGACACGACTGGCAGGTTCGAAGGGTTCAAGGTCAAGGTTTAGGATGTAATTAAAGGTTTGAGGTGCAGGGTTCAGGGATTGAAGGGCACACAGGTGAGGCTTAATTGTTTCGGGAGTACAGGCAGGAAATTCTAAGGTCCAGAGTTTAGCGCTAAAGGTTTGAGGTTTCGACACGTGTTGTTTTTACGTTTAGGGCGTAGCATGTTGGGATCCCTGCATGGGGGCCTCGTCCACGCCCCCCGCCATGCGCAAGGTGGAAAGTCCAAGAGCGAGGCGCTGGAGGCACTGTGCTGCTGGGCTGGGTTGGGAGATGTTCCAATCTTTGAGCCTACAGCAGGCTCTACACCTTGAAAACCCTAAGCCCTAAACCCTAAACCCTAAACCCAGCGTTCGCCCTCCTGAACAGTCCTACCTACAGAAAACTTGACAGCCAAAAGCCCTGCAAAACAACTCCCACGCCCAAGTCCTAGAGACCTAAGTTGAGCCACTGGGACCGTCAGCCATCGCTCGTTCGCTTTCTGGTAACCCTAAGCAATGCCTTGACTCCATGGTCGGTTTTAACCAGCATGCTGATGATCGGAAAAAAGCTACGGCGTGCCACTTGGGTTTAGGGCTTGAGGGCTTGAGGGTTTTTAAGTTTAGGGCTTGGGCTTCTGGGTTTGGAGTTTTGGGTTTATCGGTTCTGTGTGTCTGATTGGGGTCCAGGATTCTGGGGTTTAGGGGCATCTCGTCTGCAAACTAGGGGGCATCGGGCTTCGGGCTTGGGGGTCAGGGTGTAGGGTTCAGGGTTTAGGGTTTAGGGTTTGGGGGGGGGGGGGGGGGGCGGGGGGGTCTTGCGTGGGATTCAAACCCATGGTCCCAAGCCAGCAGGTTGAACCTCCATTAGCCCCCAAAACCCCAAGCAAGCCCGAAACCGCAGAACCTTCGAAACCCAACAAGCCCTGAACCCTAACAACCCTTAAACCCGAAATTCCACAAACCCTGTAAGCCCGAAACCCCATATACCTTAAACCCTCAATACAGGAAGCCATGCACACCCGGCCGCCGACTTCAACCTGCGTTTCATGGTCACTTCATGTGGGGGACAGGGGACATACCCGATGTACCCTATACAACCCAAGGGCCCATACATCAGAACCCTTTAAAGAACGTAAGAAACCGTAAAAACGGCCCATGAAACTACCCTTAGAGCCCAACTCCCGCCCCTCCCCTTGGCGGCCGGCTGCTGTGGACATACTTCGTGATCTGAACAATGAAGTCGGCCGCGTGACTGGCGCAGGGTTCGCTTCTACAGGGCACGCAAAGTCCAGGCACGACCGAGCAAACCGACGAATCCCAAACCCCGAAAACCCGAACACCCCTAACCCCCCCCAAACCCCTACATCCCTAAATTCCCTACACCCCCTACACCCCAAAACCCTACACCCTAAACCCCAAACCACCCCCCCCCCCCCCCCCCAAAAAAAAAAAAAAAAACTACCGTGAGCAAACCCTAAACCCTAAACCCTAAACCCGAAACAGCTCGGGGCCTGAGGGCAGCGCTGGCCTGCCACAACTCGCGCCCAGAGCCGCAACCTGCCCCGGGTCAATCGGGCTTGGGGTTTGGGGTTTGGGGTTTAGGGTTTGGGGTTTGGGGTTTGGGGTTTGGGGTTTAGGGTTTAGGGTTTAGGGTTTAGGGTTTAGGGTTTAGGGATAGCGTCCCCCCTCCACCCTTGAACCGACCCGGAAGACGCGTCAAAGCCTTCTTGAAGGCCCTTAGGTCCCGAACTTCGGCTCTTGCGGCAAAAGTGTCCCTGAAGGCTCCTTTGTTGTGGTACCTGAACCCCAAACCCTAAACCCTAAACCCTAAACCACTGGGGTCAAGAACTCAAAGCTGACGTCGTTCGCTGTGGATGTTAAAGGGAACCTGCTTGTGATTTCTCTGACGTTTGAGGTCATGGTCTTGGAGGGGTAGGGGTGGGGGGTGTTGAAAAAAGATTTAAAAAAGGGTTCATTAGCAACCGATGGACGTGATTGAATACTTTATCAAGATCGGATTTAGGTTTGTCAGGATCGGATTTAGGTTTGTCAGGATCGGATTTATGTTTGTCAGGATCGGATTTAGGTTTCTCGGGTTCCTCTTCATCAGCAAAATTATTCGGAAATTGTTCGTTTAATCGTTTGCGTATTTGCCTTTTCTGCTTTTCGTATTCTGCCTAAATCTCTGCTTGTAATTCGTCGTTTAGTTTGCCTTCTTTCCTTAAATTACCTATCTTCGTTTAATAACCTTTCATCAATATATTTAGTTCCGAGTTCGGATGTAACGCATAATGGAAATCGGCATCCCAGTTTTCGTTTTGTATGTTGTGTCCGCATTATTCACATAATTGGCTCCCTTTTGCTCTCTCTTCTCTTCTCGCTTGGTTATAATTCGAAAAGAAAATGTTACGGTAAAAACAAGAACGATTATAAGTTATAATCGTTCTTGTTTTTACCGTAACATTTTCTTTTCGCTTCACGGCACTTATTACAAGTCTTAAAGCCGTCAAACTCACGACACGATTTACACACCCGTTTTTTCCATCTTAACATATTAAAAAGTCTAGTCTTTAGGCATGGTTAGACTGAAAAAATCTTCGAATATTTTAATTAATATTAGAAAATTTGAACGAGCAATGGGCAGTAGGGGGCACATCTCCAAACTAATTAACCATTACCGCACTCTTATGATACGCTTATGGTATAGCGAAACACGCGGGGTGAAAAAATGATGTCTGGGACTTGACGCAAAACTTTACACTGTCACATATATAAATCAACAATACTTTTAAGTAATTATTTTAATACTTCATATAGTTCATAAAATTCAAACAATAATTTAAATCGTTTCTTATACTGACTTAAATGTTGATAATCCTCTAGTTCATCTATTATAGCACTTAACCTAGCGTTATACATTCTTATCTTTCTTCTTTCAATTAACCAAGCACTCGTGGTTTCTTTCTTTTCCTTCTTTAAACATAAACAATCCATATATTTACAATACTAAACAATTTTCTTATTAATTTTAAGTTTCAGCTCATTAATCTCTAACTCTAAACGCTCTATCTCTTTCTTAATATAATCAATATCCGTTTCGGTTACTTCTATCTTTTGCTCTAATTTTTTAGGGAGTAATTTGATTTTTACCCCATCCAGTATCACATATTTCAACGCTTCCAATTTGCTTATCGCTTTTGAATATACCGTTTTCATCAGGCGACACGTGCCGACCGCCAAATTTAAAGTTATGCCTATCTTCTACTATGTTAGTTGTTATGATGTTGTTTTCTTTCACCGTCTTTGTTTCTTTATGATATGACTGACGCTTAAACTTACACGGGATACAAGAAACACCTTTAGTATTGATAAAAAGACCTTTCTTTTTGTCACTATCATCGCTTTTGTCGCTCATTTATACTACCTAGATTTCTTCTAATTTTTCAAATATTTAACGACTGCCTTAGCCATTTCTAGAAGGCAACACCTACGATATTTAGGAGGGGCGATGATTTGCTCAATGGTTTCCATTTCGTTGATTACTTCAACACATTCAGCATAAGTTATTTTACTTTCTTCCATATACTGTTAACGATAAAATACATCTATTTATTTTTAATAATGATTACTCCTATGGTCAAGCCAGTCAATGTAAAAGAATATGATTTCAAACAATCTAAATACGATGTAGCGCCTAGATTTTCCGGTTGGGATTTTTCTATGTTGGTCTTGGTGTGGGTATTCTGGTGGTTCCAGTATGTGGGTCTTAATATGGGAATTTTGGTGAGGTTAGGGTTGAGGTATAGGTTGTTATGGTTTTGGGTCTTCATGTGAATTATTCCTAGGGTTCTACCTATGGGTCTTGGGTGAGTCGAAGGTTGAGGTATAGGTTGTTATGGTTTGGGTGCTAGGGGGTGGTGCATGATTAGAAAATGGAGATGGTCATTGCTAACCTTATAAGGGTGTAGGGCCGTGTAGGGAAGGGCTTGAGGGTGTCAGGGTTTGGGGAAAAGCTTGAGGATTTCAGGGTCTCGGATGAAAGTTTCAGGGCTTCAGGGGTGGCCTTCCAGATACTGCTGGAAGCCGTGCCACATACCTGGAAAGATGTCGAGGTAGACCTGGCAGGATGTGCCAGTCCCCTCGCTCTTCAACACCCTAGACCGGCCCTCAAACCCTTTGAACCCGAACAACCCCAGAAGCCCCCACAAATCCTCTAAAACCCTTAAACCGCCAACCCCAAAGCACCTAAAACCCGAAAAGTCTAAATCCCAAATCCCCAAGAGCTCTGCATTGAAACCCTAAACCCTAAACCCTGAATGTTTAAACCCTAAACCTGTGCACCCTAAAACCCCCTAACCCTACACCCCCTATCCCTAAACCCTAAACCCCAAACCCCAAACCCCAAACCCTAAACCCCAAACCCCAAACCCTAAACCCTAAACCCTAAACCCCAAACCCCAAACCCTAAACCCCAAACCTCAGCTCCGGGCCCGAGCTCCCTGCTGCGCGGCGCGCTGGGCGAAGATGATGCTGTCGCCTGGAAAGGAGTTTAGGGTTTGGGGTTTAGGGTTTGGGGTTTCGGGTTTGGGGTTTCGGGTTTAGGGCTAGGGTTTAGGGCTAGGGTTTAGGGTTTGGGGGTAGGGCGTGGGGCTAGGGGATTTGAGGGTTTGCAGGGCTCGAGGGGGATGTGGGATGTGGGGTGTTAGAGCCCTAAACCCTGCTGGCTGGAAGCATGAGGCTTGTCGGCTGAAGGGTGTAGGGGGGGATCCTCGACTAAACCTCCTCAAGCAAACTCCTAAAACAACCCTGACGCCCGACCACCTTGAGCAGCTAAATCGTGGGCTTAGCCTTGAGATCTCCGGTTCTTGGCTAGTCTTGGGGCCCGAAGAATCCTAAGCCCTCATCCTGTTAAACCTCAACACGCCCATGTTTCTGCATTTGGTCCCCCGTCCAATCAGGGCGTTCCATCCGAACAACCCTCACCTACACCTTTCCGGTGAAAAAAAACCCTAAACCCCGAGTCCCTTACACCCTGAACCCCACTCTTCGCCCCGTAAACACTCTAAACCCCACCCTAAACCCTCAACTCTAAACCCTAAACCCTAAACCCTACGCGGCCCTAAACCCTAAACCCTAAACCCTAAACCCTAAACCCTAAACCCTAAGCCCCCCTGGGCCTGCCAGGACTTCCGTTCCGCTCACGGCCATGTACGCCGGCGGCAGCCGAGCTAGCTGAGCCTGCGGGCCGCTTTGGGTTTAGGGTTTAGGGTTTAGGGTTCAGGGTTTAGGGTTTAGGGTTTAGGGTTTAGGGTTTAGGGTTTAGGGTTTAGGGTTTAGGGTTTAGGGTTTAGGGTTTGAGTTTAGAGTTTAGGGTTTAGGGTTTAGGGTTTAGGGTTTAGGGTTTAGGGTTTAGGGTTTAGGGTTTAGGGTTTAGGGTTTAGGGTTTAGGGTTTAGGGTTTAGGGTTTAGGGGTTAGGGGTTAGGGTTTAGGGCCGTTTAGGGTTGAGGACCTATCATACTTGCTGCTCGTACGCCTTGGCTGTTGTTCCTCATATAAACATAGATGGTTGTGATGATGTGTTGAATGCGGTTGCTTTCTTTTTTATAAGGCTTAACTTATTGATCATAAAACTCAGAGGGAGGATTTACGAAAGGCGGTACTTTGTTTTTTGTTTTTTGTTTTTTTTTGGGGGGGGGGGGTATGCTGCCCGGGAACCCTTAACATCCCAAACATCCCGAAACCCGAAACAATGAAAAAAAAACCTACTTACTGTACCTTATAATATAGGCTGTACAACTTCATAGGGGTGTTTAAGGTCTAAGGTGTAGTCTTGAACGGTACTACGGCGGCTGACGAGTTCGGGCTTAGGGTAGTCCAAGGGAATGGGGGGGAGGAGGGTGTACCCTCGAGGAAAAGGCCCACGTGATCAAGGGCAACCGCATAGGGATAGGGACTCTGGATTAGAGAACCCCATGCAGGGGGGGGGGCCCTGATGTTTATTCCTTGAGCACATAGGTTTGGGGATCTCCTAGGAATGTTCGTTTTTTCAGGTTGAAGACAGTTGGGGGGCTTTGGGTTGGGAGATTGTGCAGTATTGACCTGCTGGTGCTTCAGGGGCAGAGGAAGGGAGTGGATCCTTAAAACAGCCCATAAGCATCCCGCCGTGTGACCCTTACAGAGGTGCCTACATTCACCCTCAAAATCCCCAGGCCTAGGCCCTGCAAAAGCCCTGAACCATAAAACCGCAAACCCCTCACCCCAAACCCCCTAAACCCCACCCCCTAAACCCTAAACCCTAAACCCCAAACCCTAAACCCTAAACCCTAAACCCCACATTTCTCCCAATTCTGGGATTGAGACTCCGGGTCGCACGGGTGGCGACTCTACGGCTTCTTTGTCGAAAATGGCGTTGGAGGGCTCAAGGGCAACAAAAGGCTCAAAAGGAAGATTGAAGGGTTTAGGGTTTAGGGTTTAGGGTTTAGGCTTAGGGTTCAGAGTTTGGAGCCTGGGGTTTAAGGCCCAGGGTTTAGCCCCTAGGGTTTAGGGTTTATGTACCGCTAGGAATATACACTAGGGTCCCTACAACTCCGAAACGCCCTACATGTCCCAGAGCGTCCATGTCTACGATCACGAAAGTGGGCAGTGGGCTTTCTTGGCTTGTTTCACTGCAGAAAGCCACCCCCCAGCTGGCGCGATCTGCCCCATGTTCCATTTCGAGCTACTTCTGCCTTCGAGTTCTTGGGTTTTTAAAGTCACCCCACCCCCCAAACAACACTTCGGGCTTGAGAAGCACCCAGCACATGAAGTCCAGGATTCGGGGTTTAGGGTATGTGGTTTAGGGTTCAAGGCTTGTCTGAGAACCCGCCCTTGGAGGCCCTCCACCGCCAAGATCTACGCTTCCTCCCCAATCCTCTCAGGGAGGCTGAGTGTGGCCACGACAGCCAGCAAGCAGAGGCTGCCAAAAACCGGGCACGACACGGCCTCAGCTGGTCACCCCTCTTCTTCACTTTTTTGGGGGGTGGGACGGGCATGAACCCAGCAAATTCCAGCTGCTGGTTCTGTTCTGGAGCTAAGAACCCCAAAATCTGCATCAGCATGGTTTCTGGCTACCTAGTTCCCCTTAGCGCCACTTAGATGGATCTGGGCCATGTAGACCCTACATACGGTCACTTCTCTAAATGTGGCCCCTTTGGGGCGACCCCTAACATTTAGGGTACCCAAGGACCCAAAAAGGGGCCATCATTTGGAGAGCCGACCATAACAAAGGAACGATGTTGACGCTAGGGTTAGAGCGCCCTTCAGCCCTAAACCCTAAACCCTAAACCCTAAACCCTAAACCCTAAACCTAAACCCTAAACCTCCAGTGCGCCACCAAGTCGCGGCTGGAAGGGTGCCTGCAAGGGGAGCGAGGATGCCCCCGATGCGGGCCGTGATCTGACAGATGGGCAGCACGTTCTTCTGACTGGACTCGGGGAAGACGGTCGCCAGGGCCACCTGTCAGAAAGCCCCAGAAATCCCTGAGGGTTTAGGGTTTAGGGTTTAGGGTTTAGGGTTTAGGGTTTAGGGTTTAGGGTGTGGGGTCTAGGGCTTGCTGCTTTAAGGTAGCCCAGACAAACCGCGAAGATATCGAGGGTGCCCCTTTCTCGTTTAAAGGGGCCGATATTATACCAAGAGATCCTAATCATAACCCTTCGGGTTTAGGGTTGAGGTTTACATAGGGTTTAGGGTTTATCCTTCGGGTTTAGGGTTGAGGTTTACATAGGGTTTAGGGTTTATAGGGTTTAGGCTAAGACAACGGAATGCAGGTAAAACAGGGCGTCAGCGTCTGGCAATAGAGGTCGTACAGGGTAAGATTCGAGGCTTGGCTGGCCTTTCTAGGTCTTCCTCTTCAACCCAAAGGCTTTCGGGCTTTGAGTTAGGGCTGAGCATATACACTACCTCAAGGGGCCTGGTTAAGCTACTTGGCATGGACCAAACACCGCACTATGAAACCTCATGATTGCTTATAAGCCCCCTAATCAAACCTTTTGAAGTATAAAGCCCTCAGCACTTGGGGGTCTTCGGCTTGGGCTATTTACTGCTTAGGGCTTAGCGTTTCGGGGCTTAAGTAATTCGGGGACAAACAAAGTGCGGCTTGGCGGCGTAGATGGTGGTGAAACAGACATTGAGGCAGATCCGCCCAACCATGGCACATGCGATGAGGTACCAGCCCGGCTGAAGGAGGCCGCAAAACAGCAGGCACCTCAGACAAATGGCAGCTTGCATCTTCGCAACCTGAAACCCCGCAACCATCCTAAGCCCCGAACCCCGCCCCTTTGGGGTTTGGGGTTTAGGGTTTAGGGTTTCGGGTTTAGGATTTAGGGTTTAGGGTGTAGGGTTTCGGGGCCATCGCCTGAACTCACAGCTTGAGATCTAACCGGCCGAGTACACGCGCCGTTGATCAGACCCTAAACCCTAAACCCTAAACCCTAAACCCTAAACCCTAAACCCTAAACCCTAAACCCTAAACCCTAAACCCTAAACCCTAAACCCTAAACCCTAAACCCCAATCCCTAAACCCTGAACCCCAAACCCTAAACCCCGAAACCCCTCATCAGAAACACCCCCAAACCCCATGGCCAAGGCCTCCGACCCTGTTGCAGGCCCAAAACCCTAAACCCCAGGTTCGAACGATGTTAGGGTTCAGGGTTTAGGGTTTAGGGTTTAGGGTTTAGGGTTTAGGGTTTAGGGTTTAGGGTTTAGGGGGCTAAACCCAAACCCAGAAACCCCTAGAACCCCTAAGCCCTTAAAGCCCTCGCAGTCATCGACCGGAATGCCCAACCTAAAACACCAGCACCCTAAAGCATAAACCCTGAATCCTGAACCCGAACCAGAAACCCTAAATCCTAAACCCTGAACCCGAAACCCTAAACCCTCGACCCTAAACCCAGCGACAGCAATTTCCAAGGCACACGGCGGCGAGGAAGAAGCTGGAACTTTGAAAGGCCTCCCGACTGGGGGGGAGGGGTAGGGCTTAGGGCTTAGGGTTTAGGGCTTAGGGTTTAGAGTTTAGGGCTTAGGGTTTAGGGTACTCAAGGCTTAGGGTACTTAGGTTTTAGGGTACTTAGGGTTTAGGGATTTATGCGATTGCGGAGCAAGCGCACTGGAGCTGATGATGAAGTCGAAGGGAATCTGGGGCTCTGACTTCTCCAAAGGTTATGCCAGGAATGTTGGCACTATGGCAAGCTCAGATGCGAGCTGTTTTCCGTGCTTCACGCAGCTCAAGATTCGGCTACGAAAAAAGGGGCCCCTGAAAGCCAAGACACATCGGATGAAGACGCGCCTCAGTCAACCTCACAGCATCACTTTCGCACCAACCCAAAACCTTTCTTGACTGAAGCGTCCTTCAAAGTTTTCTTCATGAACTGTACAGGATTGTGTCCTTGCTTTCGGGCCTTCTTAGCTGAAACAACGAAATTGGGATCAAAGCGTAACATCCAAATGCGAGTACGAAGATACTGCTCAAAAGTTCGTCTACATTCAGGGGATTTCTTAGTGAGGGCATCGCTAATATTCCATTCTCCAGAGAGCCAAATAAGCTTTGCTTTGGCTTTTCGGAGACTTTGCTTCAACTGATGCCCTTGAATGGCAGCTCTCGCATTGGACAAGCCTAAGTTGGCACCTTCTTGTCGAGTGACAGCATCATAGCCACCCTTGGAGTCTGTGCCAACGATCCCTGGAACTTGCTGAACCAACTGGTCGGCTTGGAGCAGGTAGTCGAAGTTGCGGTCGACTGTCGCACCATTCATTTCTGCCCACAAGAAGCGTGCACGGTAGTTTGCATCTTCTGACTCAAGCATGGCCTGCACTTCGGCATCCGTGCTGCCAATTGCAACTCGCTGCAGCTTCCAACTGCGCCAGCCGATCATCACCAATGGCCCTGGTTCACCATGAGCATGCGCTGGACCGCCCATGAAAGTTATGAGCCCACCGGTTGACCCACCACGAGGTCGATTGTTGTGCGCCTGGTCACCCAGTGTGATGACGTGCATGTCTTGCCAGTGATGAACTCCTGGCAGCTTCTTGAACACGAGGCGACATGGACGATGTCGAACTTCTTCGATGAGCTGTTGAATTTCTTGAGAGATCTTTGTGGTTGGACCATTGGAAAGGTCGGTCAACAAGAGATTGCAACGTGCGCAAAGCTGAGGTTGAGTCTGCACTGCCAGCCACTGTACAGCACCAAGCGCACCACGACACTTGGATATCTCTTCGGCTGTAAGCAATGTCTCCTCCCCAGATCTCACACTTGTGTTCACATCGAGGTCTTCAAGATTCTCGACATAGGAGTCCTGGTGCACCTCCAGGTAGCGGCCAACCTCGGCATCGTACTTGGTCTCTAAGTCGGTGCCTGCATGCCGATAGTTGTTTCGCTTCACGGTGCCCCAGTTGTAAAGCTTGTCGATCTTTGCTCTGATTTGGCACCATCGGGGATTGTCGCGGTCCCCTGCACGATGAAAATCATCCACATGGCCACCTACGAAGCCAATTGTTCGGAACTTGTCAAACTCATTTCGAGGCTCGGCGTTTGGCTCCGTCCAGATCCAGAAGCATGGATCCGAGACGACACAAATGGCTCCTTCAGCTTCAAACTTTGTTCCCAGGTCCTTCCACAGACCCCTCGGAGCCGTTGTCGACCCATAGAAGTCCTTCAACACACGCAAGATGCCATTGTCGTCAACTCCCAAAGCACGACGTAGTTCAGGAACTCCACGGGTCCAGATGTCCATGTCCTCGCGCTTGGAAGTTTGCAAGAAGGCAGTCGAAAGGTCAAGGCCCTCCAGCTCCCATTGGTTCTGGATGGCCATCTGGTACGACATGCACCGAGTCAACAGGCTTTGAACAGGCGCCGATGAGTTGAAGCCAGCCTTGAGGAGGTCAGGATGCTCATAGCCAAGCAACACAATTCTAGCTTTGGCCTTGCGAGTGCCGTCTTCGGTGGTTGTCGACTCTGGTTTCTTTGCATCTTCGATGGCTTCATCGCGGTCTTCAGGAGGGATGTCCTTCCAGGTGAGGACCCAGCGGCATCGCATCAATCTTCCAGATTCCTTGCCCAGCTTTTCTTCTGCAAGACTTTGGCACTTTCGAACAGCTTCCTGCTTCAAGAAAGAGGTCACTTCCTTGGTCTTAGCCTTGTCAAACAGGGCCTTGAGCTCCGCCGGAAGTTTCTCGAGACGCACTTCGCAGTCGCGCAACTTGGCCGCCAAATATGCAGCAGGCGCTCGAAGGAAGCGTTTCTTCTGGCGGTTTGACGTAAAGCCCAAGTCCACAGTGAGCTGGAAGCATTCCTGCTCACAGTCTTGCAGACATGTGTAGAGCAGGTCATCTGCCGATTGCTTGATTCGCTTTGCTGCGCCATCTTCTTCTCCTTCTTCCGGTCGTTTCACGCCAGAAGCTGTTGCACGCTCGCCGTCGTGCTCGTCACCCATGGGTACTTCTGGAACATGAGGAGGCCATGCAGGTACTGAACTTCCAGTGACGTCTTCATCGTCGGGCAACAAGGAAGGTGAGTAGCCGTAGTCTTCGTAGTCGTTGACTGCTTCATCCTCAGGCGGAGGTGCCGGAACGGGAACTTGTCTTTGGTCCTGCGCACGGGGGTGTTGTTTTCCACGAAGTCGCTTGTTTGGCACGAAAGTCTCGGCGTCGGGTTCTGTGGGAAGGTCACCAACATGATCATCTGGTTCGTCACCGGGGGGAGCTTGTTGTGAAAGGTCATCGTACTCTCGTTGAGGGACCACATCCTTGAGCGTCTTCCAGTTCATGGGGTTCTCTTGGTTCTGGATGTGATACCAAGCTCGCTCCACTTCACTCACTGTCCTGACGGAATGCGCTGAGCAACGATATAGTCGTCCTGCCACCACCACCCACACAATGTGTCGCACAGGGTCGTCAGCATGTTGGTGCGGTAGTGTTTCGCAGAACACCACTCTTCCAGGCCCAATCCATTGAGGCTTTCCGGAAATTCGAAAGCCACCGCGAGGTCCTTTATGAAGATCATGAGGTAGAGCGCGCCTCCAGATTTTGACCATCTCTGTAGGACTGTATGCCCGAATGGGCTGCCTTGTCATGGAATTCTTCAGTCTTGAAAGAACTCGCCGTGCACGAACCAACCTCGCGCATTGTTCTGCTTCAAGCCTCTTGGACACCAGTTTCTGGAACTCAGCATGAGGAGCATCATCTCTCAACTGCGCCAAGGTGACCTCATCTTCGTCGGTGAAGCTGAAGTCCTTTCCATAGACCCATTGGTAAGAGCTGTAGCCCTTCACGAAGGCGGTTTGGTTCAGAGCTCCAGTCGCCAGGTGCAGGCAGGTCTCTGGCGTCAGCTCCGGACTAGTTGTTTGAATTTTCGCCATGGTGTCCTTGATTTCTTGAACTGTGGATTCCGCAAGTCCATGTGCCCATGCCTCTGTCTCTGCCGGAGGTGCCAGCCATACGTTGATGCCCGCGCAGAACTCCCGGAAGGCCTTGGACACAAAGGCGGACCCATTGTCTGGTATCAAGATTTGAGGCTTCGGTTTATCGGCCAACCATCGCCGACTGAATGCTTCAATGACGTCTGTGGCGCTTTCCTGTTTCATCTCAGCCACAGCCATCCGCTTCAAAGGCTCTGCCACTCGGAAGTGTGTCGCTGCATCCACAAACACCACAAACTTTAGCTTGCACTTATGGGGAATGCTCATGAAGTCGCTCACATCAGCCACCACCTGTGTCCAGGCCGTAGGTGTGGGGCGCGTGGACAAAGGAGGAACCTGTTTTGAAGCAACACCGCCAGGACGAAGGCTTTTGCATTGTGGACATTCATAGTCTAACGCAGCTTCGATTTGCCATGGCAACTTCCCAGCATCCTTCAAGAGCCTCGCCAGATTTCTATTGCTTGGATGTCCCGCTGAGTTGTGGAATCTACGCAGCTTATTAAGCCAATCCTTCATGTCACTCTCTGATGGCTTGTTGTCTGAGGGCTCCACAGGTTCAGCTTCATGCTGCTCTTCTTCTTCGGGATCCACTTCAAAGGCTCCATCCTCATCCATGCGAATGGACACCGGCATCACCTCTTGAAAGTCCGACGAACCCACGAAGTAGCTTGTCCCCTCATGACCATCTTTTCTCACAAGACGTCGTCGGGCGACTGCAGGTTGGAGAAGGTCACGACGAACTTCTTCCTCTGTGACAGTGGGATCATCGGCACGATGGAGGTTCTTGAGAGCCTTTGAGTTGAACAACTGCTCTCTCCAAGAGCGTGCCACCGAAGAGGCGAAACGCCAAGGAAAGTCAAGACGATGTTCTCCATCCATGCACCAAAGGGGCACATGTTTGTGGTCCTGCACACAAGTCTTGGTTTTGTACAGGAAGTGGAAGTCGGAGCACGTTGTTTTGATCATCCACCTTTTCTGAATGAACTGAGGAGGGCCTGTGGCAATGCCAGGCCTTTCCATGCCGTATCGACACCCATCAACTCGACAAGATAGCCATTCGCGACCACGATCCCAGAGGCCCTGCGCGAACTCTTTCATGACGTTATCCTTCCATCCATCGGAGTCTGGAGGCCACACGATGAACACCTGAAGTTGGGGTAGCCGGTCGAGGCACCACAAGAGAAGATCACACACTCGACGGAGGACTTGTCGTTCTTGTCTTCGACGACGATGCGCAACGTCAATTTGCCTCTGGGAACCATCATGCAATGTTTTCCATGGAGACCAACGATCTGGACGGGGAGTGAACCACACACGCTGAGGTCTCTGTTTCAAGAAGAGGTCTCTCAACTGCACGAAGGTGTCCTTCTTATAGAGGTCGTACCCATGAGTGTGTCCTATGCATTTGCTGCTTAAGCCCTCTTGCAAGCATGCCACTGAAAGCATTGAGTCAGGATGACCTCCAAGCTCCCACACATTGAACTGATTCTTCTCAGTCAAGCATGCTTGTAGTTCACGATGCCCAGTTGCTATCATCACAGAAGCCATTGCCAGGATGCTGCGCGCAATCTTCATGGGCATCTCTTTTCTCGCACTCACGGGGACTCGGCTGGGTGCTGTACGGCCTCCCAGCTGTGCGTTGACGGGGACGAAGAGGCTGTCGCTATCGGCTTTCCCACCAGACCGTCTTCCATCTCCACGGCATTCGGATTGAGGCTCAGGTCCGCGTCGTGGTATCCTGAAGTGAACACGACCTCGGGGGCTGCTGACGGCTTCGCCTTCGGGAAGGAGTTTGGAGGTGTTGTTTTCACTGTCGGAGCCGTCGCCGGGATGACTCCACGCTGCTTTAACAGCTGTCCGTAGCGATGCTTGGCATACTCCATCTCCATGGCCACCTTCACCAGGTCCTTGTCTGGCATCTGCTCGCCCAGGTCCTGTTGGAGAGTGGCCATTGCCCTCTGCACCGTCACCGGGTTCTCCACCTTGGTGTCCGAGCTGGGAGCTCCTTCCCGGGGAATGTAGCGAACGCGAAGAGCACACACGCCGCACTCTGTCCACTGGCCGTACCTGTTGCTTCCAGTGTGTAAGCTGGAATGCTTGCCGAAACAGGGCCACCCTGTCTTGGACGATCTGATGTCTCGAGGATCTGCTGGGATTGTCCTGCTCTCGTCCAAGGGGGGCGCTTGCTTCTTCTCGACTTTGGGCGGCATGAGCAACGATGTTCTTGGAGGGGATGTTGTCGGAGTTAGGTAGTGGCGAGGCAAGAGGCATCCTCGAGCCAAGGTGCTGTTGTCCATCGGCAGCGCGTGAACGCTGACCCCGCTGCACAATCAAAGTGTGTCTCTCGGCTGCACTCATGGTGGGTATCTTATCAGAAACCATCAGCTCTTCCGACATGATTTCCAGAGGATACATGTACTGCAAGGGGAGGTCCTGGTCTGTTCCGGGAAGTGCGATGCTTGGGGTAGGAGGATGAACTTGCACAACCACGTGACAGTGACCCTCTGAGCAGGCCTTACCTCCAGTGAGGTAGTCCACGATGTCGATGGCGAAGTGGCCTTTGGAGGTTTGTGTCAGGTACTGTTCACTCTTCGGCTCACTGAGGTTTGCCTTGTCGGTTGCATTAATGAAGAAACCATCGTTGAAGTCAATGATCATCCCTGCACCCTGCGAACCCAAGTGACTCATCCCAACCAAAATAGGTACCAACATATCATCTCTGAACCACTTCTCCACATACTCCGGGGGGTTCGGCAAGGCATACACACCAAAACTCTTCGTAGAACCCGACAAGGACGATGAAATCTCCGCATGGAACTGCGCCCTTCCCCAGGAACCAGAACCATACCGAAAATATGGCCGACGGGACTGGTCCACCTTGATGGTGGCAGAGCGGTCTCTCTCCAAAACAGCATTGATGAGGCGCTGTACACTGGCTTCCGGACCAGCAGATGCTGTTGCTCCACTGTCCACAAGCCCACAATTCGGAGAAACGGCGTCGCCACGAGTGGCAACATTGAAGTCGAGAGTCAGCCCTTGGTCGGCTGCTCCCAACATCTCAAGGCCATAGGCGTTCACTCCAGGAACAGAGCTTCGGAACGGGGTCTTTCCTCGGCCCTTCCATCCTTTCGATAGCCCGAAGTGACTCTTGCCGAACGTGCCCTTCTTTCCCTTGCCCTTCTGGATGGCGAAGTTGTCGTAGTCATAGTAGTCGTAGCCCCAGTCCTCGCCGATGTAGAAGGACTGCTTTCCTTTGCCTCGCACCACAGTGCAATCTCGAGCCATGTGGCCCGCACGACCGCACTTGAAGCACACGGTGTTGCCCTTGCCTCCTGGAGACACAACGGCTGCACTCATCCCTTTGCCAAAGCCACGATCTTTTCGAAGCTCTGACGTTGCCCTCTGAGCTCTCTTCCATGTCATCGCTGCCTCGCTTGCCATCAACTCAGCAGCTCGCTCAGCCTGAAGCGCTTCTCGCACAGCTGGGTCTTCCAGCTCACTGGCCGTGAGCTCTTCCATATTTTCTTGCGCCATCACATCTCCCTCAGGCCATCGCTCTTCCACATGGTAACCATGCCAATCTGCCCAAGGATCGTCCTCTTTTGTCTCGTGCCAGCCAGGAAACTCTTGGTGCCACATGGCATCCTCGTCCCATCCTTGCTGCTCCATGACATAGGACTGGTGATGGTGAGGGCTTGTTGGCGCCATCCTTCGTGCGCCTGAAAGCTGCTCGTCCCAAAGCACCTGCAAGGCATTGCTGATGCTCTCAAAGTCCAACCTGTTTCTGGTTGCAGAAAGAACATCACGACGTTCATCCAAGCTCAAGGATGCCGCCTGCAAGAGACGCCAGCCCCGAAGAACATCCAAAATGAACGAGTCATACGTGTCCTCCTCTGCCTGGACAAACGCAGCCGCTGCACCTGCCGGTGACCTTGGAGTTGGCTCAGGTTGGGGGACCGGGCTGTCTCCCTGAGGCTGCTTCTGCGTCGACTCTGCTGCTCCGCTCGGACGATGGTGTGGGGAACTTCCAGTCTGACTGCCTGGGGGTGTTGCTTCTGGCTTTCCCCTGGCATTGGAGTCCGTCCCTTCATCATCTCCAGGTGCCTCAGAGTTGTCCCCACCACCTTCCTTGCGAAGAAGACTTTCTAAGCCGAACAACTGCTTATCTACGGACAGGCCCTGACGTTCATCTCGAAGACGAAGAAGTGCTTCCTGGAACTCCTCAAAGCCAAGTGTCTCACGCACCAAGAACGTCGTGATGGGCTCTCCTGGATTTCTCTTGAACTGAAAGTACTGGTTCATGATGGCTGCCGCGTTTGGCAAAGAGCGGCGGACAAGCGGGGAAGAAGCCAGCTTTCTCACATAGGTCAAGACACCCTGATCTCCATCAAACTCGTCTTGGTGCCATGACATCGCCAACAAACGTGCCGAGCCAGTAAGTCTGCTGATTAACCTGGTTGCAAGGTAGCGTCTTTGATTGTGTTTTGTTCCCTGCACATACCAGGCCACCTCTCTCGCATACCTTCGCCAGCCCTTTGGGTGACCATCCCACGTTGGAATGGCCGAGGCACCTCCGTCTTGCTCAAAAGGCATTGCTGTTTCACCAAGTCCGGTTCTTCAGACAGAGCCCAGCTCACTCACTGCGAAAACCGCAGCCAGTGAGACGGACACTCCCTGAAGTGGGGACGAAGCCCCTCGAGGACGAAGTCAAGGACACTAGTTCCACAGCCGCGAGCAAGAAGAAGTGCCAGCCCTGGATCTCGGAGCCTTGCTCCGCTACCAGTGCGATTGCGGAGCAAGCGCACTGGAGCTGATGATGAAGTCGAAGGGAATCTGGGGCTCTGACTTCTCCAAAGGTTATGCCAGGAATGTTGGCACTATGGCAAGCTCAGATGCGAGCTGTTTTCCGTGCTTCACGCAGCTCAAGATTCGGCTACGAAAAAAGGGGCCCCTGAAAGCCAAGACACATCGGATGAAGACGCGCCTCAGTCAACCTCACAGCATCACTTTCGCAATTTAGGGTTTTAGGACTTCAGGGGAGAATTTACTAGGGCTTTAGGACTTTAAGGCATTCAGGGGTGTTGGCAATTGAGGGGTTTCAGGATTTGGGGCTTCTTTGGGTTTGGGCTTTTGGGCTTGTGGGCTTCGGGAATCCATTCCTCACCAGCCCTCCTAAGCCACAATCCCAGACCCTCACGCCCAGAACTCTGAAGGCCAAAGCCACTTCATCGGCTCCTTGGCGTTGAGGGTTCCTAACCCTAAGCCCGAAACCCTACACCCTAACCCCCCCTAAACCCTAAACCCTAAACTAAGCCCTAAACCCTAAACCCTAAACCCTACACCTCCAAGCTTTGCATGCCGGAAGCTATTGCGTCAGACACGTCTGGCTCGGGAGTTCGGCCTTTCGGCCCAGGACGTCCGCACCCAGCACGGCCACATAGCCCAGGATGTCGGCCCCGTTCCTGGGTCTCAGGGCTCTGTGGGTCGGCTCTTGGTCGAAAATTCGGGGTTTAGGGTTTAGGGTTTAGGGTTTAGGGTTTGGGGTTTAGGGTTTAGGGTTTAGGGTTTAGGGTTTAGGGTTTAGGGCGTGCCAGACGGGAGCGCGCTTTGGGAGCGTGCGGTAGTCTGCAGACCTACCCACCCCAAGACCGCCCATTACAACTCTCAAGGAGTTAAAACCTTTTTTTTACAAAGCATCACATGAGTCAGCACTCACACCCTTTTTGGGGATTTCCACAAGGTGCGTGGACCAGGCGCAAAGCTGCAGCAGACGGAAACGAGGCAGGGTCCGTGAAGACAGCTTGGGTTGGCGCGAAGGGGCTAAGGGATGGGCCAGGAACAGAGAAAGGCAGCGAGGGGTGGCGCGAAGGGGCTCCAGCCAGGAAGAACACACAGTGAACAGCTTGGGTTAACCAAAAAAAACCACGAAAACAAGGCTGGTAGCTTGGCTTGGCGCGAACGGGGTAAGGTGGGGTGCCGAACCAGGGTCAGGACCAGGCACAAAGTTGCAGCAAACGGAAGCGAGGCAGGACAGATTGGTTTGGCGCGAAGGGGCTAAAGCCAGAGGGAAAGCCCCGAAACAGAACACAAACTGGTGCGCGGACAGCTTGGCTTGGCGCAAGGGGGTAAGATGACTCGAACAGGCCAGAGGTCAGGGCCAGGACCGCAAAACTAGTCAGGGTCAGGGTCGGTCAGGGTCAGGATCAGGGTCAGGGCCAAACCAGGACCAGGTTAGGGCAGGGCCAAGGTCAGGGGGGTCAGGGCCAAGGCCAGGGCCAGGGCCAGGGTCAGGGTCAGGGCTAGGTCAGGGCCAAAACCAAAGCCAGGGTCAGGGCCAGGGCACTTGCCAGGCCAGAGCCAGGGGCAGAGACAGGCCAAAGCCCAGGGCCAGGGCCAGGGCCAGGGCCAGGGCCAGGGCCAGGGCCAGGGCCAGGCAGGGCCACCAGGGGCCAAGGGCTTTTTGGCCAGAGCCCTGCCTGCCCCAACAAAACGGCCCCTGGTCCCCTCAGCCGAGCGGACGGGGGTGATGGACCAGGGGTCTCAAGAGGCCGTCCCAGGGGGCCCTCCAGTGCAGGACCCAACCGGTGCGCGGACAGCTTGGGGTTGAGGGCAAAAAAAGAAAATACAGTGACAACTGCTGACTCGGCCTGTGCCTGCCTGGAGGGTAAGCCAGCCTGGAGGCCAGCTCGGTCGCCCGCCTGGGGCTCCCTCGCAGGGTCTCACTGAGCGCTCGACCAGCGCCCGCCTACCCCAAAAGACAAGAGAGTGGGGTGGCGGGCGGGTTTAGGGTTTGGGGCTTCTTCAACCCCTCCCGCCGCAGCTCAACCCAGGCAAGGGTCAGCAAAGCCGAGTTGGTGTAAAGATTCTCGGACAGCTTGCCCGCAGAGTAGCTGAGCCCGTAGGAGCCGCAGCCGCAGGCCAGGAAGCAGGCCGCTAGCTTCAACGCCCCTGGCTTCCAAGATTTAGGGATGTTTAGGGTTTTAGGGTTTTAGGGTTTAGGGTTTAGGGTTTAGGGTTTAGGGTTTAGGGATCTCATGAGTCAGGGGCTTGAAGAAGATGCTTTTCGGGTTCCCTCCACCATGAAGGAACGTACTATCGTAATCGTCCATCTTTTAGGAACCCTCTTTGGATACATGCAACCCAAACGTCCTTACTAACCAAGCTCATGGAGCATAAAGCTCGAGATCCGAGCGAAAGTTGACTAAGTCTCGTAACCCCCGATAGACAGGTTCCACTGATATACCCGAAGCCCTAAACACTAAACCCTAAACGCCCAAAACCCTAAAACAATAACCCCAAACCCTAAACCAATAGGGCGCCCACATTCTTCAAGGGGGTTCTTCAAACGGTCCTTGGAAAGGTCACCCAAGCCCCTGGCGTAGAGCCGAAAGGGGCCCAAGGTAAAACCGCCTTGAGGCCTAGGGGGCTTAGGCTTAGGTCAGCGACTTTCCAGGGTTCAGGGTTCCGGGTTTAGGGTGTAGGGTTTCGGGCCTGTTCCGAGATTCTCTTTTTCCAACCGATTGGCAGAGATCTAACTCTCTAACTCAGGGGCTTTTGCGAGCCAACTTCAGGGTGGAGGGGTTAGGGTTGCAGCATTTAGGGCCCAAATTTCTGTACCAATCTTTATGGAACTACCTCTGGGCACCCCGGATTCTGCAATGGAAACTACAACCCTGAACCCTAAACCATAAACCCTAAACCCTCTGGGCAATCTTATAAATGTAAAGTGCCAAGCGACCGGAGATTTCGGGACCGGACATGCCGCTCGCATCCTCGGGATGTAATCGTGCTGGCTCATCCGATCTCAAGAGGGTTTGGGGGGAGGGGGTGCACGAAACAGCCTAGGCCCCGGCAGCTATAACCCCCAAAATCCTAAACCCAAATCCCTAACTCTAAGCCCCGAACTCGAAACCCCTACTAGCTAAGTTGTGCAGAACATCCGTTAGAATGTGTTTGTCTGATGCACCATAGCCCCTGAGGCCCAGATTCCGACTTCTGCGTGCTACGCTTGGCCACGGCCGCAGGTAGTGACCGGAGCAACTCCAGGGGCTTTTGGAAGCCTCTGGGGCCCCAGAATTCACATTGCGAGGTTCAGGGTTTAGGTTTAGGGTTTAGGGTATAGGGTTTAGGGTTTTTCCTATTTCCTCTGATAGGATTCATTAAAATTTGGGTGATAAGGCGGACCCCCCTTTTAAAAGGGATCCCAAAAAGGGACCCTACCCATGAAGGGGGGTTTAGGAGGTTTAGGGTTTTTTTGGTTCAGGGATGCAGGGATTCAGGGTTCTAGGGTTTAGGCTTTTAGGGGTGTTGTGGTTTTGGGTTGACTTGGGCTCCTATAGCATTCAGTCGTATTTCGCAAGCGGAGGGTGCGTGCAGGCAGGGTTAGGACCTATAGGGCTCAGGGCGCCCGGGCACCCCAGTGGTCCTAGACCCAAAACCTCAAAACCCCGAGCCCCTATAGGGGCTTGTAAGCCCTAAACCCGAAAGCCCTCATCCCAAGAGGCACCTAGGAAAAAAGATGGTTTCAGAGGGGCTTATAAGGAAACCGAGGTCCTATAAGAAAAAAGGGGAATGAGCGCCTACTCTGAGGGTTTAGGGTTTAGGATTTTGGGCTTGGGGTTCAGGGTTTAGGGTTCAGGTCTCATGCCGAAGAGCACAAGAGCAGCGCCAAGAACGGCGGCAAGGCGCACCACAACAGCGCGTCGATTCGCCAATCCAGCGACCTCGGGGGATCTTTGGAGTTTCGGGTAGATCTGGGTTTGGTCCGAAACCCGAAACCCCCGAACCCTGGACCCTAAACCCGAAACCCTGATTAAGCCCCATGGAACCCGAATCCCAATCCGAAACACCCCGCCGAGGAGCTGCGTGGCCCCACAGAAGATGGCCCTGGCTTTTGCGCGGGGCGCTCGTCCCCGACACCCCATCGCGCTTCTGCTGCTTAGCATGGGTTTTGGGGTCCCAAGAACATCACATGAGTCAAGCTGATAGGGCGTTAAGGTGCAGGGGTGGTGCATGCTAAGGGTCCAGGGCTATAGGGTCCTGAGCCTAACGATCCCCCGGAACCTAAGCAGGACGAGGGCGACCTCTCTTTGTCTGGTGAAACTCTAGAAGGGAAGCCCTACCCAAGAAACTACCACCGGGCGAGTTTCCTAGGGTTCCTACAGCTCTTCAAGTGCCCATTAGTCTAGGGTTCCCAATTTTTACCCTAAACCCTAAACCCTAAACCCTAAACCCTGAACCCTAAACCCTGAACCCCAAAGCTCCCTTTTCATTGTCCAGGGCTTCAAGCGCGACCGCGCGCACATGAGGATGGCGATGATGGAGTAGGCAGTGTTGATGAAGGCCATCGCCTGCCATGGCTGCGACTTACAGGGTCCTTATGGGGTTTAGGGTTTAGGGTTTAGGGTTCGTATAGGGTTCCATCTACACCCTGCCCAAAAAACCCTGAAACTCTACCACCCTATTGACCATGTGCCGAAACCCTGCAACACCGTTAAGCCGCAATCCTGAAAAGCCCTCAAGCGCTGCAAGAGAGAGCTTGTGAGCTGAAGCGCGACGGGTCTTTCGCGAAATTTAAGGTTTAGGGTTTAGGGTTTAGGGTTTAGGGTTTAGGGTTTAGGGTTTAGGGTTTAGGGTTTAGGGTTTAGGGTTTAGGGTTTAGGGTACCCCGAATATACCCCCAAACATACCGTGAAAATTCTTAAGGGCAACACCCAAGAAAGGGCGGCTGATTTGGGAAACCCCTGTGTCCAGGTAACTGCAGGGGCCTGAACCTTGCAGGTGTTAAGGGTTTCTTGGGAGGTTCGGGTTAGGGCTCCTTTGCATCCCTGCATCCTCACGTGGCCACAAAAACATTTCGTGCGGGCGCGCCGTTAAAGTCACTTACCGGCCCAAGGCCCCACATCGGGTTTACAGGGCTTGTATAGGGTTCATATATAGGGTTCATATAGGGTTCATATAGGGCTTACAGGGCTTGTAGGGATGGTTTAGGATAAACAGTCGATTTGGGCCCTCGCACGCGGTCTGAGGACTTCACTTTTTCGGGAGGCGGGGAGGGGGGAGGGCTGCTTGAGGGTTTCTGGGTGTAGGGCTTTGAAGTCTATAGGCATCCTTAAGTAAATAGAATGTTTGAAATCCCGAAAAAGACAACCCCCGTTTCCAAAACGATAGATGGCATATTTCCCAGGGGCCAAGATTAGCACCCAGACGTGGCTGCTGAGAGAAGTGGGTTGGCAGGAACTGACTGCTGAGAGAAACGGGCTGGCAGGAGGGGCGTGGGGCTCCGGAAACAGCCCTACACGTAGTTACAATGTTACAATTTTTCTATGGATGCCTGAACAGACTCTCTGAAGATCTTTATGACCCGTGGCCCAGGGCTAGAAGCGTGGACCGTTTCACCGGTGAAGCGCCCCTATTGCTACACTCTATCTAACCTGCCGAGCCATTATAAAGGACAAGAAGCCACCCTGAGAAGGCGCGAGGGACACGAAACCAAGACGCGAGGGAAGGCCAGCAGGAGGCCTAGGCCCCCAAACGGGCTTCCCAAAGCTGTCTTAAACATGACCCCGCGAATATTCTATGTATGAGTTCAAAGCTTCTATGTAGCAGGGGTTCCTCATATTCTACGTGGCCAAAAAACAAACCCCCCCGAAACCCAAATTCTATCTGTTCAAGGATGACTATACCTCAAGAACCGAAAACCTAATTTTTTTACCACTGTAAGGGCTTTATAGAAATAACCCACAAAAAGTAGATTTTGGGCTCTTAAAGTAGGGTGTGAGGGATTGAGGCTTTTTGAGGGTGTACAGGGTTGTGTGTTCGGGACCCGGTGTGCCTGATTGCGTTGGCTGGGCGGGAGGCAGTCTTGCACGTACAGGTTCCCCACGGGCCCCGTCGCAAAAAGCAAGCCTTGGCTGATGGTTGACTTAGTTGCTGAGTTTATAAGCCCCCCAAAAGTGTACACTTTCAGTTCTTTCGGGGATCACAGTGTCCCAAAAAGTGTAAAGTGTACTCACTCAGCCAGTAAGTTGAGGGATGTGGGGGGATTTGCGCCGGTTTGGTACAGGGTAAGGACACTGGTCACTTACGGTAGGGATGGACCCCCGATGAAACCAAAACTTTCCTAAGCCCACGGGCAGCGTCAGCGATGACTGGAACAATCTTAAGGGTTTAGTGGTCCTAGGGCCCTAAACCCCAAACCCTAAACCCTAAACCCTAAACCCTAACCCCTAAACCCTAAACCCTAAACTGGGCCGAACCCTATCTTGGCAACAAAGGGCCCGTGACAAACCGCACGGCGGAAAGCACGTAGATGCTGCCGCCAGTGAGATGAGGAAGGGTGACCTCAGTGCATTTCGCTGGTTTGACAGCTGGGGTATATTGCCGCCCTTATAAATTATAGGCATGTATATTCTTGATACAGGGTCGACCCCAGCAAAAGGTATGCCCAATGACCTAATGACCTAATGGTTCCGATCGATCTTGTCATGTAGGTCAATCCCCAACACATCCAAAACCCGGTTCGTGCATCTGGTTTGGCACAGAGGCAGCCTGTGTGGGCTGCGTTCTGGAAACTGCTCCGGCCATGCGATGTTGGGACTTGATGTTCATATGGGTATGTCCCATATGCATGGTACCAAGTACTATCGCCCCTAAAATCAAGCACCCCCATATTGAAATGGTCCAGATTTGGCTTATCTACCAGAACCTTCATTCGTTGAACTCCCGGGGAAGGCATAGTATGGGGGCCTGAATAATTAGAACAGGGTTTTGGGGGAGCCATTATAGTCTAGTTCCACATAAGGGAATATTGTTTGGAAATATTCCGACCCCTGCATTAGGCGCCTTCCTTGTGCCCTCGGAAATGCTTGCTGGGAGTCTGCTTCAGGCCCTAGGCTGAAACTGGCTTAGGGCTCCTAAACCCTGAAGCCTACACTTCTAAACCGCGCATCCGACACTCTTAACCCTATACCCTTAAACCCTAAACCCTAAAGCCCTAAACCCCTAAGCATAGGTCCTACACTCTTCTGCCCTACTCCTGACAGAATGGACAGCCGCGCCACTGAAAAACCGCGAGAGAAATCTGAAAGCGCTCAGGCGACCCCTAACTGTAACCTGTTCATGCGCTGATGGCCGCCTGCTACGGTAGTCTTTAAGCGCAGACTTCCGGGAACTTATGTAAAATTTTCATATACACAAGCTAGTTAACAACATACAAGTTTAACAAACCATAAATATATAAATGTGTATATATATATATATTATTATAAGCACTTGAGGGACTGGGGCGGACTCTTCCGCACTCATCTTTTGGGCCTGGGAATGCCGAGCGGGCCGCGAGCCGAAAGGGCCCAGGAAAACTCCCTTCACCCTACACCCTACACCCTACACCCTACACCCTACACCCTACACCCTACACCCTAAACCCTAATTAAGGCCAAGTGGCCGTGGCCAGCGTGCAGGCCAACAATCCCACGGAGGAGGCCGCGAGAAACTGGGCCTTGCTGAAGACCTCCAGCGCCTCTGTAGGGTTTAGGGTTTAGGGCGTAGGGAGTTCCACAGGGGGCGCTTGTGGACTTGTGGCGCCTGTTTCAGCGTTACCGAGCCCACCAGCCAGCCGGCAAACAGCGCGGTGGCGCTCCTGACATCTTGCGAGGGTGGAGTTTGGGGTTGAGGGTTTAGGGTCTAGGGTTTAGGGTTTAGGGTCTAGGGTTTAGGGTTTGAGGACCTGCTAGCGTTGAGGACTTGCTAGCGTTCAGGGTTGAGGGTTGAGGGTCGAGGGTTGACAGGGTTGAGGGTGGAAAGTTTGAGGGTTGAGGGTTGCTTCAGGGTTGAGGCTTGAGGGCTCGGTTTTTTAGGGTTGAGGCTTGAGGGTTCTAGCGTGTGACGTAGCCACTGGTCGAACCCAAGGTTGGGAACGGCTAGGGTTTCATGATAAAAAGGCCCTCTTTGGGCTACTATTTGCGTAAGAACTCCCAAAAGAATTTAGAACAATAATCCCTATATTGCCCTTAATAAGGAAGAATATGTTTTATCTTTTTCGGGGGTCTTAAGCAACTAGTAGTTGGGTTCCATGCCACTTAAAGGTACCGGACGTCCCGAGCCCTCAACGAACCACAAAGCCCTGGCCGGCCGCCACCCTTCTTGAAGCCCTCAACCCCTCAACCTTTCATCCTGAACACTGATAGCAGGGTCCAGGGCCAAGCCCAGCCCAAAATACCAGGAATCAGGTTTAGGGTTTAGGGTTTAGGGTTTGGGGTTTAGGGTTTAGGGTTTAGGGTTTAGGGTTTAGGGTTTAGGGTTTAGGGCCCAAAACAAACGATTGGCAAGGCTCCAGGGCAGCGTGGCCGATGAGAGGCCTGGCAAAGCCGGGTCCGCAGCAAGCTTGCTGTCGATGAACCTGGGCTCGGGGAGTCTAAAGGAACTTAGGGTTTAGGGTTTTGGGTTTAGGGTATAGGGTTTAGGGTTTCAAGAGGTTTATAAGGGAACCTAAACCTCCCAAACAGGGTACTACTGGGCATCCTGGAATTCAAAGCCTTGGGCTTTCAAGCTGCCGTAGATGCAATAAGTAGTCGGGGTTGGGGCTCTAAGCCAGACTCCAGGCCCCAAACCCCAAATCCCAAAACTTGAAGGAGGACCCTGGCCCCAATGCCCAATTTTGTGTCCGATAAGATGCTGACGGTTCGGCGGTCAGCGTTCTCGCACCCTACATGCACTGGGAGGGCTGGTTCTGTGCTTTCACACACTGCTTCCCCCCCTTGCACTTGCACATGCCTGTGGCAACAGGTGAAAGCGGCTTAGAGCCGACACAGGTCACGGGCATCGTGCTCGGGTCGAAGATGTTCGTCGGATGGAACACGAGCGTCGGACAGGCATCCATGGGATTGGTGTCGCTGCAGCGCTTCTCGTAGACACCTTAGGGTCGGAGTTAAGGAAAGGCTTCCGAAACCCCCCTAAACCCTAAACCCTAATTCTTAGAACAGGCCCTGTGCACCATGGAGAGCGCAAGTATATGGGCATCAAGCCAAGAGGTGAGGCGTTAGCTCATCTAAAAGAACAAAAAACCAGCTCCCAGGGGAGTCATCGGCACAACAACTCGGGTCGATTGTACCATCTGGCTTCCTGCACTCAGCCGGGGTCACACCCTGATCTGCGTAGTTCAGAGCCATCTTCAGACATCCCAGAGACTGTGTCGAAGCCTGTGAAGACGACATCAAGTTTGTGATGACTGCCATTGCCTTTGTGGGGTCTGAGAAGACCTGTCCCATAACTTGGTTCAAGAATGTTGAGCATTGATCCATGGTGGCTGCCTCGTTACTTTTTCCAAGGAAGACACCTGCGATGGCGGATGTGGGATTGGAGGCACTTGCACCAGACTGGCCACCAAATGTCTGGAACGGATTTGGAAATGCCGGAAACTGCGTTCCGTTTTGGCTCGCCTTGGTCTCATTTTGGAGCTGTCGGCTGACCTTAGTTGCTGAGTTCATAAGCCCCCCTGAAAAGTGTACGCTTTCAGTTCGATAGGGGATTGTAGTATCCCCAAAAAGTGTAAAGTGTACTCATTCAGCTACAAAGCGACATGCTGGAGAAAGGAGTCGGCTTCTGCGGACAGCACCGCATCCTGGGCAACGGCCTCCTGCTGTTCTTGGGTACACGCGCTCCCCAGTGCGCTCAAAGGGAGGGCGGCCAAGAGAACCACATATGCCATGGCGCCAATGGAGCTCGAAACCCTTCAGCTTCTGTGAGGGTCGGCTAGGGGGGCTTTGAACCAGAAAGAGGCTGGGGGGTCAGAGGCAAAGTGGCACTTCAGCGTTCTTGGGAGCAACTGGCCGCTGGCCCCACCCAATCCGAAGCCCTCTGCACTGTGGGAGAGAGGGGGACGGGGGAGAGAGGGGGGGGGGGGTTATCAAAAATTTGAGTTTTCTGGAGCGTACTCTTTATACGAGATCTTCATTGTAAACGCCGCCTGGAGATTTAAGGAGGCCCGTAAACAAGGCCTTGAACTTGTATTATATATGGTCCATTACGTGAGTCTCTAACTCAACACACTCTCTCTCTCTCTCTCTATGTAGGGGAGAAAAAAAAAACAAAACACACATCCAATGCCGTTGAGGAGCACGGGCAGAGTGTGAAAACAACCGCTCGCCCCGCAAAGAAGCACTGCCACCTGACGTCGCTCAGAGATTTCGGGGCCCAGCCGGGGAGAGGAGGGAGGGGAGGAGCGGGAGGGGGGGGGGAGGGGGGAGGGGGGGTCTTGGGCAGAAAAACCCGACAGACCCTGAAACCCCTTAAAGCCCCTAAAACCCCCTTAGAATCCCTAATTCCCCTTAAAGCCCCTAAAACCCCTTAAAATCCCTAAACCCCTTAAAGCCCCTTTAAAACCCCTTAAAATCCCTTGAGCCCTGTGGTCCACACTGGGAGCTCCCCAAAAAAGAGGGACAAAGCGCACGCGCGGACACGCGCCAGCCTTGGGCTAAGGGTGGGGAGTCCTCAACCAGCAAGCCCTGACCCTCAAGAGCCCAAAAGAACCCCAAACCGGACCCAGGCTCAGGCTCTCGCATGTGTATTGTTGTTTTTTTTTTGTTTTTTTTTTGGGAGGGGGGGGGGGGTTAAGGTCTCGAGTTCAGGGCGCGAAATAAGCCTGAACCCAAGGGCAAGGCCCCTGCACCCCTCTGAGCGGGGGTGAGGATAAAAAAGTCATGTAAATGCAATCGCAGCCACTCCGATTGCTCGCAGCTGCTTGCCGCGATCGGGCTCGGCCTCAACCTGCTTGAGGCTTAGGGTTTTGGGTTCGCAGATCTTACGGCTTAATCAGGTTCAGGGCTTGAGTTTTTTGGTGTTGTGAAAAATGCCACCCTCATTTCCCAACCCGGCGCCCTGAACGTGGAGAGGTTGCGCTTGTAGTTTCGGGGGCATGCGGCAGTCGCATGTGTGCTTGGCGTTGCTTAGTCTTGCGTTGATTTAGGGACCCTGCTCAGAACAGACCCTCAGCCCTAAACCTTGAAACTCCTCAACCTCTAAGTCTGAAAGCCTTGTAAGCCTTGCTTTAAGGAAGTCGCTTTGTCCAAACCAGGGGGTTAAGAATCCCCCCTGAAGAACCCTCAGCCTCAACCCTCAACCATAAACCCTGAACCCTGAACCCTGAAGCCTGAAGCCTGAAGCAAGCAGACTCCCCAACATCTCGCGCAGCCCAGACCATCTGCCAAGCCCTGCGACTCCGGGCGCCCCTAAAAAAGCCGGTTTGGGGTGAGGGTTTAGGGTTTAGGATTGAGGGTTTAGGGTTTAGGGTTGAGGGTTTAGGCTTGCGTACAGGGTTTAGGGCTCAGGGTTTAGGGTTCAGGGTTTAGGGTTCAGGGTTGAGGGTTTACGGTTCACCCGCTTTGATAGCCTTCGTCTCGGCTGCCTTGCGCGGCCCCATGCCACGGCGACTATGGCGGTGATGGACGACACCTGAGCTCAAACAAGGGGAGATAAGGGCATGTCAGGGGAGATAAGGGGATTAAAGGGGTCATAAGGGGAGATAAGGGGAGAGAAGGGGAAAAAAGGGGATATAAGGGGATATAAGGGGATATAAGGGGACAAAAGGGGAGATAAGGGGTTTAGGGCTTTTAAGGCTTAGGGAGGGCTTAGGCATGGGAGGGAGGAGTCTCTCGAGGTTGATTTAGATGTTCAGGCCGAGCGTTTCGGGTTTAAGGTTCGGGGTAGAATCGTCGTTCGTACTTCAGGTTTAGGGTTTAGGGTTTAGGGTTTAGGGTTTAAGGTTTAGGGTTTAGGGTTTAGGGTTTAGGGTTTAGGGTTTACGGTTTAGGGCATAGGGCATAGTTGACGGCACTGGAGCAAGCCAGGCCTGCCGACTGTGACGGATTGTAGCAGGCCCTATGATCCTAAGGCCCATAGGCCCCTCAACCCTAAACCCTAAACCCTAAGCCCCAAACCCTAAACCCTAAACATTCTGAAGCTTAACCTTTCATAGTCGAGGCGCACGCGAGGCAGAACACGCTCGTCAGGTCCTGGTGCGTGGACTGTGTGAGCTAAGTATACCGAGATGTGTCCAACCACTAGCATATGGAAATAGAATCGTATTAATCTAGAATAGTACGCATATATAAATAAATAACAAAAATATATATAAAAACAAAGATAAAAAAAAAATATATATATATATATATATATATATATGTATGTATATATATATATATATATATATATATTATATATATCCGCCGACCCCGCCTTTGGGGGAGCGCCCGGGAAGCCCCTTACACCGGAGGTAGGCCTGACGCCCCCCCCCCCCCACCCTCCCCTTCCCCCCCGACCAGGGACCCCCCCTAACAGCGCAAAAACACTTCTTTTTGTCGTTTTCAGAACCGACGATCCTCACTCCCCGCTGCCCCCTTGACCCCCCCCGACCTGACGACCCCACCCTCACCCCCTCCCCTTCCGCCCCCCGACCAGGGACCCCCCCTCCCCCGCCCTCAACTCGGTTCGCTGTGCGTCCTTACACGGTAGTCCTGACAACCTTTCTCCCGACGCCCAGCTCCTTCCCGACCAGGGACCCCCCGCCTCTCCCCCCCCCCGACCTGACGACCCCTCTACGTGCACCCCACCCAAAACCCAAGTCCATCCCTTGACCCCTCCAGCAAAAAACCCGGACCCACCCCACCTGTCGCGCATACTTGTGCCACCGACCTGACGACCCGATCAGGGACTCACACTGCACTCGCCTGCCCCCTCACCCCACCCCCACCCCCTCCCCTTCTCGCCCCCGACCAGGCGACCCCCCCCTCTCGGCAGAACGCACGATTTGTGAAACCCCATCCCAAAAGCTCAAAAACACTTTTTTTGTCATTTTCGATTTGTGGCCGCCAACCCACAAAAACGCTCTGTGCGTGCTTACCCCCTACTCCTCACTCCGCCCTGCTTCCGCCGACCTGACGACCCACCCTCACCCCCTCCCCTTCTGCCCCCCCACCACGGACCCCCCCCAAACCCTCACCCGACCCGGACCCACCCGACCTGTCGACCCCCACCCCCACCCCCTCCCCTTCCGCCCCCCGACCAGGGACCCCCCCCTCCCGGCCCCAAAAAACTCAAAAAACACTTTTTTGACCCATGGTTTCCCACAAAACGCTCCGTGCGTGCTTGCCCTGCCCCTACCGCCTACTCCTCCCAAGCCCGAAGTCCATCACCCAAACCCGAAGTCCATCCCTTGACCCCCAACCCCCCCCTCTCACCCCAAGCCGTGAACTGGCTTGCGCACTCAGTTTCTTGTGACACCCCAGCAGCCGGAACCTCGACGCTAAACCCTCAACCCTTGCCCCGCAACCCGCGAGGCTGCAACCTACTTCCTCAATCCCGCGCATGCCTCGCAGGTGCTCCGCGCTCCAGAGTTTCTAGTGTTTCGACGCGTTACGGTTTTCAAACTAGGGTTCCGAGTTTCGGGCTTCGGGTTTCCGATTAGGAAGAAGTTCCCCTCACACGACCCTCCTTGCTGGCTCTTTTCAGTGCCTTGGTGCCGGCTTCTGTCCCTTCCTTCTTGAGGGGAGAAGGTGAGCCTGACCTAAGCTCCATGTCGCAGCGCTCAGAGTTCGAGACGTCTGAGCGACGACCAGTGTCCTGAGAGGAGAGTCACATGACGGGTTTCGGGTGGAGGGTTCAGCAGAGCTTCTCGTCTGGACTCGACGTCTTATTTAAGCCCCGACTGAGCCTGCTATACACTCTCGTCCCCAAATGCATTAGCAGCACCAAGACTGCTACAACGACCCCTGGCTCGCCATGTCAGGCCAAAACGAAAGCGCTTGCAAATTGGAGCCTTCCGTTTCCCTAAACCCTAAACCCCAAACCCAAAACCCCAAGCCCTAAACCCCCTAAACCACAAACCCTAAACCCTAAACCCTAAACCCTAAACCCCCGAAACCCTAAGCAGTCGACCCTAAACCCTAGACCCTATATTTTAAACCCTTAACCCTAAACCCTAAACCCTGAGCCCTAACCCCTAACCCCTAAAGCCTAAGCCTTAAACCCTCAACACTAAACCCGAAACCCGAAACCCGAAACCCTAAACCCTAAACCGGCTGGCCGTGCACCCCTCGACCCTTTCCACACGCAACCGGCCCTGGCCTTGTCCGGCTGCCCCACCGGAGTCGCAGCAGCGCCTCCTGCACACGGTCCCACAGCACTGAACAGCTCGCGGTTTAGGCGTTACGCCCTGGGCTTTCGGGTTCCATGTCCTCACCGCGAAGATTCTGCATTCCCACGTTTGCGCACTAAGAACACCAAGTGGGGCACAGACAACCCTGCCTTGGACCTTACATCATGATAGCCTCCCCCGTAACTACACCAGGTACCGTACAAATAGCCGCAGCTTACCCTACCTGAAATACCCGACGGGCTACTCGGAGCCATCGCACCGCCACTTCTTTACTGCCGACCACGCACAGCTGGAACCATGCCCTGTACGTAGCTTCCCGATGCCTCAAGCAATCAGCGCTCCGTGCGCAACATGATCGCGCTAGCATCTCATCGTGCTCTCTAAAAATCGCCTGCCAGAACACCTATATCGTAACTTGACAAGAGCGCCGACCGCGTGGGCCCTGACAACTGCGTGCCCTTGAGCAGGGCGACTCTATCGGAAAAAAACAGCGCAGCGATGCTCTGTACGCGACCCTGTCATCCCCATGATAGCAGCAGACCCACACAAAGGCTGCACACTTCACAATGTAGTCGTCTACGCCTACACCTCCGGGAATGACAGCAGAGCCACGTACCGCACCTCTTCCGTGCCGTCCCTGCGCTGCCAGACCTTGCGCCGCAAAAGCCACTTCATCGGTCGCTCGCCCAGCACGTTGATGGCCTTCAGGAAAGCCTCCCGCAGCAACGCCCACAGCTATGCTTGCGGGTTTGGGTTTCGGGTTCCGGGCCGGGATGCCTAGCGGCCTACCCGCCTCCTGTCCTGCAGCGTCCTCGCACTCCGACCACAGCGCCTCCAGCCGGTCGTACTTCAAGGACAAGGCAACCATTTCGGATATCCATAGCGATACGTTGGGCAGGGAGCCAGTCTGATCCTCGAGCGTGACTCGCAAGACGCCTCTGCCGTCCCCGTGAAAGATACGCTGGTCGAATACCGCGGCAGTGATTGGCGCGACGCTTGCGACCACGCCCACCACCTCCAGGGGTCCCAAGAACAAGACGAACGCAGAACGCAACCAAGCCCCGCCCCTTCCCCGCCCACCTCGGCGTCGCTGCCTTGCACGAGTGAGTCCACGCTGACTGTTTCCACGGAGGATCGCCGCAACACCTTCCGTGGCGGGGTGTCCGGCTCGGCCTTGGGCACCGATGCTTCAGGGACAGCCAGCCAGAAAGACAGCCGTGACGTCTGGATGGATGTAGCGCCCTCCCACTCGCGATTCTTCAGAGCAAAGACTGCCACGCTCGATCCCATCGGCGGCACCTTTGTTGCGTCCTGGCCGATGAACTCGACGTCAAACTCAAACTCGCCGTGCGTAAGACGCACCACTTGCCGAGGTAAGCCCGCCTTTGCCGCGGAAGGCGCACCAGAGGTGCACGTCACGCGCCCTTTCACGTTGAACCAGCTGTCCTGTTGCGGGATGTGGACAGGGGCCACGTAGTTATCCGGCAAGAGCGACAGGACGTCCAGTGCCCGGCTTGCACGCGCTATGATCAGGGGGAACTTTGTCTTCAGGAGTTTGCGTCCGACGCCACTCCTTCGGACACTCACCCTACGCCCCGGACCGCTCCCACACAACCATCTGTGCACGAACTGCAACAACCTCTGTACGCAAAACTTTCCGTCATTCATGTTCCCACTCCACGCCAAGTCGCTTCTCCCCAGAGGTCCGCGTCTTCAGCGCCGAGCCGGGAATCGTCACGTTGAACGCTACCATCAATGGCAGCTCCATCCATTGCTTCTTGGCGGCCTCCGTGACCTGCACCTCCAACTCTTCGGCCGAATCTGTGATGACAGCCGAGCTCCTCCAGGCCAGCCAGCTTAACGACCACAGCGGATTGCGTACGCGCAAAGCGCGATAATGCAGGCATGCCGAATGACAGGGGCAGCTCACAAATCCAGGAATCCAAGGCACAAAGCGCACGTGCTGCGGGCTCGAATGCAAAGTCTCAGACATGGCACATCAGCATCTCTGAAAGCTGCCCTGTCTGACCGGAACACGTCCTCAGCACCGCCTCTTTGCTCCGCTCTGCCGCTGCCACATCGTGTCACATCGGACATCAGCAAAGAATTACGTCAAGCAGTGGCCGATTCAGCGCACTCCTGGCGCTGCCCCGACTACAGCAGGACCGACTGCAAACGAAAGAAAGGCGTTGACGTGTAGGGGCCTGGCGCACGCTAGGTTTTGCCGGCGCGCCAGTGGCACACGCATCCAAACGCTCCAACACTCACCAGGACTGCGTCCTCATCGAACAGCTACCTCACATGACCGGAACTTGTCCTCGGCACTGCCTCTTCTCTCCACTACTACGTGTGCCACAGGCAGAACGACAACCACAGCGAGCAGAAGACAAAATCGGGCCGTGGCCGGCACGACGCACTCCTGGCGCCGCCGCGACTACGGCACGCCCAACAGCGGGAAAAATAAATTCGTCCACGCTGCTGCCTTGCCAGCACGCGTACGGCGCTGACATGAGCTGCCGCGCGCCATTGGCACGCTCGCCCCAGCAAGCAAACACTCCTCACCACGACGGGGTCCTCACGATTCCTCGGGCTCGGAATCCTGCTCTTCGTCGGCATCGACGGCTTTTGATGTCGTGCTAACGTACTGGCCGAGTTCACACGCACGCCTGGAATGGCGTTACCCTTTTGGGTTTCTGGGGTTGCGAGTTTTCGGGCTTAGGGTTCAGGGTTTCGAGTTCAGGGTCCCCAAATCGGCGGCCAAGCCAGCCAATGATGCTGACAAGGCTCTTGCCTGAAGCACCTCCATGGCCCTCTTCGCGAAGCGACGCTTCTTCGAGCCACTTTTGCCCCCGCTGCCACGCAAGTCTACCAGCAGAACTAATCCGAGCCGCCGAAGACGCGGTTCTCTTCCTAGCCTCAGTAGGGTTTAGGGTTTAGGGTTTAGGGTTTAGGGTTTAGGGTTTAGGGTTTAGGGTTTAGGGTTTAGGGTTTAGGGTTTACGGTGTCGGGTACAGGGTTTACGGTTTAGTGTTTAGCGTTGAGGGTTTTGGGTTTAGGGTTTAAGGTTTCGGGCTCCGCTCCAGACTGCGTTCCGCTGCGACACCGAGACTGCTAAACTCAGAACCCCCAAACCTTCCTCCCGAGACATGGGGCAGACTCCTGGCGAGCTCGATCCGTCTCCTCAAGCACATGGACGCGACAGCCGTCCTTCGCAGCCTCTGCCACAAAGGTATCGAAGTCCGCGGCAGTCGCCTCCACGTCGAAGCTGCACGCCAGCCCCTGCTGAAAAGGGATGGTGCGGAACAGGGACACCATGCACTGCGACGCCACATACGTCCGGAGTTTCCGCTGCACATCAGCTCGCGATGCAAACGCTTGCTGCTGCGCCCACACGGCACGGCAACACTGCCTCTGCATAGGTGCTTTCTTCGAGACCTCTGCCTGGCGCCATCTCATGGTTTGCAGTTTAGCCCTCTTCAGACATGACCGTTTCGGTACCATACCACCCACCGAACCCGCTCGACTCCTTCTTCGGCTCCTGGCTGAGGCTCCTGCAGGGCACCTTCAACTCCAGGGACTTGGCCCGCTCGTGCTCACCCTCGTTAAGCACGGCGCAAATCTGCCCGCTCTCCAGCGTGACCACCACATCTCGCTCCATCGCCTCTCGAATACCGAGCGAGCCAGCAGCCAAACAACCAAATACGTAGGACACAACGCCTACTGCCCACCCTCCCCGCCAAGGCGTCTGCATCTTCCACGCCAGCTGCGCATATCTGCACGCGCTTCGCCATGCGTCGGAATCCACAGCACGCGGGGTTGCGAGTTTACGGTCTTTAGTTTACATCCCCTACTTGGATTTCCGAACCAGAAATGCAAGCCACAAGGTCACGGGCCTTTCAGGCAGAAGCCACTCGATGTAGGTTTCAGCTTGAGGCCTCCAGACTTCAGCTTCGGGGGTTTCGGGTTGCAGGCCTCGAGAATTTGGGTGGCTTCCTCCACTACAGCGCCATTAGGTCCCTAACACAGACAGGACCCCAACACAGACCCTGATCTACAGAACTACCCATGTCGCGGTTCAACGTGCACTCCTGCAGTAGAACGCAGGGTCGCCCAGGAAATCTTCGCCGCGGAAACCAGCTCCGGCCTACGGCGCCAACCAAAACGTCTAGGGTTGCACGCTGAAAGCTTGGGGACACAGGTCAGGCGGCTGCCACTCCTGAATTTAGGGGTTTAACTAACCCCCATCGACAGACTTTGCCACATAGGGTTCAGGGTACGGAGGTTTCAGACGCCACGGCCCCCCCAGCTATATATATATATATATACATGTATATATACGTATTTGTCTTTACATATATATATATATATATACATATATATATATATAAACACACACGTATATGTCTATGTCTATATATATATATATATGTATTGACACATAAACATGTACAGATACATATGAATATCAGGATGAGGCCTTAATCCGCACAGCGTCTCCGGATTCCAAGACCCCAAACCCCAACCGCAATCCCTGCAGCACTTTGCACTGCGAATACATGCTCGGAGATGAGGACCTCCCCCTGGAGACCCGCAGCTGAAGCTTCGCAGCTTATGGTGAAAAAGAGACCAATGTCTGGGAAGACGAAGGTGGTGGTACTCGGCGGTAGACAGGCTATACCATCCTAGTCCCCTAAACCCTAAACCCTAAACCCTATACCCTAAACCCTAGACCCTAAACGTCCCAACTCCTGCCCCCACATGGCAGCCTGACCCAGAAGCTCTTGCCGAAGCGGGCCACGAACAAAGGCTTGAAAGGCTTCCTCGTTTGTGCTTTAGAGGTTCAGGTTTAGGGCTTAGGGTTTAGGGTTTAGGTTTTAGGGTTTAGGTTTTAGAGTTTAGGGTTTAGGGAGGCTTTGCCGTGCATGTCGTGTTAGAGCCTTCAAGGTTGAGTTACAGAATCGTGGCACATTGTCACTCCTGTCTGTTGGAAGAAAGAAAGAAAGGAAGATCCCCTTAAAGGGTTTAGGGTTTACGGTTTAGGGTTTAGCGTTGAGGCTGCAGGGTTTAGGAGTGGGGTCCTTACACCCTAAACCCTGAACCCTAAACCCTCGCGGGTGTGCAACCCGTGTGCCCTTCTTAAACCCGGCCCCCCCCCCCAAAACAAAAAAACAAGCCCATGTTTGTACTGTAGGGACCCTCAGGCACTACTCTTTGTAACTATTCCGACCCCTGTATTGGCCATGAACAAGTTGCAAAACCCTAAATCCTAAACCCTAAACCCTAAACCCTTAACCCTAAACCCTAAACCCTAAGCCCTAAAAAACCCTAAACCCTAAACCCCAGGCGCTCTCTGTCAAAGTCCTCGTGGCAGCTCAGTTTGCTGAGCCTGAAGTTGCTCAGCTCGTCTAGGAGCTGGCGCTTTGCCCTCATGCGTGGGTATGCCTTCGGTGTTCAGGAGGCTTTACGGTTTGGGGTTTAGGGATTAGGTGCTCAGGAGGGTTGAGGGTTTAGGTGTTCAAGAGGGTTTAGGGTTTAGGGTCTTCCGGCTGGAGGGTTTTCAGGTTCAGACTGCGGGTGAAGGGATCTTGGCTTGCTTGAAGGGTCTTGTTGTTTCTTGCTCTTCAAGCCTTTCGCGCCCTAATACCCATGTAGAAGCAAGAATCCTCAGGTGACTACAGGCCTGCAACATCTAACCCCTAAACCCTAAACCCTAGACCCTCAACCCTAAACCCTAAACCCTGAACCTGAGCTCTAAGACTGAGACAAGCATCTCCCTTCGCAAGAAGTGGACCACGCAGTACGCGGGTAGCAGGGCAGGAAGCAGCACGAATCAAGAATTGCTCGGGAAAAGCACTGTGCACAGCACGAACACCTGGACGAGTACTTGGACAGAAGTGAGAATGATTGCCTTGCTCTGTCTGCTCGCAGTAGCAACCGTCATAACAGTGATGACAACCATGGTTTGAGATGTTCCCCCTTAAACTACCAGTCCTTATAGAGAGTATCACAAGGGGTACAAGAATACCTACTCAGGTCTATTCGTATAAGGGGGACCCTGAACCCTACACCCTAAACCCTAAGCCCTCAACCCTGAACCCTAAACCCATCCAAAAAGCCAGACCTGATTGTGGAAAGCACCAGCATCGTCGCCCAGCTGTCACCCACAGTGCGGCCACGGCAGTCTCTACCTTGGGGACCAAGTCTAAACCCTAAAAGGGTTTAGGGTTCAGGGTTCAGGGTTTAGATTTTGGTCTTTAGGCTTTAGGCTTTAGGGTTTAGGGTTCCTACCACCTTCATCGGACGATACGAGCTCTAGGGAAGAGTGGCGCCAGCATAATCTTGCCATTGGGGCTCTAGTCTAGACCCTAAGCCCTAAACCCTAAACCCGCATCGGGCTTTCAAGCTTCGAACTTAAATTTATAAGTCCACGGCCTCCTCGAACGAAGGATGTGGCGCAGGGCGAGAAGACGTGGCACTGAAAACCTTGCAGCTCTACGTGGCTTCCGCGCGGACGTCTTTCAAAAACAAAACGCAGCCTGCGACACTCCCACACCAAGGATCCTGCAGAAGCTCGGGACGCCGCTCGTGCCGTGCTCATGCTCGAGGCCGCTTTCCGTCACGCATGCCTGCCGCACCCCAACCACGCACTCTGCCCGGCAGCACTTCCCCCCGAACTTCCTCCCCAACTGGAGACTACGTCTACCGCATGACTAAGTTCTCCTGCCTCCCTGCCCGAGCTGCAGCCCGTTCGCACGCTCCAGCATGACGTCGGCATGCGCCTGACGACGCGGCGACATCCCGTCCGTCGACGCGTCGGCGCCCACCGACGGCCACCTGCAACCACCATGCTGCCACTGTTCCAAAAAGCTCCTGTCACTGCCCTGCTGACTTCCCCTAGCCTGCAAGCCTGCAGCCCAGCCACGAGACGAAGACAGCTTGCGAAACTCGCAGCGCCAGGACTGACAGTCGTGCCAGGAAAAGTGACATCGAGGCCTAGCGCTCTCAGCGCTTCTCGGAACAAAGAGCTGCGCCCCGCCCTCGCGTGGAGATGCCTCACACGTCAGGGGCCCCCAACGCGCAACGCCTTGCTTCCCGACCCTCTCTGCTTCCCTGCGCGACAAGGCGCGAGACCTCCTGGCGCGTCAAAAGCGACGACCGCCCACGTGGGAGCCGCTGCCCACATGCAGCCGTGGGCGCACATCCGCGCCCAACAGCATCATGTCTAATTCCACCTTGCCACAGCAGCTTCCGAGTGTCGCTAGGAAACTGCGTCACTACAACCTATAAGCAGACAACGCTAGAAATAACCCATACAATGCATTGAGATATATTATGTGCCGCAAAAGGCCTGATAACTTGCGAACTTCCACGGTTTCCGTCGCGACTGCAGCGGAATGTCCTGCAGCTCCAGCCCCGACTCTAGAGCCTCGGATGACAGGATCAAATCCCCGCGACATGCCCGCTACCTTTGCCTACTTAAGCAGACAGTCTTACCAATGCCCGTCCTTCAGCATGTACTCTGTCGCACGACCTGCAGACCGCTGCCGCTGGACCGCCGTCTTGCCGCGCCCCTTGGGCCTTGAAGATCAAACTTGCTTCACAAAGGATACGCCACTTGTCTGCATCATGACACACTGGCCAGCAAATCCTTCTTATGCCGACCCGGGCACTTGTAGGCGCTGCCCTGCCAGCCATCCCGAACGAGTTCCTTGGCGATCGTCACAAGTGCCGCGCTGCATGGATGACGAAGACATCCACCGGCAGAGCACCGCATTCGACGAAGCAATTCCTGCCAGCCCGCCTCGCGGAAGGACTTCCTACGTGCCTTGACGCACAAAACCTCATCACGCACGTAGCTCCGGCCTCCCCCACGGCAACCACACGTAACATCCAGGACGACAGCAGCTGCGTTTGCCACGATGCACCGGCTGCTGCCGCGAGGCACAACGAGGTCTTGTCCGTGCACCGCAAAACCTGAAATCATGGATCACGCCTGCCCTATATATACCTCCACTCTGCCGCCGCTGTCCTCCCATGATGAATCCAAACAAGCGGCCGAACCGATACGCCGAGACACCAGCCGTCCCGCCAGCTCCGACGCCAAACCGAACATGTTCTGCACGTCCTCTACCGTCGGGTACTCCCGCTGCTCCTGTCGGGGAACATGTACGCCAACCAAAAGGCCCCGTCTTCGGCTCCGGCATCTTGCTGCCAAAATACAAGCCAGCGACGGAGCAGCCACAGGCGCGCGGCGGCTGCCTTGTAAAAGACTGCCCAGGCGACAGAGCGCGGTCGACCTCCTTCCTGCCGCAGGACCTTGGCGGCGCGCATGCGAACTGCACGCAGGTGCGAACTGCTTGTGCTGAAGCGCTGCGTCAGCCGGCGCCACGACACAGCGCCTGCCCGCATACCCGCTTCTAATTCATGTCATTGCAGACTCCGTGACTTCTGCGCGCTCGGCCACTCCCGGCCTGCATCGCGGGCCCTGGCCAGCGTGTTGCGCAGCTGTTGCACCGCCTTCCTTTGCGCGGCAGTGCGCGCAACCAAGCGCTGGGCATTCCGGACGGCATTGCTGGACGGGGACATTGCGAGAAGCGCCCTACTAGTCTGCGATGCTTCGTCAATGTCAAACATCGCGTCAATGTCGTCAACATTGAAGATAAAACAGCACTGATGCATACCACTGTTTCCAATCTGCTGCAAAGCTCAAGAAGGACGCGCTGCAGCCTGCTTTTGGTTCAGATACTGTTGAAGGGCCAGATAGAGAAACTCAAAGCGTAAAGGGTTTTAGAACTGGAGACGAAATGGGAGCCGGTTCCACGGGGGTCGGCGGCAGCGGCGTTAGCCCTTAAATCGGGCAGCGCGAGGTCCCCAAAGGACCGAGCAAATGCGGACCTTTTAGCCCGGGTCGTCCCGGGAATAGCCTTGCTGGCCTCTGGCCTTCTGCGAAGCAGAATTAGGCCGGACGCCAGTGCCGCCGACCCCCGCGTGCCGCCGGTGAACGGTTTTTTTTTCGTGGTTTTTTGCGTCGCCACGGAGGCCCCCAGAGGGCGCGCATCATGAGCATCAGCGGGTCCAGCCCGGGACCCCCAGGCGCGCATCAGGAGCATCAGCGGCTCCCGGGGCGGGACCCCGGGGGCGCATCAGGAGCATGATGCCCCCCAAAGGGCGGGCATAAGCGACGTGTCTAAGCCCGGGGCTAGGAAAAAGGGAGTTTAGGGGCCTTATAAAGTGCTTAGAAACGTTAAGGGAGTCTAGGAGCCTCAAACGCTTAGAGATTTGAAGGGAGTTTAGGGGCCTGAAAAATGCTTAGAAACTTAACGCTTAGAGATTTTAAGGGAGTTTAGGGGCCTCAACATGCTTAGAAACTGCTCGCCCCGGGCTTCTGCGTGCGCTGCCCGCCCATGGGCGCAGCCCCTTAAAATATATAAATATATAAATATATATAAATATATATATATATATATATATATATTCATTTATTTATACCTATATTTATGTTTACATTTCTTTATTTGTTTATTTATATAATCGTATATAATAGCCCGACAGTTACGATGAAGGAACACCCATTTAAAGCCCAAGTATATACCATGTTGGCACATGGTCAGTTCTCATTTAACCCTGGTCCCTTTTTTTGGAGGCCCCAAGTTCAAGGCATACTACTTGGAAAGCCAGCCACATGCACCCGTAGGGTTCAGGGTTCAGGGCCTTTTAGGGTTTAGGGTTTAGGGTTTAGGGTTTAGGGTTTACAGTAGGGTTTAGGGTTAGGGCAGGGTTCAGGCAAGGCCGGTCCTGGGCAAAGTGTGCCAAAGGCGCCCAAACGCGCCAAGGGCGCTGGGAGCTCGGCGCCGTTGGCCGGACGACACAGCCGGTTCCCGGGGAGGCCAGCATTGTGACCCCTAAACCCTAAACCCTAAACCCTTTATGGTCGGCTCAATTTTCTAAATTAGGGTCCCATTGGGGTACCCTAAATAAGAGGGGCCGGCCTTGCAATAAGGGACCATGTTTTCGAGAAGTCCATAAGGCTTGAGGGTACGCAGAGTGCCGAGGGCGTAGATCAGGGGGATGCTAAACTAAGCGAATCTGAAACACTAAACCGTCTTTTGCGCAACTAACCCTAAACCCTAAACCCTAAACGTTAAACCCTAAACCCTAAACCCTAAACCCTAAACCCTAAACCCTAAACCCTAAACCCCAAACCCTAAACCCATTGCGCAGGTGGCGGGCGGCTCAGCAGTCTTTGCTTGAGTCAAGCGGCTTGCCCAAAGGACCCTCAAACCCCAAGGCAACATCCCTGGACCGCAGCTCCTTGTATCTTGGTAGCCCAGTACAACCATACCACAATAAGGGCACCCTTTTTTGGGGTTGGTTGCTTGAAAAGGGAAGCTTTGAAACAAAAAAAGGGTGCAGGGTACCACTGGGCCACCCAGGTATGGTTGAGGGCGTAATTCCTGCGCTAGGACGTGTTGGGGGTAGAGTTCACCCTAAACCCTGAAACCCTAAGCCAAAAACCGTACACCCGAAACCCTGAAACCCTAAAGCCTAAACCATTTAGGGCTGCGGGTCTTTCTCTGGGGCTCTGGGGCTCTGAGCAGTGTTTTCGAGACTAAGAGCCAAGTAATCGGAGAAAACCTGCCGAGGCGTCGCTGCCCATGTAAGTGCATGTGGTCACTTCTTAGGGTTTAGGGCTTAGGGCTTAGGGTTTAGGGTTTAGGGTTTAGGGTTTAGGGTTCAGGGTTTAGGGCTGAGGTCCTTGTTTTTAGCTGGCCCGTAAGGGTACCCAACATGGGACCATAATTTAGAGAACTGACCCATATGTTACATGTTGCTTAGGATGCCCGACGAACCCGTTTGGCTAGGGGAAAGGGGTTTGCGGGAGCTTGTTGGATTTGATCAGGGATGTCGGCGTTTTGGGGTGTAGGGCGTTTTGGGCTTCATAAACCCTGAACCCTGAACCCTAAAACCTGAACCCTAGACCCTAAACCCTAAACCCTAAACCGGGGTTTGGGTGTTGCTTCAGCTCCGAATTCCAGCCTCACTGGCGTGGAAGGGCGAGAACGTGGCATCGCGCAGCCTTCTTGTCTTAAGTCTTCGGCCGTTTCGGGTATCTTTCAGGCTGGTCTTGTATACGTGCTGAGAAAAGGTGACGAAACATGTTTCATTCAACCCTAAACCCTAAACCCTAAACCCTAAACCCTAAACCCTAAACCCTAAACCCTAAACCCTAAACCCTAAACCCTAAACCCTAAACCCTAAACCCTAAACCCTAAACCCTAAACCCTAAACCCAAGCTTTCTGAGGTGCAAGGTTGCTCTAGGTAAACAGTGCGAGTTGGACTAGGCTGCGGCCCTCCCGGGCCAAGCAAGATCCTCTAACTCTTCAGGGTTCAGGGTTTAGGGTTTATATGAGGTTTAGGGTTTAGGGTTTAAGGTTTAGGGTTTCGGGTTTAAGGTTTAGGGTTTAGGGATTAAGGTTTAGGGTTGAGGCTTTGGGTTCTGCAGAGAATGTTAGAGTGCATCTCCGGCAAATCGATAGGGGACCGTCTCCCGAGCTTCCGTGGGAGGTGTGTAGGTTTGGGGTTTAGGGCAACTGCGCATTTACAAGCAAGTAACATTTCATCGTGTTCAAATCACCACGTCTTCCATCTGCTTTTCCTTGTAGATCGCCCAGAACAGACTAAGCTTTGCCGGTTCTGTTGTTCGACTACCTGGGACCTGATTCCTCATAAGCCGCGTCGCACGCCCTGAAGAACTCATTCTTCCAAAGCTGCCCCTAAACCCTAAACCCTAAACCCTAAACCCTAAACCCTAAACCCTAAAGCTGCCCCACAAGTCACAAGTCCCAAAACTTCGCCCGCAGACTCCGCCGTTTTTGGTCTGGCGTTCAGGGCTCTGAAGGGTTCATAGGATGGTCCTGAAACCGAAGCCCTAAACCCTAATGCCGTACCGTGGCTTGGAGCCCAGTAGCCGTATTATAGCAAGGACAACCCTAACAGCCATTAATAGGGACAATAATCGGGGGTTACGAAAAAATCCCTATTACGGACTGCGAGTATAAGGGTGAACATCCCAAGCTGGTTGCTTTGTAAGGGAACCTTGAACAAAAATATGGTGAAAAGGGTACCCATGCGCTACCAAGTTGGAATCCGAATGACACCCCAATCCTAAACCCTAAACCCTAAACCCTAAACCCTAAACCCTAAACCCTGAACCCTGAACCCTAAACCGTAGAGTCATGGGATCCCGGCTGCGTCTCCGCACCCGCAAAGTACTTGAGGGCAAGCTCGCGGAGCCTTACGTCTCCAATAGCCAAGGGGTGACAAAAAAGGTTAAACTTTAATATTCCTACTGAATAAGGAAGCCCAAAAAGTTTCAAAGTTCAAGTAAAGGCAAACTTCTAAGTAAGGAGCCTGTGTGGACATGGAGTTTTGGGCTCAGGGGTGCTGTTCGACCAAGGCCGAGACCTGACGCGGAAAGGCCCGTAGCTCCAACTCCTACAAAAACATCGCTCACCACGATCTTTCAATGTAAAAACTCAACCACACAAGTAAGAACATGAACATAATCCAAGCCATGCCCTTCGCGAGAGTACCAGTACTGGGTTTAGGGTTTAGGGTTTAGGGTTTAGGGTTTAGGGTTTAGGGTTTAGGGTTTAGGGTTTAGGGTTTAGGGTTTCGGGTTTCGGGTTTCGGGTTTAGGGTTTAGGGTCCTAAACTCTGAGAAGGATGGGGCCCCCAAACCTTTGCATGAGTCTCCGCCTCGTCAGGGGAGTCAAGGGTTCAAGGCCGGATCGGGGGTCAGGGTCACCCTAAACCCTAAACCCTAAAGCCGAAACCCTAACCCCTCACCCCTGAACCCCTCATCGGTGTGTTGGGCGAAAAGGCCGGTGGCTGTTACCCTTACACCTTAACACAGCCCTAGATACCCCAAGAAGAAACCCCGAATCTAATGCCCCTACAAAACAGAAACCCGACCACCCACC